TATATATATATATATATATATATATATATATATATATATATATATATATATATATATATATATATTCATTCATCGTTGGCTTTGCATGAGTTATTATTGTTGTGGCGTGTAGGGAGAAATGCTAGTTGTGGGACGGCTGGCGGGAGAAGGGGCGCGGAAGCTGCACTGGAGCAACGCAATCCTGGAGTCCCTCGACGGGGAGCCTCCCTTGCAGCTCCTCTGTCTCGAGGCCGCCATGCTGCAGCAGCAGCAGCAACTGCAGCAGTGGGGTATCTCACGGCTCCGCAGACATACAAACGCCCCAGATGCACTGTTGTACCCAGGGATGGTCGTTGCTGTCAAGGGACGCCTCCAGCAGGCAAGAAGCAACACTCCCACGCTGCTGCTGCCGTTGCTGTTGTTACCGCTGCTGCTGCTGTTGCCTACGGAGATAACAGCAGACTATTGCTCATGCGTTTGCGAGTTCCGCTGCTGACCGCGGCTGTAGTAGGGTCGTTGGAGCTGCTGCTGCCGGGACCTCATCTGGGGTTCGACCGCAGCAGCAGCAGGAGCAACAGTTGCAGCAGCAGCGGCAACTCAGGCATGTGCTGTTCCTGAGAGTTTTGTGCAGGATGGCGTTCTCTGTATCCCGTTTGTTGTCTCCTGCAGTTGCTGTTTGTGTTTGTTTTTTGAGTGTATGCTTTGAACTGTCATTCGATTTCTCTCTCCGTTGGTTTACGAGCGCTGAGGCACTTTTGTTTGGCTCTGTTTTCGTCTCTTCGTTGTTTGTTTTTCTTATATATTTAAGTTATTTAATGGTGTCTTGAGGCCCTCTGTCCCTCTCATGTTGCAGGACAACTACGGACAGCAGTTCCTTGTATCCGCATTCCAGTGCGGCGTTCCTGTGCGGTCCCCATCGCTTTCTCGGTCTCTCCGTCAGTGCATTCATGCAGTGCCTTTAGACCCAACAAACCCAAGTCGAACGCTCACCACTACGTTGCAAAGCCCCTCTCCCCAAGGGGAGCAGCAGCAACAACAGCAGCAGCAGCAGCAACAACAGCAGCAGCAGCAACAGCAGGAGCAGCAGGTGTTGGACGTGATGAGCTGTTACAGAAATCAGAATGTGCACATCCTCATCTCTAGAGGCTCCTTTGTGGTCCCCAGCACGAATGGGGGCTGGCGGCTTAGGTGCGTCATGTTTTTTCTTTCTGCCTCGTCTCGCGAGGACTTCACTCTGTCCGTTCTCTGCCTCGGCGGTCTCTTGTTTGTCAGTGGTTATTCCGTCCCCGTATCCCACCCCCCTCCCCATCAGTGTGCTGCAGGCTACTTTTCTCCTGGTGCTGTGTCAGCCTCATAGTTGCGCCTTGGTTGCTGCCGTCTTTATTTCTGCGTCACTTTGAAGTCCCATCCGCGTTTCGTTTGCTGCTCTTTATTCTTTTGTGGTCATCTATCCCTTCTCGTGTTCTTGTTGAATTATATGTCTCTCACGCTCTCTCTCACCATCTCTCTACTGTCTTCCTCGTTATCTCTGACCTGCCTGGCCGCAGCTTTACACCTTCGACTCCACAGGACAACGGTACACAGAGGAGCAAATTCCATAGCAATCATTTGCAATGAACAGCTCTGAATAGACAAACGCCTGTCGTGGTTGTATGAATTAGCTGTTATCTGTGCGTACACAACAGGTTCTAGAAGGCTTATAGTAAGAAATATGAGGCAGCATGCAACTGCCGTGAGAAAGGAATGCAAATGCGTTTAGTCGTTAAGACGCTTAGAGCCATTAAAACCCACGGGTGTTGCTTCCTTTGCAGACGCGAGGCCTTGAAGTGTCTGTTGGAGGCTATAAAGGAGAAGGTGCCACACTTAGCGGTCATCTGCGGGCCCATCATATCTTCTTTGAACCTACAGCAGCCGCTTCCTGCGTCTGCCTCCTCTTCTGTCCCTTCTGCCGTCTCCCCCGACTTCCCCAAGTGCGCCTCTCTACTGCAAATGCCGGATCCCAGCTTAGCCTTTGAGGAGTTCTTCCAGTGTCTGTACAGCACAGCCAGAGGCCTCAAGACGCAATTCGTCATTGTCCCCAGCACCCGCGACGCCATGCATCCGGAGCCCCTTCCCCAGCCCCCCTACAAGCCCCTGACCGTGCAGATGCAGCAGCAGATGCAGCAACAGCAGCTGCTGCAGCAGCCAGTTAACGTACACCTGGCTGGAAACCCTTGCACCTTGCAAGTTAACGAACTTCAAGTCCTCATCACCACCGCCGATCCCTTGGCAGAAGTGGCAGGAGAGGTGCTGTCCCTATCTCGGCCCCAGCAGCCACAACCAGCAGCAGTAGCAGCAGCTGCTGCTGCTGCAGATCCTGCAGCAGCGAGATCAGATAACGATGAAGGACTTTTGCATCAGCTGTGCCGGAGCCTAGTCCGTCAGGGGACTCTGTTCCCTCGAGGCTGCAGCCCCCGCGTGCCCATAGATGCTTCGCGCATGCAGGCAATCATGTTCAAGGAAGATACAACTCCCGACGTATTTGTATTTGCCTCCTCCGTTTTGCCGCAGCTGCAGCCAAACAAACGGACGGGGCCCCTGGGGGTGCCTGGAGGGGCTGGGGCTTGTCTCGTTGACGGGCGGGTGTTCGTGTCGCCCTTCTCGAACGCTGCGGCCCTTGAGGGGTCTCTAACTGACACGGTATCCGTGACCAGCTTGTATGTCAAACCCCCAGCAGAGGCAGTAGGGGGCAGTCTGCAAGAAGACCTCTGCCTCGGTCAGCGCGTTGCCGTGACACAGACTGTCTATACACCTCGCAACGCATTGAAGAAGGGCCCTGCTGCTGGGAGCCTTCCCTAGTGTAGCCAGGAGGCCCCCAAATTTCGGATTTTCCGCCAACCGCTTCTGTAGCGCCGTCTCTTCCAAATGCTTCTTTTGCTATATTGGCATTGGCCGCCTCAATTCGTTGAAGCTAAAAATACTCCTGTGAATGCATACCACTGGTGCAGACACCAAGAGGCCTTCAGCAGAGCTGCACTGGTGGGAAAAAGTGCATAGACAGTGTATGGGCTATGTGTAGGGGAGTGAGCAAAAGGGAAGACAGCAACGCAGGAAAACGCCTCGAATGACAGAGGAAGACATTATGTGCATGTTAACACAATGGTAATAGAAAAAGGCAGGGTCAACCACGATAACACGCGGCAACGGGAATAAGTTACCACAACTCAAGCTAAGTAAGGGGTGCAAGCCTTAGATTGACTCTGTCAGCCCCAGAAAATAACTGTCGGGTACCTTGTGACAGAAGGCTGCCTGCTGCAGGCCCCCAGGGGAGGCCTGCTGTGCAACACTAGAAGATAGCTGAACGGGAGTGGCCGAGTGGGGCTGGTCGTGTGCAGCACTCTAGACAACTGCAGCAGTAGTGAGTCCTCGCGCGCAATCCTACGTCACATGCTACAGCCTAAGGCACTGTATACTGGAGAGCATGTAAGCAGCAATCTCCTTGGTTTAGGGTTCATCCTTACTACACCACGGTCTAGCATCTAGGGTTTTTCGTCCATAATCTAAGGTTTAGGGGGAATCGTTCCCATTCTACGGTTTTTCGGTCTGACTTCAGCAGACCGACCACCCCTAGCAGATAAGCGTCCATAGCGAAGCTGGAAAGAAAGCAGCCATGGACATTTGTTCGCTGAGGCTTCAGGGTTTTAGGGCGCGCGAATTTTCCCGGCATTTCCGACTGTAGGAAACTGGGGCTTCTCCGTCGTGTCCAGTGGTTCAAGTTGCCGCAAGCGCGGCAATTTTCGGGCTCTGCGCTTCCAACTCGTCGTCCGAACTTGTGCTGCGTCTCGTAAATGTAGTAAAAGGAATGAGATGATTCAGTTGGCTTTCACTTGACAGATCCACCCTACCCACCAGCAGGCAGTGGTCCTCCGGAGCAGACAGGACACCGTGCCACTGGCGTGGGGCACAGGAAGTGTGCAAGCAAAATAAGTGACTGATCGAACACAAAATGCAATTAAAAAATAATAATTTAAACTGAAATAGCTTTTCCACATATGGAAGCTCCTGTATGAATATGCAGGAGGTTCGACTAACAGGCAAGGCTGCAGGGCCTGGCTGGCGGGCCGGGCGCGGGAGAAGAGTCCAGACAAAAGGGTCTGGACGCCGCATAATATTATATGTGGCATTTTCATTTCATTTTAGCTGCATCTGTTTTGATTTGCCGGGTTTTCTTAGGACGTTCACAGCAGCTGGTCCGCCGCCGCACGTCGGTGCTGCAACGTCGTTACCGGGCAGGTACTGCACGGTATAGTTGGGGGCCCCCTTTGGGGTCTTTTCTCAACTCATTGTACATCTTTGTTTTGAACTGTCTTTTACATTTCAATAAGAAGGGCGACTAAGCACAAAGGAGGTTAGCCGTGCAGCGTTTGTCGTGTTTTTCTGCTTTTCCCGCGAGGCGCCACGCGGGTGGCTCGATGTTCGTGGGTGGGCTTCTGGGCGACTATTGGATCAACAAACATTTATTTCTTCTCCATCTGAAGAATAATAATGAGGCTTCTTGTCTCTTAGCGCCGAGCTGCGGTCCCAAGCGGCACCATGAGGAAACGCTTCAGCGTTGGGTTCACCATTCACGAGGCCCTAAACTTAGTTCGAGAGCGAGGCCGCCCTATTGACCCGCTTGTCGTTGTGCGCTGCTGCGGACGGGAGTATCGCTCCGACATAAAGTTTGCAAAAGCGAATGTCGTTTCCTGGGACGAGTCTCACACGTGGACAGACATAGAGCTCTCTAGCGACGTGAGCCCTTCAGAACCATCCATTTTGCGCGCATTTCACGCCCGCCTGCATGCACACCTTACATATAAGGAGCATGAGCCTGTTGACTCAATCTGTTATTCCCAAAGATAGAGCTTATCCACGTAGAGAGGCCGCACCGGATGCTCCCCACAGTGACGTACCTCGTGCAGCGCGGCCCTTCCGTACAGCCGTAACCACACCAGCCTGCAGTCTTGTTCAACAAGTTGCTTTGTTCGTTTTGTATCGAGTCAGCTGTCACTGGTGCTTTGGGAGCATTGTGTCCTGTACTGCATGCGGGATTGTGCCCGACCTTGCGTTGTTGCTTCTGACCACTTCACTCTGCATCCCCTCATCTTCCCTATGCTATGCTTGTATTGGCTGTTGTCCCGTCGCATTTTGTGGTCAGGAGTGGGCCAAGTCGTTTATTGAATTCGAAGTGCAGGCGGCGAACGCATTCTGGAGGAACACAACGATCGGAATCGTCTCCCTACAGCTGTCTCTCGTCCAAAAGCGAAAGACGCATCAAGTCAAGAAATCACTGCCCCTGCAGAGTCCCGATGGAGCTGATCTGCATGTATGTTCGGATATCTCGTCAGCACATTTAGGGAAGAGAATACGTTGTTGAGCTGAGCTTGCCGAAGGCCTACACGCAATGTCGTAAAACGTGCAGATGTTGCAACGGCCAACTCGCTCCCGGAAGGAACAACTGCTTTTTTATTTTGTCGTCACTAGGGGGCTCCCCGTCGTGCTTATTGTTTCGGTGCCGAGCGGGCCCTTGACACCTGTATCCACTGCGCCCCTTCTGAGGGTCGTCTCCGTTATTTCTATTATGCCGTACTGCTGTTTCACTGCACCTCCGTCTGCTCGCTCTGCTGTATTCGTTTTGTCGCTTCCATTTGTCTGAAGGCTTGGATAGCTGTCTCTCCTTGCTGTTTCAGGGGTCCCTGCGGGTTACTGTCTTCGCCTGCGGCCCCGGCGAGTCCCCTCCGAGCCCTGGCGAGGAGTTGGAGGACTCGGACGATGACAACCAGGGGTTTATAGACGACTTGCGAAATGTCGTCATTGATAACCGCCGTAAGCACAGCAGCACTTCAGCTGGCTCGTGGCCTCACTACAGCGTTCCCACTCATTAACTGATGGCCAACATTTTTTGTTTAGGTTTGCATCCCCTTATCTACTTTTATTCGAACATGACTTTGCATCTTCCCGTGGATTTGTCGTCTTTATTCCCAGTCTATGTTTCGCCGTTATGTGCGGCTGCTGGGTGTTCCTTGTCTAATCCGTTTCCACGATGAATGCAAGTGGTGCACATGTTTGGCTCGTTGGATGAAACGAAGCGTGCGGGGTTTGTTTTGTTTGCGCTGCAACAGAGGACTTGGTCCGAGGCGAGGGCACACGGCCTTTTCACGTCTACGTGACGATTCACCGTCTGGAGGACCTACCACCGGCGGCAAAAGGTGAATAAGTGGTCTATTGGATCTGCATGTGGGTAGTGTGATGCGTCCACCTGAATTCACTGTTATTTCAACTTTCCTGATGCATTCGGTGCTGTGGGAGAATCGGAAGCAAGTAGGCGCGCTTGTGCGTGCAGAGAGAGCACAAAATCGGTGTTGCAGTGAAGTTACAGTACTTACAAGAATTCGTGATGGACTACTTGATATGTGGGCAAGTGAAGCTTATTAAGGCGCCGAGGGTTTGAGTGATGTTTTTTCAGGCTTGAGGGACCCTTTCGTCGTTTGCGAGTTCGCTGGCTGTCGCGTGCGCACGGTGAGCTCGGGGACGCTCGCTTTGCTTGGCTCCGTCTCGTCTCATCCTTGGTTGAAGTTAGGTAGCATAGAGAAATCCCTGCGTTTATTTTGCGTGGTGTTGCTGGAAATGGGCTGCAGGCGCAAGCGCGTGCGACGAGCTCCTACACCTTCAACGAATGTTTCCGCATTCCCGTCATGACTCCCGTCCCGGAGGACACGATTTTGATCAAAGTCTGGGACTGGAACTTCATGAGTGCAGATGAACTGCTAGCAGTAGTGCGTCTTGCGTGGCGCCCCGTCTCGCCCCTTCTTCATATATCTGCAAGTGCACTAAGCTTTACACATATACATATGCACACGCCTTCCAATTTTACACAATTTGCTGTTCTCCTCAGGGCCGCATTTCTTTCGCCGAGTTGCGATCTCGTCATATTCTCCCACGGTAAGCGACAAGGTGGCACTTGATCTCGAGGACGATCCGTTTTGCACGCAGTGAATTCCTAGCTTCCAAATGCGTGCATACCCGCTCCGTTAGAAGAGAGTTCCAACTGCATCTCACTGTTTACTGCTTCTCTTTTGACGCAGATGGTTCAACTTCTACGGATTCGACGTAGGGGAAATCCCCAACTTCTCGGAAGTCATTGCGCAGAGCGGCAAACTGACGCCGTGCACATACATGGGGCGGCTGCTACTTAGCGCTCGAGCGGAACGACTTGACAAAGACGCAGAGCTGCTTGCCGCTCATTCCGTTGCAGCTGCACCCTACGAAGACCCCCGCGTAATCCCTATTCTTCTCTTTTCCGACGTGTACGAGGTGCGTCACGTGCCGCGCTGCACCTATGGTTAAATGGAAAACGGTGTGCGGTGAACTCTTCGCTAATGGGCAGCATGACCTGTGTTACTGTGTTTCGCTTCTCAGGTGCAGGGAGCACCGGGGGACAGAATCTACGTGGAAGTGTCTTGTGGGCCTCTGAAGGAGAGAACTCGATGGGTATCCGGTAGGACCTAAACTGTATTTTTATCCATTACCAGTACTGTGGACTGCCCTTCGGCGCCTCCCACTTGGACACACGTCTGCTTTGCGTTCGTATTCAGGAGAGTTGGTGAAGCAGCGAGAACGTGAATTGGGGGAGGCTCCTTCAGCAGTGACTGCTGCCTTGGAAGGAGCAAAGGGAATGGCAAATTACTTCCTAGGGGCTTCTCCCGAAGGCCAGGACCATTTTGTATTCACCCCTGTAGATGGGCGCATTCCAGAGTTGCGCATGGCCGTAAGGATGTATTATCTAGGACATTGCTAGAGTGAAAGAGCCCTTGAGTTGTTTGGTAGACGTCTTTCGATCATATTAGCTCTAGGCTATCTCCAACAATGTTGACACATAGCACAGTTCACCGGGTCGTTCCTAGGTGGTGATACTTGTGGGTTAAACGGCGTGCGTTTCATTTGTCTTTAGGTCCCTGATGACGAGAAGCAGCAGTGGGACGTTATTATTAATGTTTATGCCAAGGGGATATCCAAGAATATACCGCAGGCTACTCGTGTGGCGTACCAGAGAATGCCGTAGGTTTCATCAGTAGTTTGTGTGGTGGATCTAGAGACGACAGCTGCACGCGGTTGAACCCACAAGTATCACCACCTAGGAACGACCCGGTGAACTGTGCTACGTGTCAACATTGTTTGGGATAGTGCAAATGAAGGAAAGCGTGCCTGGTTAATGATAACGCGCGGGGTCGAGATATTGCTGTGCAGGCTGGCGAATATTCCTGGTTACGTACAAAACAACCCACGGGCACCCGTTTGGGTCCCTCTGCACCCCATGCCCCACCTTTCGGACAGTTTGGCTCCTTCCGCTGTGCTCATGACACTGGAGAAGGCCAAGACAGATGCGGCCGCAAGAACAAAGTGAGGCCTCACTGCGAAAGACAACCGCTCAGTGTCACCTGCATCGTGGACAAGAGCTACACACCTCCAGTAATGTTGCTCTGTGTCATAGCTTCTGGCGGCTTAATCGTGTGCTAGATAGCTTCACTTGGTGCTGTTCATGCAGGCGGAAGAACATCGTTGCAGCGGAGTATATTTTAAGGACCTACGTCTACACGGCACGCAAAATTTCGTCCCCCAGTGGCGCTCTCCCAAACCCTCTGGTGCAGGTGCGTCTACCGGCGTGCCGAGTGCACGCAGATCACAGTGCTCTACAGCGTGTTTCACAGCTAACAGCCTAATCCCAACACTACAGGTGTTGCAGAGAAATGCTTTGAGTGCAGATGCTTCTTCTAGGGAGGCGTTCGAACGGTGCATCATTCATAGGAAAGTGGGCAGGAAGTTAGGTTGGGACCGACGAACAACTGTTCCAGTATGTGTCTCCGTTTTCCGTAGGTGACATGCGCTGGAGTCACAAAGGAAACAGAGCCATGTGACGCCACTTCCAATCCGGTCTTCATGGAATGTTTGCAGCTCGAGCTGAGACTTATGGTGGGGCTCTGGATAGCCGCATGCCATCAGTCCCCTCTCCCCAACGTATTCATCAAAACCGTCATCGTAGTCAGCGTAGATTGGTGCTGAGGCTTAACACAGTTAATGGCCCAGCCTTCTTGCTTGACCTCTGTTGTCGGTGGCTGTCTTCAGACTGACACAGCCACTCGCCTCCCCACAGTTGTTCCCATCGTCGCCAGCGTATTCGATGATCGGTCGTGGGGCCGTCAGCTTCTTGGCAGAGCTGTCTGTCATTATGACAGGCTGAGAGGAAGGCTGAAGGTCCGTCTACATACCTTGGGTGTTTGCTCCCTCGCGTTCGAGGTTTATTTGGGATTTAGCCCTATCCACATGCTCCAGAAGTAGGGGAGTCGGCTCCTCTCCGGTTGTCCACTCCGATGTGTTTGCTGTTTCCCCTCGTGTTTGCGTTTGTCCACGCTGTTGCAGCCAGGAGAAATTCCTTCTGTCGCAGAGCCCCGCTGGATTAAGCTAAAGGGGGGGAAACGTCTGAACAAGCATCGGGGAGACATTCTGATTTGCTTTGAACTGATTCGGAAGAAGGACGCAGAGACGCTACCTGCGTATCCGATGCGGCCTCTCGTTTGTATGTGCAAGCTCAGCTTGTCCTGTTTGAATTTGCGAGATCTGATCATGGCGCCAAAAGGTATGAGCGGTCCTCTGCTCACTCCGCCGCATTGCGTATACTCTGTATGCAAGCGATTGCAATGACTGGAATAGAACAGCTTCCTTGGCAAGGTATTTTCACCGTACGAGTAATTTGTGTCATCGAAGTGTTGCTGAGGCGTCTTCAGGCCAGCCCATTGACTTTGACAAGCTCATACTTGGGAACTTCGAAGGCATCAGACGCGTTCGCAGCCCGGTTTTGCAAGTATCTGTCCCGTCATTTGGATCTTTAGGACGGGATAGGACGGTAGTGACCCTTCAATACGAAAGGAATGCGGATGGAGACCCAAGTGTACGTCATGCTCATCGGACAGCCCTGGTCATTAATTGAACTTTCAGTGCCGTACTAACGACTATCAGTTCTCAGTCTACCTCTCCTGGTTGCGCTCGGAAATTTTTTGCTGTTAGTGTCAGAATGCGTGTTTACAGTGTACCTCCCATTTGCGATTACGTTTTTTGCTGGCAGATCCCCAATAGAAGATGGTCAAACGGGGCGTACGAAAGCTTTGACATTTTAAAGGTGGCTTCGCTAGATGTAGATATTCCCGAAGACCCAATTTATGACCCCACCCTCACAATTCAGGTCCGCCCGGTTGACATTCTGCCAGCCTCTTTAATGAAAAAATATCTGCTACGCACGCTTGTGCATTGTCGTACTTGGGTATTATCAGGGCCCGCAAGGTTTGACAGGCCGGCCTTGAAGCCCACGTAGAACTATGAGTGCGATGGTTTCATACAATGGAATAAGGGTTTATCACTCCATTTCATAGTTGGACATCTGCATTGCGCAAGCAGCTAACACGTGCGTCTACTTGTGTAAGTTTCGGAACGCAGGTATATGACCGAAAAATCAAACCCAAGTATTTCATTGGGCAGTTCTCCCTTTCCCTAATTCCTCTGATCCCGTGGATAGCCGACGTTGAGACAGCATTGGAAGATGTACGACCGTCGCGGGATTACGAGGACTCAGTTAACTTGAAAAAGCTGGGTAAATCGATTGTTGTGTGGGTCAATGCCTTTTTTGAGAAGTGCATTAGTGCTGTGCGCAGCGTCGTGACAATTAATACGCTACGGTAGGGTCCATGCCTGAATTACAGAGAGCTCCTCTACTGTATTTTGCACTGTTTATGCGGCCTTTGAACAAACAGGGGGCATAATGCTTGGCGCCAGGGGAAGAAGTCAAAAGGGATTTAGCACTGTGAATGTAGTTCTGGACGCAATCAGCTCTGCCGATAGGGAAGCTGCTGAGGCCAACCAGTCCCGGTACCTGCAACAGGTTGGAGTTCTGAAGTGTGACCAGCCTGCTGAGGTGAGTCTTGCTCTGATGCTAAAATTTTGCTGGTAGATGATGAGAACATGCCGCAGTAGGTGGACGGCAGATATCGTCGCACATTTCAGGATGGGAAGCTGCAGCATAGGATTCATGCAGGATAGTTAGATGAAGGCACCCTTTCCTGTAGTTGTCTCGTACGCTTTGGAGGTCATTGGCGTGTACTGCACTTTAGTTCTAGGGAGTATTTGATGGCCTAGGCGTGCTGCAGTATTTACATAGATATAAATATTTGGACACGCCTACATCTGGAGCTCTTCCTTATGCTTTGGGCTCTGGTTTTAGGGAATAGTTTCCCTCTGGCTAAATCCGGACTCGTTGCCGAAGATACTCGTGCAGTCATATGCATTGCCCTCCGATCGGCCAGTTCTCTTGGCAAGCAGCATGTTTACCTTGAACGTATTCATTCCCGCAAAGTGAGCCCAGTGACACGGGATAAAACACTAATATTACTTCTTTTCTATGACAATGCCGTTTGGTTTCCCTAAATATATGAAAGTAGCTCGTTAAGAGACAATTTGGAGATGAATCAAGAAGTGGTAAGAGGTATTTAGAAAAAAATGACTTGTGAGATAGAATGGACCTTGTTGAACATTTTTACATCGATTTCGCCACAGGTTTGTCTTGTGCGCCGAGGGCAAACGAGCTGCGGAGAAGAAGACAAAGGAGCAGTTTCAGCGGCCCTCCGTTCAATCGACAGTAGAAAACTTTTTAGTGGATGTGGACTTTCCTCCCGATCCTCTCAAGAAGAAAGCCTTGGGTGTGACTCAGCTAACTGGGTCGGTTAAGTTTTTTGTCAACCTCACTCACAACGGTGGGTCTGTCATCCTCCCCCGCCCAACTGATAGATTGGCTACACACGGAACACCCACTATTTTTGGTTTGGTAGGACTGCTCAGATTACTTTGCTACCAAGGATATAGTACAACGTCGTTTTGTTGTGGAGCGTGTGCTCTCAGATGAGCCGTCGCAGCACGTCGATCAAACAGTCGTTCCGTGGGCACTGAACGAGTCGCGCCTTCGAAGGCATTTTAGAGGGGAAGAAGCGTATCCTAAGATGGTCAAGATTCGGGTGTATGTTATCCGAGCCATCAACGTCCACCTGGCCAAGGGGATGACGACTGCAAACCCCTACCTTGTATTTTCAGTTGGGAAGACAAAGGTGAGACTGTCCAACCAGGCCTGAGTGATATTCCCTTGTGATGCGTGGTTTCTCTCGATGATATTGATGGACATCTCCCCAGCTCCGATGGCAAGCAGCGCAGGTAGCTGGAACTCGAGAGTTGTTATAATTATCGAGTCCTTGACTGTTGTCCAGCCATGTTGAATGTGAAGCAATTGTGTGCACTTTATGGATTTAACAGATGCCTTTTCGGGCAGAAAACAAACCTGGAACACTAAATCCGGATTTCTTTACAATGTGGGAGAGGGATGTCGCATTCCCCGACGAGTCTCGCTTGGAGATCAGCGTGTGGAGTGCGCATGAAAAACTGCTTCAGCAGGTAGATGACGTGTTCTTAGGAAGCACTGTGATCGACCTGGAAGAGCGGTAAGATTATTTGGCGAATGACTGAAATTCCCATTTGGCGCCCGTCCGGAACACCAGCTCAGAAGTCTTTTAGAATCATGATGTCGGCAGTATAAGGGCTTCAGAAGCTTCACCTTTTTTCCATTGAGCGCGTAGACCTTCTATTTGCAACAGGGTCTTCTGCTTTGAATGGGAGCTAAATAGGAATTCGTCGACGAGTTTCCGTTAAGGGAGATGTGCGGTTAAGTGATATGTGCGGTGGATGCTGTTGCGCTTTCTGCGCTACTGCAGTTGGTTTTCAAAAGAATGGCAAGCTTTCATGAAGAAAAATGAAGTCCCTATGGAATACAGACCACTGTCAAGAAAGCCAAATGGGAGCGTTACTGGAAGTATTGAGATGTGGTTGGAGATGATGGATTCTCAGAAGGCCGGAAAAGTCCCTCGATTCAATCTGCAAAAGCCATCATCAACCGACATTGAGATAAGGTGATTAGGTCGATTCGTTCTGCCGCTCTGGCGTGGCCGCCGCATGCCTTGAAAATTACACCCTAGTTTTAGGTGCATGATTATTGAGCTTATCTACTAGGCATCATCGGTTGTAGACACGATGCACTCATTCTGGGTGTTGCTGCTACAGGGTTGTTCTATGGGGTTGCCGTGGCCTGTACTTCAAGCACTTGGGTCCGAACAAGGAAACTGTAGATGCTGTGCTTCGGTGTACAATGGACTGCACGAAGTATAATGGATCTCAACCTGTTCTGCAGAGCACAGACGTCCATTACTATTCAAAAACTGGCGCTGCTGTTTTTAACTGGCGCGTTGTATACTCGCGTGTAGCAGCTCCGGTTAATTCGTGCATTCTTCAGATATCTGCTTACGATTTCCGCAACATCGGCGAATCACCGTTTATTGGAGAGGTATAACATGGATAGTCCAGTTGTGACGATTCATCGGAAGGAACAGAGCTCCGTCGTTTTATACAAACAACTGCTTTGCTTCCTGCCGGGGTTGCTGCGATATAACAACACGATTTGAGACGTGGTGGTTCTTGGGTGCTTCGCAGGTGAACCTGGAAGTGAGGAAATACTTAGAAAGAGTTTCACAGACAATGGCTTCTATCGAGGTGGACGCGGAGTTGAGGCTGCAAAACAGGGCCCATGAGAGCCTAGACGTGCAGACCTTCGGCTATGTGCAGGTTACTCTTCAGTTTATGGCTCAGTCAGAGGCGACAAGCAGACCGGTGAGTGACTATCGGGTGCTCGACCGTATTTACGAGTGACTCACGTGTCGCTTACTTATTCTTTTACCTTCTCTACTGAGATTTTGACCGCGAAAAAATAACATGGAGAACACAATCTTCTCTTTGGAACGAGCTACGGACGAACATGCGTCGCATTCGTGTTCCATTTTTTCCTCAGGTAGGTTTGGGGCGAGAGCATCCTAATCGTGACCCTCGTCTCACAACACCACAAGAGGGCCGCAAATGGGAAGACGTCCTAGGATCTGCTGGACTACGCGTAGATTACCGACCCATTTGGTATTGGGTGAGTATGACGCCCTGGCGTAGTTGATCCGAACTGTGTTACTGTTACCCCGTTGGTTGCTCCATGGTGATAGAACGATCGCCAGTGCCTGATATCACAGAAGCTTTATACGAATATGTATCGTTTTATGCTGGTTGTTGTGCATTGTCATTCTCTTACGGATGTGCAGGTACGTGTTGTTTTCATCGTCTTTTTATCACTCTGGGTATTCGTCATGGCATTCTTGTATCCGGCTCTGTTTCTGTGAGCAAGCCCACCCCGTCAGTAACCCTGACATTTGGGTTCTTGTTTTAGCGCAGCAAGGGGAAAGAAAAGCCGTGTCTGCATCGCCGCCAAGTATATCCGGTGAGTGCAAAGAGATACGGTCCGACGGGGGAATGCGGATTGGTGCTAGTCATTCATGCATAAGAGTAGTGCGGAGCCAACAGTGCAATGATTTATGGGGATCTGCAGCGATGAGGATCCACTCTGTTGTCGAAAAACGCCAGACGNACGCGACAGTTTTCGCGTTCTGGTATCTGCACTCCTGAGGTGGTCAATGCGTGAATAGGTGTGCAACTTTTCTGGTTATTTAGAAGCAAAATAATTAAGCAGAACTGGTCGGCTGGGCTCCACAGGTCACAGTAGGCAAGTCGCCAGCATCAGTGGCTATGCTATTTAAGAGCAGACTGCTACCCTCACAAACCAGGAGTAAGAAGGGCTCGTTCCCGGTACTAGCTCCTATAAAAACGACGGGAAAGCAGCATTTTCTAAAGTCCGTGCAGCTCTGTCGTCATTTACAGTCTGTTAAGGTAACTAGAGCAAATCAGTACCTTCTACTGGAGTAGACAGAAATAGAGCTGTTTAGAACTGCTTCCCAGTGTCTTTCCTGGGGTATTCACACCAGTACCTTGCGGTACAATTTGTTTAACTGGTCAAGGGCTTCCTTCCATGTGCCGCTAATCGACACCTACAGTCCAGAAGAGCGTCGTAGGGGACAATGGGCTGGCGGGCGATGTCATGCTAGCTGTTGGGGTATTTAGCTGCGCTATGTGCCGTGAAGCTCAGCGTTGAGCGCTCAATAAGTCCATTACTCAAGAAATGGAAGCTGTTCCTGCACTTCAAGTCAGAAGGAGGTAGAAGGCAGCTCAAACTGGTTCGAAGTACCAGCGCGGGCTGCATCCGCTACGCGTTAATGCGTAATTGCAAAGCTGTCACTGCTCTTAATCGACATCGGCGAGGAGGCAACTCGCATGCAAGTGCCCGCACGCAACCACTGCCCTCATGAGAACATTGCCTCTCGGGTCAGCGATGAAGTGATCTGTAGCAGGAAAGGAGCACTGCTCCCTTAACATAACAACGAATCTCCGCGGAAAACCTGCGGCACACGACCCTGCCTTGCCGACTGTTCGTGCCGCACAAAAAAAGCCCGAGGGAAATATCGCCTCACCAGCAACCGCATCCACAGTCACAGCCAACCGCAAATTGGCTGAAAATACTCGCCGATGCACCCTTCACCCAGCTACAGCGATAATGCACTGCAACCAAACTTAGATGATGCATGCAAGGAAAGTTGTCGTGTGTACTATGCGTCAACCTGATCATTACTGGGTGACTCGGCGATTTTCGTCGAACACAACGGGCACTTCACGCTGTGACTCGTCATGATCCACCTGTCAATGCAACGTTCGTGGAATATATGAAGGCACCTCAAAGTTAAGAGAACATCGCCAGGTTCGAAGGCACTCAGGCAGATACAGCAATCATAGCCGTTGTGCGTCTCGGTTTGTGCGCCTGCATCTGAATCTTCGGTTGCAGCATCCGTTGAAGCATCAAGTGTCCGACCCCTCTGTGTCTGCTGGGACCTTCCCCCACCTGTTCCTGCTGGTGCATTCACTCCATGAGCTGTAGTGGAGTGTCCATGCCCCTGCTCGGCTTTTCCAAAAGTCCATTTGAATGTGTGCTGGCCCAGGTTGTCGCGAAGGCATCGTGCCTCTGAAAGCTGTTGAAGCGTAACGCGAGTTCCATTGGCGTCTGCCCATATCTGAGGTACGAAGTCGTCCCCATCTCCAGCATCCCCTCCAGAAACAACGAGCATGAGAGGGGCTTCGAGGTCGTCCAAATCGTCAAGGGCGAAACTGCACTCGATTTCGTCTAAGAACCACCCAAGGTTGTGCTCAAACAAGTCAAAATTTGCCGGATCGGCGGATGCAGCCGCAAAAAGAACAAAAGGGGGACGGCGACCCCCAATGACGCGTCGGAAGTGCCTCTGATGCTCAGCTCGAAGGCCAGTAGGGAGAGAAAGCCCCACCCGAACCTCCCATGGCCCTCGCCACGGCAACTCGAGAGGGCCCGCCAAGGAAGAAAGAAAAGACCGGACCATGTTGGCAGCCACGCCACGGTGAATGCGAGCCCCAAGACTTTCTCCAAACACGCTATCAAACAAGGATGTTCCTTCGCTCCTTCCCGGGGTCCTCAAGAAATCGCTGGACCCCTCACGTGAGCGCCTGGGCCTTGCACCACCACCGCTCCACAGATACCTCTCATCGATAACAGACACACGAGACCGTGGCTCATGGCTGTGGCTCCGGTGATTTGTCGCACCCGATCCTGGCCGCTGCAACGCAGAAACGAATGGAAACCCCCGAGTTGATGGAGGACCTCTAACACTGGTGTAAGGCAGTGCAGACCCTCCAGAAAATGAATTCTCAGAGCTTCTCCTCATCCGTTCCTCCATCTCCTCGAGAGTGGGCAGCCTGGCCAAACCACTGCCGGCTACTTGATCATCCATAAAGCTCATAGGGCCGAACGCATCGAACACCTCGTCGAACAAATTTTCTGCTGTATGCCTCGTCCTTGAGTGACTGCCGCTTCCTGGTTGGGATCTTCCCACCGTATTCGACGGCAATCTTTCGCTGGAAGGCCCAGCGGTATGGCGGGCCATGCGGGTTGCAGAAGCGGACGAGCTTCCATGGAGCGCCGCCACTCCGCGCTGCTCAACTCGAGCAGCGGGGCTCCTCAACGTGGTTTGGCTGTTGTGTCTTGTGGGGGCCCCTTCAGTGCCCACTCGAAACCCGCCAGAGTCTTGTCGACGCAGGGAACTTCCCGCCGCTTGCGCAATGACCCTTCTGTCCACAGGAGCAAAGAGTGACATATCTCCACGACTCTGCCTATATCTTGGTGCAATATTGGGGATTGTGGGCGGAGTGGTCGGGTTGGGCAAAGCACTTCCTACGGGCGACGACAGCTGCTGACGTCCCAAGCGAGAGCCACTTGCCTGGGGGACGGGAGGAAGAAGCACGAAGGCAGGCGGAGCAGTCGGCGCCCAACTAGAAGGGCCACCTGCTGGGCGGCCACGTGGAGCGCCAGGTGACCCACTACCAGGCCACGCTCGCCGTCCACCGGCACCTTGCATCGGGAAATCCCACAGCGAGGGTTGCGGTCTGCTGCTTTGGACGATCGTACTAGACCGTCTCCAGATAGCAAAGTACGCCCCCAAAGATACCACCACGCAGATAGCTTAGAGGAAGAAATGAAGGCAGTCGCATGCGCCGGCACGAGGACTACTCGACCGCCGACATACACCAGGCCGACTTTGCCGTCTCGACTTTGCCAGGTGCAGCCTCGAGGGGGCCACGTTGCTTATCTGCAGAAAGACAAGTGCAAAAATACAAAACAGCTGTGAAGTAAATAGGTGTAGCATCGCCTACGCTGTCGGAAGATTGGCTACTTTCCCATGTGTGCTGCCTCTTGTCGGGAGCGAGATGCCGGTGGAGGATCAGGGCGCCAGCAGACATATTTTGAGTGTGTTGGGTTTTACTTTTGTATTTTAAACTTCGAACAATCATTAATGTCCGTAATATAAACTGAGAACTCAACATCTGCAGGCTGGTTCTCCTACGCTGTGTCTCGCACTGCAAGCAGCGGCACAACGAGGCCAGACCAGGGCTTCGTTGCACCGCCCTAAAGCGAATTTTGGCCATTGCCTGTGTATGCAGGCCCCTATGATTCTATCCAAATATACCAGATGTGAATGATGTCAATTATCGACATCTATTGACACCGGATAAACTGAATGATCAATTGGCAATTGAAGACAGGAGGACGCCCTTCGCATCTTCCAGCCTTCGGGCCTCAGCTGACGCGACCATCCGGTGCGCACGGTCAGCCTTCTCTTGCGTTAAAGCCACGCCTCCATCTTCATTAAGCTTGCATATTTGCACTTCTTGGACAAGTTTACCCAGATTCACTGAGAGGAAGTCGACCCACCGCCTTTTTTTTAACTTCACCCTTGGGTCCCCCCGTTGCAGAAAAACAGTTTATGTGTCCCCCCGGCCAAGCGGAGAACAAGTGAATAGACTTCTTCATGGATGAACACAACCCTATAGAAGACGAAATGACTCAATCTGCCCTGGAGAGCTGCTCGTGTGCATGAGCGCCCAGCCCAATGCGATTACTGACGGTCTCATCGCCCCCGCCCATTGTTTCTACGCAGTCTCTATTTGATATAAAACCCACGGAACTAGTTGTGGAGATGATAACACAGACACTCGGTCTGATGGTCCCGCCAGTCTTGCGTGGCTACTATATATGCCGTGGGACAAGGGAACGCGCTTGAAGGGATCCATGCAGTTGCGCGCCTGCACGCTGGGCACATAACATGCCAGCTCTACCATCTTATCAATTGATGACTATAAGCAGTTTTTGACTCACTGTATCAAGACTGCACGAGACGGCAGGTAAACGCAGTGCATGGGACTGTTGAGTGGGCAGAAGAGGCAATGGCACCGGCATATGCAAAAAAGACTTCGCAGTTGCTGCTCTCCTCAGACAGCTCCTCCAGCAGTGACTTACCGTCCAGCCCCTCTGACACCAAAGGAAAGTCGGCAACTCGAGGGCAGCAATCACCAGAAAAGCGAGGCAAGCTGCCACTCGCCCCGAAGGACACGAATGAAGGAGCGCTGCCTCGTCAGGATGTTCCGCCCAAATATCCGAATGGGACTACAAAAAGGCCGCCACCTGCTCCCACAGTGGATGCATTGGGCTCCCTGTTTGTCCCGGGATCTCCACATAGGCGTCCTAAGGACAGCCCGGGAGATCGCGGACTTCCAGTAGAGGATCCACTCTTAGCTTTTGACTCCCCTTCACAGGCAGTGCAGCGAATCAAAAGCGCAGTCATCACGAGGGCTCCAAGTGGCAGGAGTTCGGAGGCACGAGATGTGAAAAGTGCTTCAGCGGAGCTACCGAAGGGACTCTACCAGCCACTTAGTCGGCAGGCCTCGAAGCGGGTGGCCTCAACACCTCGTGAGGCGGCGTTTGCTCGCAAGCCATCAGGCCTACCCGTCAGGAGCAGGCAGAGCATCGGATCACGTAGAAAAATTGACCAGGCGGATTCTCCCCGGTCCGGAAAGTTGCTTCCATCCTCTCCAAGACCGCAGAGTTCGGATGATGGTGGCAATCTAGTTACTCCTCGGCGGAATGGAGGGGGAGAGCAAGACGCCTCAACGAAGGTTTTGCAGAAGAAAAACTCCGAAGATGCGTGGACGACGCTTCCTCGAAGGGAGGCCCCTTCAAGGAATAACAGCAGAGACGGGGGACCCCAAGGACGAGCTCAAGCTGCCAAGGCGGAGAAACGAACGTCCGCTGCTGGCCCTCCAGTGACGCGCAAATCTTTAGTTTTGTCCAAGCAACAGCCGAAACTCCCGACGGGGAGGTCGGAGGCAGATGCGACACCGTGGTCTGACGAGGGTTCGGAGAGGCTAGGCGTCTCGAAGCCCCAGGAAAAGGCTCCAAAGAAGCTCGTCTCCGCAGGTACGGATGCTCGTTTGTCTCCAAGAATTAAATCATCAGTTGATCCGGGTGTCGTACAAGACCTTGAGGGTCGCCTTGCCAAGTCGAACCGCCGAATAAGCGAGCTGGAGGCTCAAGCAGCGGAAGCTAAAAGGCTCCACACCGAAGAGCTTGAACGTCTGCGACTAGAATACAAAGTTAAGGTTGCTGAAGAAGCGCAAAAGGTCAGGAGTGAGCGCGAAGAGGCGATGGAGAGGCTTCGGAAAGAAGAGAAGAGCAAGCTCGAAGAAGTTCAAAAGCAAGCTCTAGCACGCCAAAGTAGTATGAAGATGCGGTGTGACGCGTCAGTACGCGAGTTGAAAGAGAAAATTGAAGCATTGGAGAACCAGCTCAAGACGAAATCGCAGGACTTCGAGCGCGAGCGAGTCGATCTTATGAGGTCATTTGAAGATAAACGCAAGCACGACTTACAGGCACAAGAGAACGAGGTGAAGACGCATCAGAAAGAACTGAAGAACAAGGAGTCAGAATTAATGGAACAACAAGGCAGAGTGCAGGCTCTTACTGCAAGCATGCAGACTCTCACAACTTCGTTAGCTCAGATGAAGGAACTGAATGACATATCAAGAACGGCAACGCAAGCACTGGAAGAGAAAGCAAAAACACAGGCTGCATTTATAAACACACTGATGAAGAGGGAAGAAAATCTGCGCGCTCAGGCAGCAAAGCTAATGCCAGTAAAAGAAGCGAAGAGGCTTGCATTCCGGGCGCTGCTCAAAGGAAGAGCGGTGGAGATGATTTCACGAGCGTGTATGCCAACAGACGCCAGCCTGTGGAACAAGGCGTGGGCTTTCCAACAGCTTGTTGACCTCATAGGCGGCGCACGCGGGTCCAAAGAAAGGCGGCAAGACGCAATTGAGTCAAGGCTTATGCAGTTCCGTAAGGAACAGATGTTCCTTATGGCGGAAAACGAAAGACTTATGGCAAAAGTGAGGCATCCGCTTACTTCTGGTTCAAAACATGGCTCCGTTGTCTACAGGCAGTGGTGTGGTGAAAGCTTATGCGCCTTACTTTGGATGTTCTGTGCAGGTTGCTGAGCTGCAACAAGAGGGAATAAACCAGAGGCAAAGCAAGGTGAGGCTCCCCTAGGTTGCATTATCTTTCGGATTCGTGCATACAGCTGCAAATACGCCTTGACCAGTAATTTTCATCCAAAGCAACGGTCCACGGTGCCTTCTCGAAATTTGCCCTTTTGCGGACTGCAGGTTGCTCTAATGGAGCAGGCCCTCATTGGAGATGCTTCGAGCGGTCCAAGTAGTGCAACAAATAACAACAGTGGATGTCCAGGCCATGAACCCGCTCCTCGATTTCTTGTAGTGTGTATTCAACACTTAGTTGATAAAAGGCGGTTGTGGGCATTTTTAAGGTACGTTCCATCGGCAGAATCAAGCCTTCGGCACTTGCAGGCTGATAAGTTCGTCACACCTGATGGGTGCGAGAACTCCTTGCGCGTCGTTTCAGGCTCCAGAAGGTGACCACAGAAGCTGAGTCGAATACGACAATAGACAAGCTCCAGAAGAGATTCAATGAATTGCGAGTATCGGCTTACAAGGAAATGGCGGCGAGAATCGGGATTTTTAGGCTTGTAGCGTTCATAAAGTGAGTTACTTCCGCAGAATAGCGGATCGAATTCGTGCTAGCGTTTACGGGAAACGTGACTCCATATGAGACGGTGATGAGCCTCGCTTTGTTTCAGGTGCCTGCGTCTCCGAGCATTGTTCTGTTCCTTCTTCAACCTTGCCATGAATGCAAGTGAGTTGGCGAACTGAGTTGAATCGCCCTATCCGCAGTCCATTGAATAAGCCTGGCCACTGCGCTTACAGAGAACCCCTGTTCAAAGTGCCGCGTATCTTCTTAACTGCATAGGCACGTTGTGTGAGCTGTTCCGTTGCAGAACAGCTCTCTTACGACGAAGCGTTGAAGAAAGCAGAGCAAATCCGAGTTCCCTCAGATCCGTTCACAAAAGAATCAGTTGCACCTGAATTTCCAGTTACAGGGGCGTACACCAAAACGGATAATGCGCGGCTGGATCTCAACGTTCCTTTGGCACATCAGCCACACTACTATCGTCAGTTGCCGTCCGTACGAAATCCACCTCGCGGACGTAACATGTTCGTCCCAATGATTGACCCCAGGCCACCAGTGCAGGGCTACTTGCCACATCCTGGGTACTCACACACCCCACTATCGCTCGGCGTGCCACCTTTCGTAGCGAAGGGCCGACCACCAGGAAGCAGTGTGGGTGTCCCAAATGCTTTCCCTTCGGGGCCTTATGATGCAACACAGCCAGTAGACGAGCGAGGGGCAGTATTCCGTATGAGGGGAGCACAGCAGGATCTGAGGAGGATCATGATGGAAAATGCTGGTGACAAAGTGGGAGCACGCATCGTCGGAAGAAAGTAAGCAGGCTTGTTGAAGCTCACAGTTCAGTCAGTGCACGGAGAGGCTCAGGATGCACAGGACGGCACAAACACAATGGATATGCTATGTTCGTTGCAGGCTTCCAAATACGAGCTTTCAGTCGTAATTGTTGCTGTACGCACATAAACTGAGCGTCCACCCCATCACCGCGAAGGCGCATTATGCCCTACACTCGCATTAAGCAGTGTGTGCAGTTGGGGGATGCTTCATCGGCTTTTTTGGCTGTGGAGAGAAGCAAGAAACTCGCGTACAGCCCGTGATAAGACGTTCTCGCATGACAATGGTCTACGACTCTTTTTCTGGTGCCATGGGGGCGAATGCTGCCACGAGTGGCAGTTTATTGGTGAGCCCGGCCTCTCCCGGCAGCTACAGGCAAAGCCGAGGAGATACAGAACTGTCATATCACGTGACCAGCATCACTTTTATAGCCCGTTGCGCGCCGATGCCGACAATGAAAAGGGTCAGAAGGATGAGTACGTACATAAGGCATGCCGCTGTTGTATCGTACAAGAACTTGACGGCGAACAGATCCCATATCTGCAAAGGCCCAGAAAATGACTACACACGAAAAGCTGTTCGTTTAAGTGCAACTGCTGAAAAGTTGTCCAAACGACAGTGAACTGCTTGGAGATACTGTGTAGAGGCAAACTTACAAAAAGACTTTGTCGGAGAAGTATCAGAGACAGTAGAGAGCAGACGTGTTTAAAGGTGACACCCATAAGAATCCTGCGGCCACAAAAACCGCAGTCACATCAGGATTCGGTCACGCGGATCTGCTTTATTCTGCAGTGGTAGTGAAAGCCGCATACGCTTCTTCTCGTCCGGCCATGTACGGCATAAGTGGGCGGCTTAAATGGCTTCTAAGCTGACGCATCTCCCCAGTTAGAGATTTTAGTTACCCAGAGGCGAATTTTCCAATCATTAGTGCAGTGCTCTGCACCACTGCAGGAGTTGTGGAACCTTGTAGGGCTTGCGCGATCGGGGCGGTCTGGTCTGTCGCCAAATGCGCCGTACGCAAGAAGAGGAGCATAAAAACAAGTGGACAACATATCATGTAGACCACATACGTGTGCAAGAACGACGTTACAAATGACCACAAGGGATGAAACTCCAACAATCCCACAAAGCCAGCTTCAACCGGAAGCGCGCTTAACTTCGTTCGGTGTCCTGTCACGAAAAATGTGTCCAGCGCCAGTAGCGAAGCCATCATGCAGAAGCTGCTGTCGGACAGGAAGAAGTGCATTCGGTGCTCCTGTTTGCTGAAGTATCCGCCGGCGTCCCATATTGCCTTAGGGTAGCCAATGTCATATGCATCACGATCTGCTGGAGATGTCCGTCTCGCGCGGCAAAAACTGCAGTTGCACATCTGGCGGCGCTCCACGACCAGCACTCGTCCCAGGAAAAGCAGCAGCCGCCACTTTATACACGAAAGCAGAAGGGGCCACAACTGTACCCTCCCAAGGAGAACAGCGAACATGCAAAGTGGACATACCGCTGTAAGGAAGAAGTAGTGTGCAAAGTATTCCCATAGTTCTATGCTCCACAGAGTAACACCTCTTTCCTTCCTTTGCACATTCTGTTGGGATGGACCATCTGCATGTAAGCTGGCCTTGAACCCCTCTCCCAATGCTATTAATTCCTCTTTCGCAATGCGCAGCTGTTGCCTACTAATGTCGTTTTCGCGCATTTTCATGCGACAGAGAATCAGCACCAGGCGCATCCAGAGCCCTGCAGTGAACAAGTAGATTACCCAAGGCAAGAGAGCATTCAGAAGAGGCACCAACTTGACTTGCCCATCATCCAGAAGCTGGGAGGGGAGAACCCCCAGCAAACAACGTGGCGCGGTGAATAGCCATGGTTCCCGTGGCGTGAGCCATCCAATGAAAGTAGCACCCGAAGCGTCGAGGACTTTAAACGGAAAGACAATGGCCGACCATAAAAACGCAAACACATCGTAGATAGGAGCGCTATGTCCTTCTCGATTGTGCTGTGAAGCTTGCGACGCCGGCTGTGGCGACTTCGAGTCGTGAGGAAAGGCAAACCATAGCACCGCAATGGCCCCCTGGACAAGAAAGATGTCCCGTTCGAGTGTGCACGGCCTGGCCCCCTTCAGGCCTCTCAGCGGGTGGAAGCTTGCAATCCGAAACCTGGAATTATTTGCAGATCCGCCGGAACTGCCACCCTTTCCACTCCCAAACAGCCGTGCGATAAGCGGTAACTCCCCCATTCCGACAACGCAATAAATGCAGAGCATGAGGAAGGCACTGGCGCTGGCGGAGTCAATCTGCAAGGGCCAGCCGCTTGCCCCCCCCTTCTCCGCAGAACGCGCAAACGGATCAAAAGCGCTCCCAATGCGAACGCAGGCAGCAAGTCCTCCACACCTGATATTAAAGCCAAGCACACAAGCGAAACGCACTGAAATGAAGGATTAAAGAGGAGTAAACGGGACAATTCTCGAGGATACCGAGCACTTAGGCTTTAGCACTGAATTCCCCACCCAATGAATGTTGGGAGGGCACCGATGCCTGGCCTCATAGAATCGAAACATATGAATCGATTCTATGCAGTTTTGCTGTAGAACTGCTCCACTGTTCACTGTATCGACGCCTTCAAAGGGCCTGTGTAGAAAGTTGGCTGTGGAGTGAACGCTCACGCAGCAATTATTTGCTTCTTCTCTCTTTCGGCTGATGGCGTAGCAAAGACAGTGAGGCCCGCCAAAATGCAAAAGGTGCTGATGAGAAACTTGACAACGGAGCATTCCCTTTCAACGTAGCAGTTATTAAAGGGTACAAGGCACACTGCGAGCAATGCAGCATAGCACGGCAACCTCCCACCGCCGAAGAGGGCCAGCCACAGGCGGGAATGACAAATATGCTGCTGCACTAGGTCGCGAATCCCCCATGCAGAAGCAAGAGACTTATCTTCTCCCTGACGTGAGCCACAAGGAAGGTCCCGTTGTGCAGAGCTTGGGTGGAGAGACAGAGTGCTCCGGGCGAAAGGTACAACCACCGAGCACAAGGCGCCAGTTAGGCAAAGAGCGGGGAGCTGGCGCCACAAGAATACGTCCAATACAGACGCCCAATCTCCCATTACGGAGCTAAATATTTTCAGCAGAGCCCATCCTGTTGCCCAGGTCCCTCCTGAAATTGACGCACTTATGAATAGCCACCGGGCAATAGTGGCTGACTCTGGAAGGTTACACGCAATCCGCGCTGCAGGGGTCGGGCTTGTGCAGCCACTAAAAGGGTTACGTAAGGCCCAGACAGCCAGCCCCAAAATGATAAGACTACTAAGGGCCATGAAGATCCCGCAAAGCATCAACATGATATTAAAAGTGCACAGCTGGCGGACACTAGCCTGCCATGCCTCCTGCGAAAATTCAGCAGACGCCCTCAGGTAAGGGACTAGAGACGGTAAGACAGACGCAGCACCTGCAGCCACTCCTTTGGTAGTCCCTAGGCGTGAATCTCCATCGTCACTTTCAAGGCCATCGGCAGGGGACTGAGAGGACCGCGAAATCTGTGAAAGCAGCTCGGCATCCGCAGCCTCAAAATCAGCAGTGGGCAACGAGATAGTAGTGTCAAACTCCCTGCGGCTGAAGGTAGACGACGAGGAACCTGAAGTCAGGGGTACATGCGCTGCTGGCGGCAAGGACTTTATCTCCTTGTCGAGTTCAGAGTACAATCTGAGCCATTTAACCTTCGCTGCTGCAAATTGAGGATCTGAAAGCACCGCCCTATTTCCTGTTAGCGCTGCGTGGGTCATGATAGCTCGGTGTTGCTGCCACGATGCGATGTGATGTAACTGTGTCAGGTACGCCAGATCACTACAGCGCACTGTCCTTGCAACTGCAGTGTCTTCACTTTCCGTCAAGGTGCACCGCTGGTCATCCTTCGCATCGCACTTGAAGGTGTCCAGAGATGCCCCTGGAGCCTCTGGAGCGCACTCCTGCACAAAACTTGCAATCCTCGGGACGAGATCTTCTATGATTCTTCCCATAGAATTGAATGGAATAGGAAGTCCAAGAAGTAGAGACAACGTCGGCGCCAGGCCCACCTGCCGTACACGACGCGATCCGTAGCCCAGTGCTGCTGTGGGGGAGCCGGCAGCAAGTGCCGATCCCGGCCCAACCCTCCGACGCCCACTGCTGTCCCGAAAGGCGCCGTGACTCTGCAAGTATGTCGGCAGACGGCCTCTGAAAAGACGTGTACCCGGAGAAAGCATCTGCGCAGTACGGGGACGTAGCATCGCCGGTAGCGTCGAGAACGACAAGAGACCAGCCTCGACCTGCGAAGCGAAACAACCACAGTCAAACGGTCCGAGCACACGGATTAACACGATGCGGTGTCTTGCTACCAATCCTTCTCATTTTAAGATCAGCTCCGGGAGGGAATGCTATGGGCGGATGCATACTTCTACACTCTACTCAAGCATGTGGTGGCAAGTATGTGATGGCCGTATGCTTTGCAGAACGTATGTTTGGGAACCAATACACACGGCATGCAGCAACTACGTTTGGGAGCCAAGGAAGGCGGAAACGTCCTCAGAAGAAACCGAACATATCCATAGATTACGGCCGTATTCCTTGTACCTACTTCCTCGCTGCTACCACCACCGTGAGAGCCTGCTTCAGTCATTCCGTGGTCCCCAAATACAAGAAAAAGCGTCTGAGTGGGCCTGGTAGACACTGCATTTGAGTTGTGCTTAAGCATCAATTTGAGTAAGTTCTTTAGCATGCCATTCATTTCTTTCAGCTTTTTATGCATAAAATTGGAATCAAGGACTGCTGCATGGCCCACATGATCGACGCCAAGAACGTGGCCGACAAGAAAGGTCCAGTCGCCCTTTCTGCAAAATATACAGACATTGCATACTTAGGTGGAAAGTAGCACTATGCACCCTTGTATGGTATTCTTTCTTGGAAATTCAATCCAAAGTCCAGGCCAGCAATTTTCCATAGAATCTAAGTGGCCTCCTATAAATGCGGCCGAACGGATATTCTGCATGGAGCATGCACTGGGATGGGAAAAAGATGGGTACAACATCACTTCGAAGCACTTACGGCATATTTTGACAGAGAAAGACAGCGCAATTCTGAAGTCGTCTAGGGAAGGGCAAACTATCAGAAAGCAAGAAGAGCATGCATAACCGCATCGCTACCCATAATTTAAGCCTTACGCAAATTCCCGTGGAAGTTCAGCGGCGACCCCATCATCTACTGTGTGCAAATCCTGGATATTCAACGACGGGAATACGTGTAGCCGGGTTAAGAGGTGACCGAAGGAATGATCCCACGTATCATCGCCTGCTCGGTGGATCCGGCACACAACAGAACACAGCGATATTTTCAAATTGCCTGTATCTGCATGGACGACAAGGACAGCCACAACTTTGCAAACATACCGATAGCGACAGAGGTCTTGTTTGCTGCCTTCAGCTGCAGCAGCAAGCTATCTACGTCTACTGCCGACGCAGAGAACGTCTCCCGAACCTGAGGAAGTCCAGTCAACGCAGTTGCATGCCACGAAACTGGTTGATCATAGCCAACTGCGTACACCCCAAACTGCGGACAGTGGTGGGGGCCGCATGGTGTACTGGTCATCTACAACAATACCAATGCCCAACCTCCTAAGGCACGCTTCAAACGACGCATCCCGTCCCTTAAGCAACGGACGTGTCGGAATTCCGTTAAGGCTCACGCTGAAAAAGCTTGGCATGCTTCCTGTGGCGAGGCCAGTCAGACGCTGCGTAGTGGCGGTAGGCGGATCTGCTTCGAAGATGTAGAGTCGAGTGAAGCGGTTTCCTCCCCAGTTATCAATGGAGGGCAACCCAGCAGACCTCCCCTGCGACCCTGAGGCATCTGGTGGCAACTTGGTTTCAAGTGTACTCAGATCCTCCTGTGCTAAAGTTGTGCTATTTCCTATGCCTGGAGGCGTTTCCTTGCCATCCATCAGGCTTAACAGGAATTTCTGAAGATCTGCATCGGATCGGCGGAGAAGGTCATGCGCAAAAGGCATGCGATTTCGGTAGAAGGGCCGTAGGCCAGAAGGCGCGGCGAGACACTCCTTGGTGGCGTTGTCCTCACAAGCATTGGAGGCATCGGGGTCCCAGAGAAGAAAGTCAAAGCGCATCGCATCAATTAGAAAAATGACGACGCGGTCGTAAGGGGTTACGGACAGCCAAGAGGATGAACAGTGTTCAGTCTGGCAGTAACCGGGCTCAGAAGAAACTGAAACGAGCTTTGGGTCTGTAAATTGCTCCAAATACAAAGGTCTAGGGGCACCTTCAGTGTCTCCATGCTCGCCAGAGCCACGCGGGGCCCCTGGACTACTGTTATCCGCATAGTATATGCCCTCTTCTTTATTTAGTTGAAGTTGCGCCGGGTCTAAGTGGGGAAACAGCGGCGGGAATGGTATTGCTCGTCCGTTGCTGATGAATGGCAAATCATCTCTCGACAGGAAGAAACCACCAATAAAGAGCAAAGTTCCAACGGAGAACAGAGTCAGGGACAAGCCAATAACGGAAAGTAGCCGAGAGAACAGACCCGTAAATGTGGTGGGAGCCGAAAAGCTTGCCACATCTCCTGCGGCTGCCGTCTCCCTGGAGAGGGGCCATTTGTCCACACAACTCTCGCCAGAACGTTCTGTCAAATCAATCTTACTACTTACAATAGCTTGGCGTTGCATACCGACACGCTCGCGAGGGCCGCCCGACGAGCGTAATGTCATGCCTCCTTCGGAAGCGCCGCCTTTGCAAGCAGACATTTCCCTGCAAAGGGAGTTGCAGTTGCCTCAACTCGTCTAAGGAGCATGTCGCAGATGTCTGCCAAGTGCTAGAGCCGCAGCCGACATATGGGGGGAGGAGATGCCGATATGGACGAAGGAGAGGCAACAGCAAGATGGTGAACTCAGCCTACGCAGACCTCCCAAGACAAGATGTCCTCCTAGGACCGTTTGAGTTTCTCTTCAATTCACTCTCAGACAGCGTGTCCTCTTAAGTACAGTAAGAAGCTGCGTGTTGGTAGGCGGGGGGACTTGTCTGAGGCTCACTGGAGGCGGGCAACCAAAAAAGTCCACTGCGGTCCTCTGGTGGGCGTATTTCCCCTGGAAGTGCTCTTCTCTACACTCGATACAAAAGCGAATGCCATTTGTATATGAGTTTCAACTCAGTTACGAGAAGACAGCAACAAATGCCTGCCAGGTACCGCCATTAGCGCATGGTCGGTCCACGAGACGGGTAGCCGTGGGCTAGGAAGTCCACAGGGCACAAAGGTCTGGAAGAAATAGACAACGAATACGCTGTGAAGGATAAATAAAAAAAGGAACTATTTAGCATCCCGTGATAGGGCTGGCAGATAAGAACAAACTCGCAAGCGCATGCACTCAGCGAGGCACCTGGTAGTTTGCCGAGTACGGTAGGGGCACACCGCTCAATAAATATTTGGCCATAACAACAGATGAGAAAAAGAAGTATTAAATAATTGCACATTTTGCTGAGGAAAGGATGCCTCCAGTCTTCTGTGTAGGGCAGGTGGTGTGGCAACCACGATTTTGGCTCGCCATGCAAAAGACATGCCGTATCGGTAATAACGACGGATGTGGAGAAGTAATATTTAATTACTTCGCAGGCTACTGAGGATAGTCCTCTGTACCTGCCTCTCACACCAATATTATGGAGACTGAACGTGGAGCACGGATGTAACTGGAATTGCTACATGTTTACTGTATGTGCTCAACAGGCCCCAAATAAAGAGATAAACTGCCCCTGTGGTATGCATGAAAGAATTTCTATGGATGCGCACATACGTGAGAGATGTGCTTCTGTAGACGGCACTCCGTTCAACGATGAATCCCAACAAATAAGACATTCTTTTACTCGCCATTATCAGAGATAGTGGCCGCTTCCGGTTTCCAGGATCCCTCGGGGTAGGGGAGGTTTGGTACCTCTGGGAGTGTGCGACATTCTTAAGGGAAAATGCCTGGCATGCCTGCTGGTTGTTGATTCCACACATGAAAATAGAATCGACTGCAGGTGTATTCGTCTGCTCCACCGGCCTATGCCACATGTCACATTTGGCAAGTTGCAGACACGCCAATCGCTTACACTTGAGCTGGCGATCAGCTAATAACATTTTATGAACAACGAACAATCGAACAATTTCCTACGCGCACATTTCACAAGCGCGCGTATGTCCTGAAATGCGAGTATTGCACGGCGTCTTTTGTGGTAGACAATTATTGCGAGCGCGAAAGGACAGGCGTAGATGCTCCCCGTGGATGTACCCAACGGGACAGGTTTTCCATTTACTGTCACTGGGGCAGCATAGCTCTATTGTGGGGGAGAACACCGATAATAACGCAGGCATAGCGCTGGGATTACGCCTAGTGTCGTCCGGGCACCCTGATTCCCCCTTCAATGCTCGCATTTTGCCTGTAGGCGTTCCAAGGCACTAGAGCTACACTCTCCTTCCTGCAGGAAGGCCAGTGAATCTCCTTCATAATAATGACTGCAAAAGTCACCAAAGATTAGCAGGGGACAAACGTATGACAAATCACACTGGGAGGCAATATCTTGTAGCAGACGGGCGGCAGCCGATTCCATTCCAGTGCTGGAATGCACGTGAAGGTTTTGTTTCAGCAGTTGTAGGTAGCTGCGCAGTCCTACAAGCACCACGTCTAAAGGCACTCTTCAAATGGAGGCTCTACCCAGAACCGTTCCTAGTCCATTACAAGTAATTGAGCAGTCTCTGTTTGCACGTTTTCGCGTCCTTTTACTTTAGATTTGATAACCTACTTCATGCCTACTTGCCCTGCTGAACCTGAATTTGGTGGCGCCGAACGGCCCATACTTGAAGAGATCGGGTGGGTCGATCATACGTTTTGGCTGTGTTCCGTTTCCCTGTACTTTTTGCTGCCAGACGTGGATGGGTGTCTCGTTCGTTCGATGCTAGCCTTAGTCCACTTCTCTCTATGCTGTTTCCTCAAAACATAGGTAATCCACCAAGAAGCTCGCTTAATTTGCTTATTGAACGCCAATATATGGCCTTCTATTCAAGCTATGCTTAGCCGAGCCCCCTTAAAGAGTGCACAAGGAGGTCTACACTGACGTTCTCAGCTCTATACCTAAGTTGCAAGCGCTACACCAGATACCAGAAACGCCCCTGCAGTGATCGTAACGGAATAAACATATATAGAGGGCGGCCTTTCGAAAGTGGAGCACCCTGTACAATCAATCCCTGCGGCGGCCCGCTAAAATGCATAGGCTGCAAAACCTGTAGCCCTTACCTCATGGCGATTCATGCAATTCCAGTAAAATCGAGTCCCTAAAGTAATGGACAGGAAAAATACAGCTCTCTGGCAGAACGGCCAAGATGCGCTTAACCATGGGTATAGGTAACCTAAACGAACCGATGCTGCTGAAGCTCTGTTTACCTCCTCCGATGCTGCTTCACCAGCAAGACGAAGCTCTCAAAGCAAATGGGGCTCTTAGAAGGCAACTCTCTATAAAGACAAGCTTCCGAGAGAAGCTCAGCTTCGTCTGTGGCATTTACCTCGCCTACGCCCGAGCAGCAGGCACTTTTTGGCTTCAGTTTCTCCAGTTTTGAGTTAAAGTGCTAACGGAAAGTGCTAACGCGTGAGAGAGCCCTATCACAAATGAAAGTACGCACGCAAACAATTGCATTTTCCCCACTATCCCAACTTGGTCTCTCCTATCCCACAAACACAGGGGAACAGGGCTTTGAATGCCCAGTCGAAAATTCCTGACAACCACAGCTGCACATCCCCGGGGCCCTGCAACTTCCAGAAAATCAATTAAAATCATGGGCGCGCGTAACTCTTCACTGAGAACTTAAAAACCCCTTTTTATATTGTATTTAGGTATAAACCATTAGGAAAACGATTTCTCAGGGCTCATTTAAACCTAGCATGCTTGTACAACTACCTAACAATCGCAGTCAATGTTGCATTTCGTCACCATGAACATAGAACTTGACTGGGGCCGGGTCGCGCAACTGTCCGCCAAAATATTGATAGCAAGTCGTAATAATATAGCCGCTGCCTAATAGGCAACGGCTATGGAAGCCGTTATTCATTGTAACAGTACTTCTATTGCTCCTGCCTAGAACTCGTAAAGGAGTGATGGTTTAGTGGTGCGTATGGCGGGATTGCAACTTTTAGTCGTCTGCGACGAATTTTCTTGCCGGCGTTGTCTCAGAGTAGAGACGACGCATCTAAAGCTAGCCATTCATACTCGACGCGGCGTATACGTTTTGCGTAATAATCGACGAATTTCGATGCAGCAAAGAATATACAATTGGCGCGTCTTTGTGCTCAAATAGCAGAGCAGGTTTCACACGCGCAGAGAGTCGATTGGGCGGTCGTGTGGCATCTTGTCCCCCGCCCCTTCTACAGCATTGGCCATTCCAACACTTACAAGTCCATTTAAGCTTGAGATAATGTGTTCAGCGGCACACTTTGTTTCCAAGCCGGATTTAGATGCTTGATGTAGACAGGCGCCGGCCTTGATGTGCCAATGGATCCTTCTGGTTTTCACCCGCCAAACTACCCATCGAGAGCCTAGCGATGAAACTTACTGCATTTTTATGGCACTCTGTTTGCATGTATCCGCTGTCGTTGAGCTGTTGGTCTTCAATGGCAGTGACGCTAGCCTCTGCACTCTTCGACCACCCCCTGTCAGCGCGGTGGAAACGGAGGCTTCAATCGAACATGAACTTTTTCGTTTGGCCTCCTTTCCATTTCTTGGAATGCATATCTGACGGAGGTACAGCCCAGATAACTTCGAAGAAGTTGTCCCAGCTGTGACTTCTTCAGATAACATCTTCGAAGTTATTCCAGCTGTGACTGCCAGATACGCATTCCCAGAAACATTTGTGGAGAAGTTATGTAGCCGCAATTTGCGCACTATATACCCATATCGCGAAGAGAAGCATTAAATGAATGTTTGCTAAAAGGCAGGTGCCGTGGATATTTATATGGGTTGTCGAAGTGTGGGCCCAATCAGGCAACTAAACCATCAAGTCAAAATTTTGACAAAAAACCCTTCAGTATCCCCATAGTTCGTAACTAAAGCTGAACTAGGACAGAGTTCTGTCTGTCACAGCATTTTGCGTCTTTCCTGCCTGCGTGCACCTGTGGTGCTCTGTGGAATGACGAGAACATGTCTTATACGATGAATCGAACTTGTTCATACAGGCGTGCCTTTTGCAAGAACGCCGTTGCGGTTACGCTGGTATGGTAGTGGGACGTGCTGTCGGAATTGATGTGCAGCACTCGCACAAGTGCGGGTTAGTGCCACTGCAAACGAAAGCAGCGTAGTAAGACTCACATGGGAAAATGGCACCGACACGTCCACTCGGAAATACGAATTGGAGAGATCTGCAGGAAACCTTCGTCACAAGATGGAACACATAGTTACTCTCAAGTTATCTGACAAGGGCAATAATCAACCCCAGCTGCACCGGGAAGTCATCACCTCCAAGTGCACCGCTGCCTTTACACACGATCTCCAGGCAGAAAAGAATCCAGAAGGCACCAAGGCAATTTATGCCGATGCGTTGGATAGTGGAACACGCTTGAGGCAATGCCTCACTGGCTGCCAAAGCTGGGGAAGACTGCGCGCAAAGTCGGCTGCAATCGAAGGGGACCGTCGTCCGACCCATGCAACTGGAAGGATTTCTTGCTACTCCTTGGTGAGACGTAGACTTTAAGCTGCCCGTAGATCCACGGCCAGCATGAAGGCTTAGTTCTAAAGGTAGTGCTGCCGCCACATATCAACATCTTTTGATGTAACATCGCCGTTGCGCAACGGTGGTGCAATGGCTGTAGAAGAACACGCGCTCAGACCAGAAAAGCAACACCACACGCTGGTACCAAAGACAAAACAAACCAATGCGGCCAAAGAATACAAACTCATGGACACCAGTGATATGCAGCGGATATTCCCAGTTCCTGTTGGGTAGCTTCCGAAATCACTCCACAGCTGTCGTAGAGTTGGAACTGGAAATACTCTTGGGGTTGTCACGCTTGTGGGCGCTCCAACCATCCTTTCAACAGCAACTGAACGGGGAATAAATATATCTAAAAATTTCAGGCGGGATGTCAGGTGCATCAAGCGTTGGGCACCACGGAAAGGCGTCGGCTCAACACGGACGGTCGCCTGGTTGCCTCTGAGGCAAAGAGTTTAGGGGGGCCTTCGACGGACAGTTCCTTCACTGGGTCTTGCGGATCCGACAGTTCCTTGGCAGAGTTGAGATGGGCCGGGCTCTGTGTCGCGTTGCAGTTAGTGTTTTCATCATTTTCCGAGCGGTTAAGCTCACGTTTGCCCTCAATGGCGCTGCTTGCGCTGTCTATGGGTGTTTCCCAACACCCATTGCCGTCTTTGTCTCCAACTGTATTCAAACGGCTGGGTTCTATAGGACTAGGGGGAGGGCTCCATTCAGCGCAGGGTTCAGTCTGAGATGCTCCCGGGGTTTCTTGCCAGACATTGTGGGGCCTCTGTCGCCAAGATGGTGAGACCGTGAAAGGAAGCCTGCCTAGTCCACTTCCGTCTGAAGCTACTGAGTTAGTCAGTTCCCTTGCTTCATTTAGCTTCGCATCTGCTCCACCCTGCTGAGAGGGATTTGGAGACTCTCTGCTATCTGCCTCACCATCACGGCCCGGAGCCAGTGTCGGCGATAAAAAGGCTATACTATCCCTGAAAAGCAATCACATCACAAAAACAAACTGCAGCAGTCGAACTTGTGATGCCTAACGAGCCGTCCTGCAAGTGCAAACAAATTGAATGCGTGCTTGGTTGCCCTGGCGATCAATTTAACCAGGAACACGAATTTGTAGTCAAACGGGGAACGTTTTCAAAGGAATAGCCGGCAATGACTCACTCATCATCGGGGTCGTAGAGGTTTGCTAGTTCGCGACGTATCAACGCCAGCTCCAAGTCCGAGTCGCCTCGCAACAGCATTAGTTGAAATTGGTGTGCAAGCTTCTGCCGAAGCTGCTGTCGCTGTTCTCCCTGTTGAGACAAATGAGCCGCTGCTTCCTTGCTCGCTCGTTCATGCTCATCAAGCATATAAAGTTGGACCTAAGCAGAGACAGCTTCCGCAGCCTTCAGATTAAGTACGCGAGTACCGAATAACGTAGCGCACAAGCACTAAGTACGGCTTCAGATAGTTAAAGAGAGATTTGAGCATAATCTAGCGCAATATTGCACCTCGCGCTCATTCAGGCGCTTCAAAATGCCTAAAGAACACCAACGACGCACCTTGTTGAAAGGAGAAAAGCTAATTCCTCGGCTTCGCCTGCGACTCTCAGTGGACTGCTGCGGACCAGTGCTGCTGTTGCGTAGGATTGACTTTCGGCGTCTTTCGTGTGGGACAGTGCCTGCAATGAACAGGCACCTGTTCACGCTAGCGTCATGTTCTAAAGCTAAAAGGTTCATTGCCATTGGTGCAGAATTGGAACCAACGTATTAACCGACGTCAACGTTACTTCATGTCAAGTGCCAGATGCGGGGGTTCGTCCTGCGTGCTGCCGGAATACCAGGACTCAGCGTAGGCCATATTCCAGCCGTTAAAGAAAATATTTAATGGCCCAGCATACAGACTACGCGATCCTTACCATGCACTTGGCGCGCTGCCATTGGAACAACGCGTTGGTCCACTTTAGCGAAGTTCAGCCTCGAGCTCGCTGCGGAAAAGTACGCACAAGTAGATGGGGGATGGCTGGCACCTCAAAAAAGATCAGCGGAGAAGCTGTTGTGCCAAGCTTATTAAGTATTGCTGGGCTTACTGGTTGTCGTTGTCGTCCGGGTCTGTTCGCTGAACTTCTTCACGACGCGAAGCAAGTCAGCTCGTGAGTGGAAACGCAGGTCCTGCTCCAACCATAACACCAGTTCTTAAGGCACCTTGATAGTTGGCGAGTGAGTGATTAAGATACTATCTGCAAGGTTTCGCTACGGCCTTTGGGTTTAGAAAACGGCACGAAACAGACTTACGCCCTTTAAGAACCGCGACACCTCAACCCGCAATTCTTCTGTCGTGAGGACCTTCTCATCCTCTTCATCAACCATGACTGATCACAAATGCAAGAAACCGCTAGATAGTTAGTCATAATTCTTGAAGCATGTGCAAATGCTGCTTGGAGGCTAGGATACAAGACACTCTTTCTACCATGCAAGTCCAGGTACCCACAGGAGCAGAAGGTATGAAACACATAGTAGCTGATGAGGAAAATAGCAATATGTAGGTGGTAGGAGCGTCAGTATGATAACCCTGACAGTTTACCACAGCTGACTGCAGAATGGCCGTGACTCACATGGGTCGAATCCCCAAAATGAAGGTTCTTCTTTGGACAGAGCCTTTCGGTTTTTCAGCAATTCAGCCTCGCGTTGTTCCCAAGCAAGCAGTCTTTCCCTGCGCTGTTGTTCTTGCAGCAATTTTTGCTGCCTTTCCTGGTACTCCCGATCGCGGCCCTCCCACTCCTGGCGTAGCGCCTCGTTCCTTTGTTGCTGCTCCGAAACGCGCCTTCCATCGCCATCTTCGAGGCTACAGGCACTTGAGGCGCGACGCAAGGAGGTAAAGTTGCCATACTGAAGCTTGTCATCCCCTCCGTCATTGCTGGTAAATTTCTGCAGTGCTAGGCTATGCGGAGAGCTGCTGCGTCGCCGGCTAGGAGGATGCGCCGTGACATTACCGAACGAGCTTTGCGTCAGTGCTGCGCCGGCAGCAGATGCAGGCACCCCTACACCCGCAGCGGAGTGCGCAGAGGATACTACGGAGCAGCCGATTGCGCTTTTCATGCAACGCTTTCTGTGGTCTTCGTCCGTGCCGTTGAGGTGAGGCCGTTCTGACTGCGTAGGCCTCTCAGATATTTCATTAGATGCACTCGAGAGCTCTGACTGGCTCTGACACTTACTGCGCAGGTCTTCGTTGTGCCCACCCTTCGCAACAAGTGCGTTATCTTTCGCATCTACTTTGCATCCCGTTGCACTGGCACCGGAAGATTTTGCTTCGGCCGAATCGGACACTTGAACCTCGGCTTTCATGCGGGTAGATGAGTGGCACTTAACAGCCGGGCGTCCTTGCCGCGAGGACGCTACTCCAGAGATTCCTCGGGGGCATGAGCTCGATGCGGGTAATTTACCGCGAGAATTCCGGAGTCCACGCACAGCACCCCCAGCTGGTCTGCAGCTCACCGTAATGCGATTGACGCCCTTTTGCTTCTCTGGCACGCGAATAAGGATTCTAGGCTTTGTGATAGGTAGCACGTTCGCACCGCTTCGTGCAGTTGCATTGTGGAACAGACCTTTGCCGCTGCTGGCTCGAGGTTTTCCCGCAGGGTGACGTGGGGGAGGTGCGCGGGATAATCCCTTTCGAACAGCGCCTACTGTTGTAGCTTTCCCCGCTGCCGAAGCTCTTGTTGAGCAACGGTCTCCTTGGCTGGCCCCAACACACGCATCCACCAGATTATTCTGTGAAGCCACTGAACTCTGGGTTGCCGCTCCAAATGGTGTGTCCACAAGCCTTGCCACTGCCTTGCGTTCCTGTGTCGCTGCAGCTTTTGCAAGGCGCATGGGGCTCCTGGCTGTGATCAACACAGAAGGCTGGTCCGTGACGTCCTGAGAAGCCACCGGCGAGACAGAAGGGGAGCGGCGGTCTGACAGCGATGTTGGAACCCACGACGAACTTGGTCCCATTGATGACGTCAATCCAATGCTGCGCCTCGCTGCAGAACGTCTTCGCGTTGCAGCGGCTGCTGGGGGAATGTCCCCTGGCTCTCTAACGCTTGGGCAACGGCACTTGGTGTGAGGCTCCGGAGCAGCCTTCTCAGTTCGGTCAGATAAGTGCTTAGGAGATGTTGCAGATGTCAACTGGCTTTTGCACTGCCTCTCCGATGCAGCCATACGAGGGGATGCAGCGCCAGGACGCCCCGGTCTGTGCCAGTTGGAGCCAGGAGTCTCAGTCTTTCTAGGTGAAGAAGGTGCCTTGCACATTTCAAGTGTCTCTGTCATTCCTTTTGCCGCTTCTGCCTGTCTGTTGCTCGTTAATGGCACTATGGAGGCATTGGAGCTGCCAGGAGCCTCCTTGAATCTTGAAGCTGGCGCCGCTGAAGCGCGACGAGAAGTCACAGCGGATTTTAGAGTAGACGGTGCCCTAATTGCAATGGCACGGACCCTTCCATGCGCATCTGCTGTCGCCAGGGGAGCGGCTTTCTCGCGGGCTTCTCTAGATAGCGGCCCATCACCCCGCTGCTCCGCCGCGGCTCTCTTGTTGGGGGTGCCCGTTGAAAGAAGCGGAAGGGGTGACAGGCACCGCTGTGAGGCTCTTTGGCGAACAGAAGCGCCTGTTGCGTCTTCCTGAGGCTCCAGTGAGCTACAAGGCCCCCGCGGGGTCTGGAATTGTGAGCAGGAGGCCCCCCCTTCACCGTGTGTACGACGGGGGGAAGTTCGCAGTGGACTGCCCAGCGCCTGCTTCTCCTTCCCCAGTGGGCCACGCAGAGGTGGCCGGCCACTAACGGCAGAAGTGCTGTGCACCTGCAGTTGGTGGGCTTGGAGCTTCGGTTCTGCTGGAACATTCCGCTGAGGGGAGTAAGAGCCGGTGTTAATAGGAGATGACACCGGGAAATCCGAAGGGGAAGGTGGAGGGTGCTTCTGGAAGGGGGACTCTATCGTGCCTCTGCTGCTGTTAGTGCTAGTGCAGTTGATGGTTATATCAAACATATCTCTTTCGCCACCGTTTCTCCCGTTATATGGCACCGCTGAAGTAGCTGAGTTGCGTCTAGGTGACTCCTTGGATGTGGCAGGAGTTGCATCCGCTGTTATAAGGGTTTGCGTAGATGTCCGAAGAGCAGAAAGGCGCTTGCGGCCCGTAGGTTGAGGCACTCCATCAGCTGGTAAGTTGCTGTCGCTCTTTCTACGATATTGGGGAGAAAAAGAATCGGTGGACACTACAGGACTGCTGGCACGGCGTTTGCGAGCTCCAATGCCCCGTGACAGAGCGTCGGCACCCGCAAAGGAATTGAAGCCACACGCTTGACCAGTGGAAAGATCCAGAGCTGCTACCACCGTCTGAGTTTGATAATGCTGCTGCTGGCCGTCCGAGATATCGCAGTGTTCACTCTGTTTTTGAAAACCTGCAGCACGTTGCTGCTGTTGCTCCTTACCGATAGCACCTTGCTCTTGCTGGAGGGAAGCTTCACGTTGCCCTTGGTGCGTCGAACCACAAGACTGAGCTGCTACAAGCTGCTGCAAAAGATTTGCACTGCTTCTTCTGCGTTGTGAGCGTGTAAGAACTTGTTCCTCTGTTGAGCTGAAGGGTGCCATCTGCCGAAGTGCTCTCACATCATTAATGAACAATGGGGCCGCAGCCCCTTGCTGCTGTGGATTCTGCCTGCACGACTGAGCTCCTCCTGCAGATTCAGGAGTTACTGAACTACCGGAAGCTCCCTTTCCCGAGCTGTTTGGGGAAGAAGAGATGTAGCCCAGGGACCGATCAAGAGGAGCGCGAGGCGACAGCTCCCCGTCATCCCACATCTGCTGGAGTTTCTCGTGAACCCTATCTGCATCAGGAATTGTGTCATCTTTAATGGCATCTGCTGACCTACTGGAGTTGCGGGTCGGCGTGGAAACGGCAGACAGAGGTGATTCAGTATCTAGGGTCTGGCCTCTCCCTGGATGAGACCTTCTTCTTTGAAGGAAATGGTTGTTCAGATCTGCCGGAACTAGTAACTCGCCTCCAGCTCCACATTTTCTCTCGCCCTCGATACAGGAAGTGCTGTTTGGCCTTGCCAGTCCCTTCGAGGTGTCATCTGACGAACGACTGTTGCTAACGCAGCCGCTGGGAGAGGCCCGCCGTACTAGCGGTGACACCCTCAGTGACCTCATTATTTAAGAACTGTATGGAACATAAACAGCACGAAATCGTGCGCTACGGCGGACGCAGTTGCCTGGGTATTGTTCCTATCAGCACAGCGCATCCCGCAGGCGGTGTAGGCCGGTTGAACCGGCAAACCCCAATCATGCAGGGCCCTCAGCAGCGGTGTTTCAGCCTAGGCGAGGCATCATCAAGCCGTGGATGAAGTGTCCTGAGTACAGACATTTCGAATAGGGCAGTCGGCAGCACCCTCCACCGTGGCGAAGGGACAGGCGGGTGACGCCTGCAACATATAGAGTCCAGAAAGCTCAACAAGTGTATCAATTAAGCCATTATAATGACATGCTTAATCTTAATATATTCGAAATAATCAAGATCAAGTCTGCCTTGTGGCATAACGGTGGCCATGGAGGGCCGGGATGGGCATGGCACGCTCAACTAGTGCGCAAATGCCTGGCCCTCGCGGCCAATGAGCCAGCTTGGGTGCGTCTCTTAAGGTCAGAGACACTTAAGACAAACAGGATAAAATAATTAAGTAGGGTTGCACAGTCAGAATTGGGGACACGACGCATGCAGAACGGATGTTGTCGGCGGCCCACGGTGGTGTGGTGTTTGTGGGGGTTCACAGCCGATCAGCAACGATCTCGTGATTATGTAATATCCTCTGCAGTGAAAAAGCATTTTACAGGCGCATCTGCTCACTTACTATTTTTAAACGCTGCATCAGCAAGAGTTGACGCGGGACAGAAATAGAAATTTCGGGGCCTCTGGACTGTATATCTCGTCTGCTTTGTCTTCTGGCTGTGATCACGAGTCCTTTCATATATTGTTTGTGTAGGCACATCCAACTAAGCCGTTCGTACAAAATGCGTCAAATGCTTGCATCTACTATGTGGTGTCATTTAATACAGGAAGCAGCTTGGGGGCCACTTTCTGTACCGCTCAACTACGAGAGCCCTCATAGTACGGTTGAATTCACGCTGTGTTTACTATGAGTTGCCGCCCCATCGTCTCAAATGCAGAGTCACGAAACGCAGGCTTCAGTTAGAGCATGTCCTAAGAGCCATCACTTCCTCTGCTTTTGACGTGGTGTGGCTCGCCGCTTTCCACAACGGCTACTGGCAGAGTTAGCAACCTGCAGTGCCATCGGCGGAAGCTGGGCAATGCATGCAAGCTCATCGTTTCTCGGCTCACAGGAAAATTGTTTTGTCCCTCTTTAGGTTGTGCAACTTACTTCTAGGGGTCGGAAATTCCGGTAGGTGCGTTAGGGGCACAGGTCGAGGTACGCGCTCCAACGCGCAATGTACGTGGCGCAATTTAAATACTACTAGGTATATTTCCTGCCAATGCTTTTTAATGCAATTTTCTCACAGCTTGATTTTTTCCAGATAAGCGATTTTCACGTATGTTCAAACGGACTGTTGCCAGGGTTGCCATTGACACCGTGGGACGCGGCGGAGCGAGATAGTATTTTCCCCTCCAAAGCTATATGTAGAGATTAGACGCGTTCCTTGATCTCTCCTTTACAGGATCCTGGGGCCTTTCCCGTAGTGAGCACGCTGTTTTTACGACTCCTAGCTCTAACATTTTTTCCTCAGCGCACCAGTGGGTAGTTCAGAGCTGCTGGTCCAGTTGGCTTTACAGTCGTATCCAGGACCCCTCTGGTGACGCCACCAAGTGCCTGAAATGCCTTGAAATCTCCACCAGCTGCTAGTTGTGCCGAACTAAACTGTAGCCTAGGGTTCCAAACCCTTCAGGGCAGAAGCAGAAGGAACGCTCCGGTGTGCCCTTCGCCGGGCGCTGTGCATCCAAACTACGCTCTACGTCGTTGTTGCTAAACACTTGCGATGCATTTTACTCAAACAACTCAAGTAAATAGTACTTCGTTCAAACGTAACTAGAACAGTTACCTCGGTGTCATGCCGCAAGCCTACAATATGCAGCCACTCACCTTGTAGCCCTGACACCCAACCGTTCTTACTCAGCGACTTCTTCTTATAGGTGCACATCTTTGGCATGAGCATAATGCAATCCCCAACGAAGACCTTACAGGAGATGCTCGGCACGCGCCTGTGGTCAGGCGATCCCTTATAGTATTCCTGATGAATATCACCAAACGTGCAAAAGAGTGCAGACGAATCATCCCAAGAGCCCACCGTTGGCTGCTCTCCATGCAGTCTAGTTCTAAGCAAGGGCACTGCATGAGGCAGATCCTATTCCGCCGCCATGCAAAAGCTGCTTCCCTGCGTGTCCTCACCCCTTCAGAGACCTGAGAGCATCAGCTCAGACCGATTATTCACGCCGAGTACGCTGTTTTCTGAAGAAGGCGAGCACTTCAGGGGCGATATCGAGCTTCAAAAGTTAGACATCCATGCCGAGGGAACTTTTAATTGCCCCTTAAGGCCATGAAACTCTCGAATGGTCTACAAATGCTAGTAAACAACTTGATATTTCTCTTGTCATACAACCAGAAGCGAAAACTCACGAGCAGGAGAAAGCCGTATGCGCAACGTAACAGGTATGCGTGTCAACCTAGTGCACTCCCAAACGCCTTGGCGCCAGCTAACTTGCTCCTTAACTGCATCCAATTTGTCTATGCAGTCGGACAAGTTTGACAAAGCACGATTTCATATTGAGATTGGTGAGAAAAAAACAGTCCCCCTCAGTCTCCATCGGACGAGGATTCGGACGGCAAAAGAGAGCCTTCGTCAAACCTAACAGGGGATTTGCGTTTGCGGCATTTACCCTGCGGATTGTTCTCTTTAAGGCAGCTTCGACCTCCTTGCGCGCAAAGCGGAGGAGGTTCGTGAATGGACTCTGGTTCGCGGGCCAATCGCCAGCGGGCCGTGAACTTCTCTTCAGTTGCGTCACCTTCCCCATTCTCCGCCTGCCTCTCTTGATCCCTAATTTTTGAATAATTAAGCAGCGCAAGAGAGTTTTTGCGGGTGCGCTTTTTCGCACAAGCCTCGGCGGCATCGCGAGTGGCAAGCATAGGATCCAAGGTAGTGGTCTCTGCAGGCTTTCCCTCATTTTGAGTCGCTGGTGCATCGTCCTGCCGCTTGTATGTAGAGGCCGCCTTTGCTGCCTGAACCGCATGCATGGCCTACAAGCCAATTTTTTTTATACAGATTGCATGGAAAAGCACTGGACTGTGTGCACATCAAAGCATCAACTACAGAACGCGCGCACTTCATAAGAAGTAAATCATAACCCACAAGAATCTACAAAACTGAAGAGCACTGGATGTAATGAACGCCGGTATCATCCGCTAACCAATGCATAATCCGCTGCATCCAGGACAGCAAGTGTGAAGAAACAGAAGAAACCAAACGCGTGCTTATGCCGGCTTTTCAGGCAACAATCGCGCATATTTTCAATATGGCAGAGCTTTTGCCTACCATTTTTTCTTTAAGCGGGGAGAGAAGGGTTTCAAATGACTCCTTGTCTAGACAGAACAATACTAGTTCCGTCCCTGCGACGACTGACGCCGTACGTCTGGTGTTCCGTATCAGCGCCATTTCTCCAAAATACTCTCCTTTCCCCTGTCTCGCAAGCTCAAGGAATCCTCCATCATCTTGAGGTTTCTGGGTGATGGCTTCACCCTTATATATAAAACAAAACATATCGCCATGAAAACCCATCTTGAAGACAGTCTGGCCTTCAGCAAACCTCTCTACCTTGCACGCCTTAGCGACGGCGGCAATCTCTTCTTCCGGTAGGTCCCTAATAAGACGAACCGTGTGAAGGAAAGACTGGGCGACAGGGACAAATGCCCTCCGCTTTGACAACATATCCTTAACTGAATCGTTAAATATATCTCTGTCTAGTACCCATAACGCGCATTCGCTGGCGCTTTGCCGAGAGGTCAATGTGTACTTGAGCTTTTCTCCAGAAACTAACTCTTCCAGACCAAAAAATTCCCCTGGAGTCATCGACCGTACAACTGAAGCACCAAAGAAGCCCTGCAAAGAGTCGGAATTCACACAAACGAGATGGCACTTTCTACCCGGGATCAATCAGAGTAAAATACCCTAAAGCCTAACTACAATGCAACTACTGAGTCATCAGCCGATTCCCCCCTATACAGGACGTTTGAGCAAATGCTCCAGTACAGTCAACTAGGTGTGAAACTGCTTGCAGAATGTATAATTAACCCGTGAAGCTTTGCAAGGACCCCCCAGACCAATTGACGGTGTGATATCTCGAAGTACGATTTCCGTGTGGTGACTAACTGCTTGAGAAACTTCAAATTCGCCTGAACTACACCACATGAGAGAAGGCTCTGCTCCTTCCTCCACGACAGCAGTTGATGCGGGAAAAATGTCTCGCCGCATGAGAGATGCAACGTATCTTTGTTGCTGAGGACTGAGAAACTGCAGCGTAGGTTCTTGCTTTATGGACTCGAGGAGGAGAGACGTTTCGCTAGGGAATGCGCGGTGGTCATCCCGTTGGACAACCGCAGGATCTTCAAAAGGAAGAGTTCGCTCTACGACGTCCATCGGGTTGTCCTCGCCAGCGTTGGCTCTTTCTGCCTCGGCTTCCCTCCCAAAGAAAGCCCAGATCCGGTTGCCCCATGAGCGGACCGACGCTTCTTTTGCTGAAGCTTCCTCCGTTGATAGTTCACCTGCAGATCAATCAGAGCAAAATAAAGCTCCATCTTTAATCACACATAACGCAAATTAATACACGTGAACAAGTGCACTGGTAGGATACTTTTATTCCGTGCCACACTAGGAAGATTCATAGCATTAAGCCACTCGAACTGAGAATGTCCCCGTCGCTGCGAGATGAGACTGCAGCCCTTAACGGCGAGAAATCAGTGGATATATCCGCGCCACCAGCAATCGAGGTCAAAACGTCACAGCTAGGATCATCACCTATCGTCGTGTTAGGGCCTGCATTTTCGCCTGTGCCAGAAGCCGACAGTTGCTTTTCTAAAACATTTGCTTCTGCCGCAGGCTTTGCTCTGAGGCTTTCCGATTTATCTGTAAAGTCACTCGGTTCTGTTATGTTTATCGGTACAAAATCATCCTGAATCACCGCCGAGTTAGCTGCTGCTGCTCCGGAATTTTTTTCCTTCTTCGTAGAGCGACGGGACCTATATGAACGCTTTGGTTGCGTTTTATCTATTTTGCTGTCCTTTCCGCTTCTGCTCCTGAGCTGGAGGGATGAACTCTCCTTTGCAGCACTCTGCCGTGACGTCCCTCGGGTAGTCTCGTGCATGACAGTTGAGGGGTCCCCTGCTCCACAACGAGGCACCGCAGAGTGCAAGCACCTCTCTCCAGCTTCTTCTTCCCCCTCTTCTTTGACAAGTACACCTCCTGATGAAGAAGTCGAAGTTTCTTCTTCAGGGCTGCGGCTACCAATTCCCAGTTGTAGCAGAGCTGAATACCCATTCGCCCCACCGGGACCACCATCAGAAAGTATTTGACGGTTGTCACTGTGCACTTCCGGGAAGGCGTTGTCCCCACCAAAGTCAGGTAGAGGTACTCCCGTCGTTTCATCTAAAGAATCGCTAGACGAGACAGATCCCTCTCCTTTGGCAAGCAGGCCTTCTGAACCAATATCAAGAATCCACATCTCAATGTTCTCCGCGACCTGACGTAGTGACATTGGCTCACTAGGAGAATGTAGGAGGTTCTCAGTCTCCGTCCATACCTCGGGAGCAGGTACCTGCAAAAGGTGAGGATCAGTCTGTTGCGAGACGCCGTCTCCATTGTCATCTGAGGCATTTAGTGTCTCAGTATGTGTTGGAACAAAGCCGCCTGGGGTCCACAAAATGGGTGTTGGTTGTCCACACAAGTGCAAAAATACTTGCGGGTCCATGTGAGAGTCATCGCCATGTGACGCCTTCTCGGAAGTCTGTGAAGAATGTGACACTGTGGGCTGACCCGACAAACCCTGCTGGACTTCTGAAGATGGCGGAATCCATAATGCCTGCTCTCGTGTCCCTCCACTAACTTGCCTTCCGTCTATATTTGAATTTGCAAGGCCCTCAGGTGCTGTTTCTCCAAATTTGTCGCGATGAAGATGAAGATTCCCTGTGGGTTCATCTTCCTTTTCTTTTTTCGCTTCTTTTTCTGTTCCTTTTTCTTCTTTCTCTGTCTTCTCCTCTTTTCCTTCGTCTCCTTCATCGTCTCCTTCATCTTCTGCTTCTTCGTCATGCTTGTCAAAAGCCGCAGAAACCCAAGAACCAACGGTTGAAACAAGTGTGATCAAGCCTAAGGGCTCCGAAGAGTCAAACATCGATGACGAGATGGATACCAACGGCCAACTCTCTGCAACTTCGCCTCCCATGCCTTGGATCAGCGAGTCACTTGGCTCGCTGGTGTTCTGGCTACCTGTAACGGCAGGTGCCCCTGATGTTTCCGCTGCGGTGGCTTCGGGTACTCCAGAAGCTGTTTTTTCCTCTACTGTTCCTACAGGTAATGACTGCGCTTGGTATGTGCAAGCGGGCTGCCCCCGTCGTGTACTCATATTAACTTCTTCAACGCTGACTGTGTGAGCCGCCGCAGTGCCCTCTGGAGGTGAAATCGTGGAGGAATTATGCTTCCCTCCAGTCACGGAAGGTGCACTTCTAGGGTTCCGACTTAATGATGCATTGCCCACCTTCTCCTTTGCATCTATCGTAGCGTGCTCTAGGCTACCGGAAGGCTTTCCACACTTTTGTTTTTGCATCGTAGAGAATGAACTAGATCGTCAGCTCGCGCCTTTTCCTCCTTTATTACTTCTCTACGACAAAGACACTGCCTTACACAGGACCAGCTTCCATTCCTCAACTTCCAAGCCAGCATATCTTCACATTCGAAGAATCTTCGTCTGAAGAGGGGGACGCAGTGCAGAGCAAGGGCGAGCAGAGGGTCCATCGTCAGAGGGGTATCCGCGTCTGCCGGGATGCCGCACCTTCACCGCAACTTTCCCCCTCACTCTCCCTCTAAGGCAATGCTTGCAGACAAAACTGGCAGGTTGTGCGCATGGCATGGCGGCAAGGGCTGCCGTGTATGCGACTTCGCAGTAGGGCGCTTAGAAACTTTGGGTAGTTGAACCTGTGGGCGCAATGTGATTTTGCAGCGGGAGTTGTATGGGCAAACAACTCCTCTTTCCAATTTCCAGCAGAATTTCTCCTCCTCTTCCCCAATGACATACAAGAAACTGTTGCACGTTCGCCGACACCCGTGAGGGCACCATTGTGCGTCCACTTGCACAAGACACACAAGACTACCACTTGTAGCAACTTCACAGCCTGGTCTCCATTAAATGCTGTTTGGAGCCTCCATACAACTGGGGAGAGGCATCATTCAGCACTGAGTCGACGCCTGTACGTGCCTCCGCCCCTCGGCCGGTCCGGTCCACACTCCAAAAACTGCTGGCCGTAGGTGGTGAGGTGAGATTGAGACCAGCATATTACTAAATTAAATGAATCTTTGTATAAAATATCCAGAAAACAAATACGCCGTCCTAAGTGTTTAAGCCCTCAGTCGAACCCCTCACCACCAGTCACTGGACAGACACACCGGCGACGACCGTCCGCTTGCACTTGGCGACCTTCCGGCATCTTTGATTTGTTGCTTCCGCTTAAATCTCTATGATTATTGGAGCCCTTATAAATGCCTAAATGCAGAGGCGATTGTTGGGATCGGTGTTCCTCCATGCACCGTGATTCTTCCACGAGACCAGTGAGGTGCCTAAATCGGCGCGTATGGCTTCCGTTCTCCAGCTTAGAATAAGTGGAGTTTCATCGTTGTATTCCCTCAAGAAAGAGTTATTTTTTGATAATAGCAGGAGCATTAGCTGTGTCGCTTGTCTTGGGCATGCCGATCTAGTTGGGATGCCCTGGCTCCGAGTCAGGTTCTAATTGAACCGCCACACTATGCCCTCTCGGTTCCGGCGGCAAACTTCGTGGATAGAAGGTCTTTTTTCTTGGTTACTGGTGGAATTCACGTTACCCCTGCTCCTCCACGTTGCACCCAGCAACAAGCGCACTCCAGCACTATATTATAGAACGAGTACTTGTACTATGGAAAGTAAATTTTGCTTCACATTCATAACATGGAGCCACTAACGTATCCATGAAAGTGCGCAAAGCAGCACGTAATTCCTACCTGACATGAGGCCGATGAGCGTAGACAAGGTAATGCGACCATCCCCAGACCGGACCCTGAAGTACATTAATCCGCACGAGCACAGATTTCCAATGACTTGCATTGTTGTACTGGGTTGTTGGTGGCTGGTACACACCGAAAAGCTTCCCCAGAACGACTGGTGAGAACAGTAGTTCATAGGACTGAATAAACCACAACGCACAAACCCTAAAATGATTTTGGCCTACCCTTTGACATATTCATCCCATATCCTTTCAGCCTTGTCGTTGTCAACACCAACTTCAGCACTCAAGCTGCATGCGCATACATTCAAATAATCAAAAAAATCCTGAAATTAAGTGACCACACTTCTCTTCGTACACCTGCACTAATGCGAGAAATTTTATCTTCTACGTCGGCGCCCCATGCATCTCTACAAGCTCGACGGAGGCGCACACCGTAGCTGTTAGTGTTTACCACCTATTAATACTCCTATTAGAAATTCCTACGTTGTTGTATACGATAAAATTGTGCTTAGGACCACATGGTGGTTAGTGGCACATATGTTGGGGGAGTGAAAGCTTGTGCAATTCTGGCAAGAATGACTTGTTTTATAAGTATATCCATAGGAGGCTTTCAGGAAAATTATTAATTTGTTCCAAAGATTGTACAAGTGGATTAACTACTAAATATCCCTTTCAATTACTTTTGGTTTAGGACGAATAAACAAAATGCCTACAGCATAATGCAGATGCTCTAACTGGAGTACGTACTTCATCTTGTAGTTTTAGTACTACGTCAGGCAAAGTAGAATGCGTTATACATACAGCAACCATAAATTGCGTGTATCGTATATTTATAATTTACAAAGTTCCAGCGAAATAAGCTTAAAGTATAATTGCAAAATAATACTATTAGCTGCAGCATGTACTACCTACTTAATGGCAAGCTTATTTAGTAAAATATATGTTGTTCTAGCTAGCTCATTGAGACACGACTCTTTCCTACTGGTGCCATACACGGTAGCGGGGGGTAACTAGGAAGATCGAAACTGACCTGGTGAAATTTTCCTGAGTACAAAGATCCGTGGCTTCGAGGCCTGCAGCCTTATGGAAAGCAGACAACGCCGAGCCATAAATCTCAACTGCTCGTAGGTGGATTTCTGCTCCTGTGGGCTCCACGCCTCTAGCGTTGCGATACAAGTTGCCTACGACCAATCGTCCCTTGATTGGGCGGCACAGTTCGTCAAAGAGAGCGTCGATTTCTCGTTTTTGGAATCCGCGAATATTACTTTTTTTTGTGAACGCGTAGAACTCCTGCTCGCCAAGCACCCAAACAACCCCTACCACGAGGCGTGCATACGCTCTCATAATGGCGCGTGAATAACCGACAGTGGATGTGCGGAAAACTGGATGTACCGGGGATATGCCCAGTACATCCAAAGCGAATGGCTGGCCGGAGTGCATTATGAGAAAATGGGTGCTTTACTTACATCCGCGTCCACAATGTCGCTTTTGTTGACGTCCATTTCCGCAAATGCGTGGGCAAGCGACCCGTACTTATTCTTAAACGTGCCCGCAACGAGTTCCCTCAAGCGATCCAGTTCCCCTGGGGGAATGGACGCAACGGCTCGAGAGCTTTTACTGTTTGTTGATGCATGCTTCTCCTTAGACGTGTCCTTGCCTCCAGATTTCTTTTTCTTTTTCTTTTTCTTCTCGTCTTCTTCATGCTCTGAAACAGCAGCGGTCACGAGTGTATCTTCACTGATGCCCTCTGTCAATTTCTTCTCCCGTTTTTCCTTGTGTGTCTTGGCATCAGCATTTCCAGACAAAGTTATGTGGCTTCCTGAACTGAGTTCCCCCTCGGTCTCTTCTGTTTCTTCACTTGAATCTGGAAGAGCATGAAGTTGGTGAGAGGAGCCTTGTGTCTTCGAATCCCGGAGCCATTCTGGCATTTCAGTCTCGGAGGCCGAGTACGCGCTCTCCGCTTGTTGTAAAAAGGCATCTGCCAAGTGACCCAAGTACTTGACAAACTCAGCGCGGCCCAGAGACAGCAGCTGAGGATCAATAGTGCACAGCGAGAGGCACAAAGGGCACAAAAATTGGGGTTGCCGGCCTCCGGACTTAAACTAAAGCATCACGCTTGCTAGGTACATGGAGCAGCATCCACTAATTCTTGACGCCTCACCTTAACCTTCGTTTTTGCAACGCAGCTTGCTGTCCTAGGCTGGTTGTTCAGGAACCCGATTTCCCCTAGATACTCTCCTGCCTTCACTACCGCAACTTCCTTCCGCGGTTTACCGGGTTCAGGTGACTTTTGGATAGAAACCATCCCCTCAAGTACAATGCAGAACTTGTCTGCTGGGTCGCCCTCGTGCATAATCACTTCACGTTCCCGTATCTCCATCACCTGCAGGCTCCACAGCAGCAACAGGCGAACTTCTGCTCCTAGGCACCATTTCGTTCAGGTACCCCTGCGTTGCAGTAAAGGATGTCGGTCTCTAGTGAGTGGGCTGGAGTTGTACACTGCAGAAAACGGTCTGTAGAATAGCACTTACAGGTGTCACACATTCATACCTCACGAACCCTCAACCGTAAACTGTGTCGTGCAAACTTTAGTAATTGAGGGACTTGCCCACCTGGAAAGCGCGTGCAAGCTCATGCAGTTCTTCGAGGCTTAGAAGCTTGATGACATGGACACCGGAAAGAAGATGCACCACTTGGGGAAGTTCTTCTTCACTCTGCATGTATCAATTGCATGTCCAGCAAACGTCACTGTAGCCGAAAATATGGTACTAGGGCTGTTACCACAAGAAAGGCCTACGTCAGGACAGTCTTGCTTGCTGGGCAGAGTTGTAGATATTCATTCTCCCTGAAACTCACCAGTTGAGTATGCTTGTCCTCCCCTGTTATGGATTTCACAGCTTTCTGACTATACACGGACTTCGCATGCTCCAGAAAGGGCTCATCTAGATCACCTAACAACGCTTTGAAGTCTTCAGCTTTCAGCGCATACACCTGCGATTTCACATGCATCCTCGTTGACATACGGTAGAAAAGGAGCCCAGCTAAAACTTGTACATCCCGCAAAACACCAGCCACACGAGATCATTACAAAGAAGTAGCACAGGGTGAACCTTCCACCTACACGTGAACTGCTCCTGCGCGTTCTGAATTTATTTGCGTTTCTTACGTAGACAGGTGTGAGGGCAATGATAGAAGCTATCCTTGGTTCGTTCTTGATTATGGATATTTCTCCGAAAAACGACCCGGACGTCAGCTCCCCGATTTTCTGCATCTTACCTGAGACAAAATAGAAAGGGCTGTGACCTACACATGGGTAAAGCATAGTCTCACGCCATTGCCGAGGGCTCTGGAAGCTACTTTCAGACTTCATTACAAGAATTCAAATTGGAGTAGTGCCTGACCGCATCCTAAGTATATCTCGATGGAAACCGTCCCTGATTCGACAACATAAAGCTTGTCAGGTGCTTCGCCCTGTAATACAATTGCTTGGTTGGGGAAATATATTTCTAGGGCCATCCGCTGAACAGGTCATAATTGCGCAACATTCGCAAAAGCTAACTCATTCGCCTTAACCTCACTGTCCAGCACCAGGGGTGGAGTTGGATTCTCTCCACTGGCCTACCCCTTGTTATTTGTGTGCTATCATCCAAGTAAATTCATCTTGCTACCGAACCCATGATGCGCAACATGAATGGGCTGCAATGTCCGTGGGGAAGCTCTGTAAGAGCAGTTATAAGCTGATTAGAGCCTACATCAAGTATTAGAAATTGAGGCAAAACAAATCTTTACTATCACGGTCGGTTAACCTGTCTCCTCACATTGCACAATTCTTGCCTACGCTCCTTTGGCAGATCCTTGAACACCGGAAGTGCTTCTAAAAGCAGACTGCATTCTTCTCTCATCTGAACAACCGCAAGTAGCACACATCCTCTATCTGCAAATCACAAGTGGAATAATGCGACTGCCATTGCGTCACCCCCTTTTTGTGTGGCTAACGGCATGGAGCCAATAGGGCCCTAAACCGTCAGTTGGAGCTGGGGCTGTTATCGTGGAGGCCAGCCAACAATATGAATGCAATATGAAATGCTTCAAGCTAGCACCACACCCTTTCAGTGTCTTCCTGTAGCAGTCTCTCGATGAGTTCTTGGTCAACGAGTGTCTTTTCTTGTTCCGGAATAGCCAGTGTCGTGGAGGTCGCAGGGTTGCCCTCAGGGTAATCAGACAGAAAAGCCGTAGCTGCTCCCGAAGCTTCCGCGGGTATCGATGCATAGTCCTCAGTATCTCGATCTCCTTCACTTACTACCCCAATTTTGGCTCGACTGTGCATACTCACGATGATGCTGTCCACTGTGGAACTACGCCCGGTTCGCCTTCGGAATTCCATTTCCAGTTTGCGTAGGACACTGTAAAATATGTCGCTCTCAATAGACAAGACCTGAAGAGTCGACAATAAACAGGAACTCAATTAGCATGTGTGACCCATATCCTGAAAGTGAAAAAGACCTGAAGGCGCTGCTGGGCTCATCTGTAGGCCCCTGTCCACCGGTGCTAGTGGCGAGTTGTTGATGCTTGGACTCACTGTGCAATCGGTTTGGGCCTTGACTGACGCAGTGTGAGACCGACCCTTGACCGTCGTAATATCGCCGAAAAAATCAAGTGGTTCATAAATTCGGAGCTCCAGCTCTTCGTCTGTATCCGTGAGCCCGACAGCAACCGCCTCTCCATCCTTTACCATCAGTACGCGGTTTGCTGAGTCTCCCTGCAGTGGTCAAGATACCAAATATATGCCGTTTTAATGTATGCGATACTTCACTGTATATCAGGGCTTTGCTGTGATCTGCGCTTGAGTGTTGAGCCCCTTCCCTAGAACGCGACCATGGTGTGCAGTGCTGCAGCTTACAAGCCAAAGCTACTCTGTCTCACAAGTGACACTCACCTTGTCAATAATCTTCTCTCCTGCATGAAATGTCTGCTTCCTGAATGTCTGAGAGATTCCCAGGGCACATGGATCTGTGCGCTCAATGCCCTTCCACAGAGGAGAACTCTTGATGCAACTACTGCTGACATGTAGCGCTATACGCAGGCATATAGAATCTGCTTACCGCAGCAAGGCATCTCAGCAACTCAGGGTTGAGCTTATTAACCACTGGTACTTTCCGGAGCAGCTTTTGGTACTCCTCCACTTCTCGCTGCCTCTGAATAGCGAGCGGCTGCGTTCAAAGCGGAAATGTTAGCGCCGAATGACTGTTCATTTCTGGATCAAGAAATAGCGACAACACTGGCATGGCGTCGAAAAGCTTCAACTACAGTAACAGTACTTTTTCAACCTCTCACCTCGTAGGACCTCTCGAAGACGGTTCTTTCGAGCGAATACAAGAAAACGTCTTCGCCCTTTCCCGCCTTGGCGCAAGCGACGTTGGGCGTTCCCTCGATTATATTATCGGAGAACAGCAAGCACGGCGCACTCAAGCTCTCAAGATGACTGTATTGAATAAAACCCTGTCCACAGGCATTATAAACGAGTCAACGAATGCCACGACAGTACACCTTCTAGTATGCAGCACCAGAGCGCCAAGCACGCAGCCTGCATCAAGCGTGGCCTGATACCCACATAAATAGCTGCATCTGCATTGCGATTTGGACGTACCGGCTCTAGTATGTCCACTGTCCCCTTTAAAATGACGTACAGTGGACATTTGGGATCGTCTTCTGCTTGAATGAGCTCTCCTTCAGCCACAGTACGTGACTTCATATCACCGATCATGGCTTTGCGATCCTCCGGGTACATGCAATCCCACGGAGGAAAGTCTGCCAACACCGTATCAACTTGGGTCTCATTGTCGGTGAACCCTAGTTCCCGGCGAGTAGCTGTGTCTGCAGGATACGCACGGGCAGATTGGCACGTTCACACGGGTGACGCACAGAACCAAAATAGGAGCAGGAAAGAAAGTTAGGAAAGGAGGCACTCTGGCCCCGTGCTCTCAAACATACTGTTGCGTATGTCCACGTCTGGACCAGGAGAAAAACAGGCAGCTATACGGGGAGTCTAGAGTTATTGCTCAAGCAACCAGTGGCAAGCAGAGGTGGAGAAGCCTTAGTGAGAAAACGTTTCAAAAAGTTAACTGCGGGAGTAGCGCCTCTATCACGGGGAATCTTACAGGTGAGCTTCTTGAAGGATGAGCGTTTGCAAATCTTCGCTTCAGGCTTCGGAGCCGTCGGAGCTCCCGAAAAGACATTGAGTACATTACTCAGTACATTAGCTGCATCCCGCTCCACCCGTTCAACCTCTTCCGGGTCAACATTGTCTGGGAAGACATGACAACCTAGGAGGCTGGGATGTGTAGGAATTGCATGGGGGTAGACAATATGCTATTAATTGCACTATAGTTAGAAGACCTGAAAGCCTGCGGTGGTACTGGTCATTTGGAAAAAAGGAGCCCACCTTCGAGCAGCAGCAGCACGTTTTCTCTCTGAAGACTGCCCCGGTTCGCTCTGCATAGCCGTACGACAACACCAAGCGATCACGTGGGATTGCAAATGCTCCATCAGCCTTGAGCCAGTAGTACTGAAGATGACAGATCCCGAAACACGTGAATAGATGGGTGTCACAGACCTGTCCATCTCGGTCCAAAGATTATTTGCACATGCTGGTGAGATTCCAGCTTGGCCAGCAATAGCGAGGAACTGATCCTGGGTCACGCGTCCTTCTGGAGGTATTTCTGCGTCATTGAATGGCTGCTCCACATCTCCGAATATCTATGGTATTCCCTAAACGCACTGACCAGAAATGGCTAGGACGTCGACAACCCAGCAAATGCAGCAGACGACTAAACTAACATACCACGCCACTGATTAGACCTTCGATGGGATTGAGAGGGAGGTGTCCCAGCCCTATCAGCGAGGAATGCTATGGTGCAACAGGAGATAAATATGCCTAAACCTTACGAGGAGTGAAAGCCAGACAAACACAGAAATCAGATATGCAAGCAGTTCTGCTCATGCAATGGGGCTGCCCTATTGAGGTGAAAGTTGAACCTGCCTCTTCGAGCCTTCTATGCAGTTCAGCCAAGGTGCACGTGTCGCCTTGAAGGTTTCTGTAGAAATTGCTGAGCACCAGGATGCCCTCGCAAGGGGCACAAAGAGCGTTGTAGAGGTCGTGTGTGGCACTGAATGGCAGGTTCATGCCCAAATCGTCAACAAAGTTGGCAAACTCCTGAAAGAAACCCGGAGATGGAATGTCAACTCTAAATATATGGCGCTGATCAACACTCTCAGCATTAGTGGCCTATTGGATTCAGCTGTACAGCTCTATGTCCGGATTTCCTAGTGTAGTGGATGACGCAGGGCTCTGCAGGGCATGTCCTGCACGCAACGAATCATCCCTTCCAAGAAATCCTCGCCTCCACCTGAGACGTAGCTTACGCTGATCTTCACCATTCCCGAGTGATCAACATCCATGTGGTTGAAACCACGGGCAAGAGACGTGCACTTCCCGAGAAGAAGCTTCTTAAACGACGATCTGGGCGAAAGCAGTTTCGGTACTGGCCTTTCCGGGGCACCCGAAACCCCTGAACACACCGAACCCCTCACAAAATGCTGTCCGGCGCACAGCTAAAAGAACCAATCCATAAATAAGAAACTCATAATGACCATACTTGACAACGGTACACTGCACTCCCTCGCCCTCTACAGATACGGCTCCATTCGTTGTAAATGGATCAAACATGAGCCTTACTTGTGGAAGCCGCCGGATTTATTGTTTTGGAGCGTTTGTTCTTTGCAAGCCTGCTAAACGTTTGTCCTATTGCAACCTTCTGAGCCGCCGCCTGGAATTTCTCTGGATTTAATACACACGCACATGCATGCAGCGTTGCATATCCAACCTACCCCTCTGTCAAAGTGTGAACATTTGGTCGACAAAGCCACAGTATACCCCGTGTGCTCCTCTGGGTGATGAACTGTATGCTTACTCAGGCCGGTGACGGGACCTTTCTTTGCTGCCTTCTGGGTAGAAGGGTACAATGCAGGCGCTCCAACAGTACCGCTTGCAAGGGATTGCTGAAGCTTTTCTTCCATCTCCTTCAGCTCCAATTCCTTCTCCCTCACCAACTTTAGAGCTTCAGTTGCCTTCCGTTCCGCAGATTGGGCGGCAGCAGAAAGAGCAGCTCTCTCTTCGGTTGCAGCAGACTTGAGGGCCAAAGCCTCTCGCGCAGCGTCCCCTTTGATCCTTTGCATTTCGCATTCCAGTTCCCGGTGCTTCATGCGGAGCTTATGCAGCTCCTCCTCCAGCTCCAAACTTTGTTTCTGTGACCGCTCCCGAATCCTTTCCTCTGCCAACTGTCTCTGTAGATCTAGTTCCATAGCTTGAACCTCCATTTCCTTCCGGAGAGATTCGCAACGATCTCGCTCTTTTGCTAACTGCTGCTCGTATTGTTTCTGTTGTTTCATCATCTCTTCACGGGCTTCCATGGCATCTCTGCGCCTCTGTTCTTCAAATTCCTCCTCTTTCTTCCTCATCTTCTTCTTATGCTCAGCTTCCACTCTGCGGAGTGCTGATCGAGCTTGCATTGCTTCCTCAGCTTGCTGCAGCGCAACCTCCCTCTGGTCTATGTCTTTGGTGAGCTGCTTCAACTTTTGCCAGCCCTCGGAAGGGCCAGATAAGGAGGAAGGCTTCACTATGGAGTCACCAGCTTGCTTGCTCTCCTCGAGGCGGAGATTGGCATTGCTCGCTATCTTCCGGAGCACAGCAAGGCGCCGGAAAATGTCCCGCGCCTGATCTGTCGTCAGCGCGTCCCACAATTTTTTGCTGGAGCTTCCTGATCCAATTTGGCTGCCAGGAAAAGCAGAGTCTGTCGAAGGCATTTCTAGACTTCCTGGTGCACTGCTATCTTCACATGGTTGCACGGAGTCCCCGGATTCAAGCTTTGCTGAATGGGTTCCTTCTGCACTAGGTACAATGTTTTCTTGTTGCTCGTGTATCTGGCGTTTCCTGTCCTCCAGTGCTCTTATCACCTTTTCTGTTTCTTCGCGATCGATCAGCAACTGTTTGGCTGTGCGCAGTGCTGCGACGTTGCAGTCAGTGTCAGACGGAACAGCATCGCTCCCTGGTAAAGCAGCACATGGGTGGTAGTCGCAGTCAAAAACCTGGGCGTCCGAATCCCATTCTTCTGTGTTTCCTGTGTCGAGCCGTGTCATGTCGCACTAAACGCAACACGCACGCAATCAACGACAGCTTCGCCACTACAAGCTACAGCTAAAAATGTGGAGAGAATCCACCGTCTTTCAATTGGGTCTAAACTAACACAGCAACAAGCCGACGTCAAGACTCCCAGTCAAAGAATCAATAGTTCGAAAGCGCTCAAAGCCACTTAAAAACAAGGCCTCCACAGCAAAGCAAGAGGCACTACCCGTGCAGCCCCGCCTCGCCGGTACTGGGCAAAACAATCTGCTGCTACTGAGACTAGGATTGCTACAGATCTAAGGAAAAGATGGGGAGCAATTTGCACGAGACGCCCCAGCTATCTGGTGGCACCTTCTGTGCCAGCGGAGTTGCAGTACACTGCCGGCTCGACAGGTTCACACTGACAGTAGCCAGCAACAACGTTAGACAACACTAGAAGCTCCCACGTTCCGGAAGCTAAACACTTATCGACGGGGGGGGTGAACAGTGGAGTTGGACAGTCTAACCCGCAGATCGGCGACTTCCTGCTCGAGCTCCCGCACTCGGATGGAATAGCTTTCGAGCCCTGAAACAGTATTCGCCAGCAACTCACACACATGGACTAGAAATGACGACTTTGCTTCAACCAGGTGCAGCCGCAAGAAGACATGTATGACATTTGCTTCCACTACAACCACCAAACAGACAGGTCATTAAAGTGCAACGAAACACAACCAAGTTATCTGGAAGCAAGCGCCAAGGCATGCGTGCGGCGGGGTGAGCGTACTGTGAGCATCGGCCGCTATCCTATCCCTGGCAAGGCGTAAAAGCCTCAGACTCTCCTTCTCGCTCCTGGTGAATCCCTGAATCTCCTTGAGCGCAGCCGCCTCCCCTGCCTGGGCAATTGTTCCTCGAAGCACGTCACATCGAAGCCCAGACGCCCGGGCAGCAACAGCCAGATCGGCCAGATGATCTCTGAGCTGCATACACGGGCACATCAAGATCAAGGGAAGCTGTAAAATGAATAGTGCCAAAGTGCGCTTGGCAGTAGTCTTTGGGTAGAGAAAGCGAAGCGCACTGCCCATTCTCAGCACAGATGTGCAACCGCAGTCACCCTGGAATGCAAAGGGCCGGAATGCTGTGGTGCGGGTCATCCCGTACACACGTGGATAGCAACTATTCTCACCTCTCTCTGCAAAGCCCTTAGGTTCGCCTGCCAACTGCGGGATATGTTTCGTTCGGTTGCCAGCCGCCTCTCCAGCTCGGCATTGACATCCTGAGAAACGCACAAGGATCCAAGTATACGTTTCAAGCCCAAGTCGAAATGACCGGAGATACCAGCGGCCCTCTGTCGTTTTAGAATGTGAAGTGCGCGAACATCTTTACTTGCTTCCATATACTTGCCTGCGCTGTTGCGAGCTGGACAATTGTGTCTCTCAGATCCATCATTGCGTTGCGCCCCTGGCCCAATCCTACCGCCTCTTCGGCAGCCCCGGCTCCTCCAAAGCGTGCAGCGAGGAAGGGGTCAGACACAATTCTTGCCTGAACTTCCGCTAGTCGCTGCCTCATCACTATCGTCCTGAATAAAAAGGAACATCCACAACAGCAGAATAATCGTCTGTAGCGAAACCATCCAGGCTGTTATTTCGTCAACGACACACGCATCCAGCCCCGTCGTTCCCACCGGACCCACACCTCCGCCCCGAGGAGAACACTGAGATAAGCAGTCGGTTGCTGTGCTTTCTGCAGTCTCACTTCAGCATGAGACTATCTCGTTCTTCCTCCAGTACATTGATGTGCGTTTGCCATACACCTCTCTCGTAGTCACCCATTTGAGAATCAATGCAATCCAAAATTTCTTGGAGCTTCTCCGAGCAAGCGCAGTACCGCCTAACGAAGTTTCCACCAGATGGTGACCGCGGCTGATCACCAAAGGCATCTTGGCCACTTCTCGGCAACAGGTTGTTCGTTTCGTTGAGATCCGCCTCTCTGGCAGCCGCTGCTTGGCTGTAGGGGCGACCCGCCGATGCAAGTTCCCTCGCATACGCACGTTCTTCATGCTCTCTCAATGCGTTGCCCAATGTCGCTGCCGTGCCTTGTAGGCGGGCTTGTGCGCGAATAGAAGCCTGTAACTTCAGCCTCAAGGATTTGTTCTCGTCAATCAAGAGGCTGATACTTTTGGCCAACTCGGGCCCGTAACGTCGGGCAAGCGCACGGATTTCCGCGGCCTCAGGGTAGGCTTGCTGCAAAAGCAGAAAGCGGAAACTGCGACACGCCTCGGCCTCTAAAGATAATGTCACAAGAGCTACCGCCGATGCTGCAGCTCCACGTAGCGGTCAGGAACATAAGCAAAGAGACCACATGGGATGGGGCTAGCAAACTGCGACCAACCATGAATTATCTTCGCATTCAGAGCCATCGGAAATCACAAGGAAATCTATGCATATATTTGCAACCATTTTCGCCCTTGCAGGGGCAGCTACTGGGACAGGCCAACGTTCACGCGGGGCTCCTACCTGTTGATGCAAAATACGCTCCCGCAGATCTGCATTTTCCGCCTCCAGAATGTCATTTACGCGTCTGCCGCAACAACAACGTAAAAAATTTAAAGAACACGCATTGTTTCATAGTCCAAAGGGAGTTGGCAGATGAGCCTATAGAGTACAACTAGGGACCCAACCTAAGCTATGATGAGCATGATGAGCACCTTGGGAAGCTCACGAGAAGAAAACCCACTGAGAGCAACTCTGCGATAAGGAGGAATTGCAGCCGTACCTAACTTTACTCAATTCTGTGCCCAGCTCGAAAAGCTTTGCGTTGAGGGCGTTCCTCTCTTCCGCTTCCCTTTTCCCAGCCTCCAGCTCCAGAAGAATGCTGGAGGCCTTCTTCAGCCCCTCTTTTGTAGGCTCACTTATACTCGGGTTCCTTGTTTCTGGCAAGCCGGCCCTTGGTAAAGAAGTAGAAACCCCGTGGTTTGTACCTACTGTATGGCCGGCGCCACGAAGACTCGAAGGCGCAAAGGCCCCCGTCGGTGAAGCCGGTTGGGAGCCCTCCGGTTGCATGTTGAAAACCGGAGGGCTCGGGTTACTGGAATCCACTTCTACGGGACATATGGAAAAAAATTCAAACGGACATTGCTACAGACACAGCTCTAGATGACCAGTACGAGTCCGTACTACAGCACTATGATTGAAGTTCGCAGCACTACACAGTTGCGCACAAATACCCTCCAGAGGATATACACTTCGGAATAAGCACAACTAATGTGCAACTACAAATAAACCAAAGGCGGGAACCTAGTTCTACAACAGATCAGGAGTAGGGTACAATGCACTTTAGCCCAGGGGTTGCCGCACCACTGTAGTACCGCAGAACCGCCGAGAGACCGGACCACCGTGGCTAAACCGCAGCGAAGCAAAGCAGAACTCAAGAACACACCAAATTGGGAAGTACTAAAAAATCGAAATGGTGGAATGCTCATCATCAGATACAAATACTTCGAATTAAACGTGTAGGTCTGGCGGTTCACACGACGACTGTTCAGCCTCTACAAACTTATCGCATGCATTGGCTATAGAGACCACGGAGAAAGAAGGCTAAGACCCAGCATCAATACATGAGTCTAATCAATAAGAAAATATCTCGAACCAACACGTCGTGAATTAACTGCTCCCAAGCTACTGTCAATCTGGGCACCGTCGGGCGCTGCAGCTTTCGCCTCGTCCTCGGTTTAAAGTGTACTTCAAAAATTACTTAGAAGTGACTTTCAAGTCAATACACCGACGTCTAGAGCGCAGTTGAACGGCTCTCATCGGTCGAGTGTGCTATGTGGGGTCTGTGGGCAGAAAAACGATGCATTCAGGCGCGCTTCGGGACATTTTGGGGGCATGGGTCTTCACGAGGGCACGAAAACCTCTATGATTCACATTTTTGTAAATTATTCGCAGTCAGGGAAAATAAATAGTTCATCAAATATGTGCCCATGCATGCAGCAACTGAGCCGCCGACAAGGATACTGTGTGAAGCGACACTTTGAGGCAGTAACTGCCTAGGATAACAAAATTTAGTGAAAAAGACAAGTGAAGATGCTGATGGCTGCAGCGGCCGGCAAACCTTCAAAAGACACCTCTTGCATCTGCCATGCAGGGACGGGCGGTGTAAACTACGAGGAGTTGCTGGCACGCAATGACGTTCGCAGCCGCCGCTTGCTTCCGTTCGTTGCTTAAGCTGCAAGCTGTCGACAACGTGACTCGCCGCCAGTAACTTCTGGCTTAGTTGCCAAGGCTTTGATAGTGCGCAACGTGACGAGGTAGCCGCTGTCGTCAAACCTGATGTGCTCTACGAAATTGCTGACGGTGACGAAAAAAAACATCCATACATGAACTCTTATTGTGCAACCGACTCGGAGACCTGAACCTGGAACCCTTGCTGGGGTGCCGTGTCTTCTTCCCATTCCTGCTGGTTCCACTGCTGCACTTTTCTTTGGCGGCGTTTCATCCTGCTGCAGAGTTCGCCCAGGTTAACGGGGCCGTTCTCAGCCAAAATGGAAAGCCAGAAGGCACTACTGGCTGCCTCGGTAGCGGAGCGCTTCGCAGAGGCCCGCGGGCTCGTTGCAGGTGTGTCCAGCTCCGTCCCCAGTGCTGAGGGCTGCTGTTGTGGCTCAGCTTCATAGTCCATGCACTGTGCTGACATTACGGCGTACGCCTGGTATAGCAGAGACCACGACAGCATGATGCTTCGTTATTCCTTCACAACGATTAACTGCTGTGCTCTGCAGCGGCTTCAGGGACTGAAGTGCAACTACTGTTTCTCACCTCCTCCTCTCGCTCCCATGAGTCGTCTAGTGGCTCCTCCTCATTAAAAGACAGCGTCCTAGTGCTCCATGCACAGGCGAGCGTCTGATCAAACACGAACTGATGTTGTTTCGCTGCCTACCCCTGTCGGCCTGACACCTTCCAGGCAGTATTGCCTGCCATATCTCTGAGCCTGCGCTGCTGTTCAAGTGGGCTGGCCGTTGTACCCTGGAGATATTATATTCCCTTTTAAGGCTCCTGATGCAATCAGGTCGGGGATATTTGTGCGGCACTATGTAAATTGCAGATTCATGCTTACCCTCCCGTGAAGCTTCAGGCCATGAAGGTGAGTGATGGCTGCCAGCGCTGCTTCGTGGGATGCCAGCCGAATGAAACCAAAATTCTGCAGCGGAAGGACAGGAGTTGGGAGTGCTCTGTTGGGCTTTTCGTTTTTATATACCGGCTTACATGCGCAGTTCAACCCCAAAATTGGACACACACACAATACCAGCATCCAGAGCAGCCGGGATTTCACCAGAGTTCTCCGAGCGTACAGCGGATACCCTTTGAAACACTGCAAGGCCGATCTCTCGGCATAACAACCGAGGCAAACGATGCACACTGCCAATTTATCTTGAGACGGCCGTTGCGAAGCACCGTGCGAGAGCCAATGAATTTGTTACCTTTGTTGGGTGGACTTCTGCTGCTCGGACGATGTGGAAATACGAACAGATTTCTCGAAGCTCTTCCTAACGGTAAAATGAAGCGAACACATTCAGAAGCACAGCCCCGATTTACCTTTATATTCTACGGATTTGCTTTCGCCCACGTTTCCTTCACTATCTGATATTTCCATATCAAAACCCTCGGAATGCGCCACGGCGAAGCGCAGAAAGGACCGGAAAGCTATACACATGATATACATAGTGCTTCTGGTTAAATAAGCCAGAGCTTTTGACTTGAATATTCGGGCGAAGGAGAGACGAACTCACACTGTTCGTTAGGGGAGGAAGATTTGCAATGAAGATGCTACAGTTGGCGGAGTGCGTTAATGGTTCAATACGGCTGTAGCATTCGCACGAAAACTCAAAGCTTATGCTTCTCAGCAGCAGCAGGACCCTCACAGGTGAGTCTAGCGGACACAATGTGATTGGCGTACTTTCCGCGGTTTCTGTGCCTGTGAACTCTTCGTACAATTAGATCGAGCGAGTCGGATGCTTCCTACAGTCAAGAAACGCAAAATACATAACTGGGTGACCGTGCGCAAGGCCTCCATAATCGATCAAGAAGAAGAACAGCGTATAGATGCAGACATTCCACCGGAAGGATGCGTGTTAGGGAGCACGGTAAGGAGGGATGTAACACCGTGAGTTTCTTCAGCGCTTCTTCAGCTGTTTCCTCGTCTTCATAACGGAGAAAGGCATACTCCTGCACCCCTTTCCTCGATGGAAGACCGGCCACTGACGACACCTGAAGCAGCAGCCCAGCACGTTGTCTCCCCGCCACACGCTTTTGCATGCTTGGAAGAGGGAATTAGGAATGGCTCAATGGTGGCACCAACTGCGTTGACGAACCTTTACATGGGTTGGCGTTATGCCTGTCGCCGAAGTGAGGATATCTTCAATTCGAGCCACTGTGGCACCTGCATCCGGAATAAGGGGGAAAGGAGAAAAATGCTGCACTGGGCATATGTTTCATTAAGTCTACAAAACACCCACGAACACACGAGTACTACTTAGGGGAATGGCCTGTTTGGGGCTTCTACGCAGCCAGCGGCGCGAGCACTGAGGCTAATATACACCGGGACCGAGGTATTGTAAGTCTGCGGGCGAACAGGTGCGATACCCGGTGGGACGCCAGAGACGTATAGATGGTACTGGTCGACAACCAACGGGGTGCTCCAAGTTTCATACAGAGAAAGGCACACTTGCCTGCGCAGCAGAAAGAAGGTGTGCCCAGAACTAGCGGTGTTAACAAGAATGGTGGCTCCTTTGGATGAAAATCGCATGTTATGCGTCTATGTGCAAAGCCTGCTACACTTCAGAGCAGAAGGGGAAGGATGCCGGTAGACGCAGTTCAGCTGTCGCTTGCTGGCAAATGAGTCGCCTTAGATGAGTAGGCAAAGAAAAGCAGTGAAGGGTTCAAAGGTCACTCACGCAGAAGTGCCAGGCAGAGTGGCTGTTCCTCCCAAGACTTGAAGGGCCAATTTTGCCAGTGACTCGTGCGTGAAATCGACAACGGCGTAGATGCTGCTGCCTCTACGGTCGGATGCGACGCGAATGCTGGACACGGCGTAGGGGAGTTGCTGCAAAAGCTGCTTGTGGTGGTGGTTTAATAAGTTAATCTTCCGTTGTGAAGTGTCTCCGGGGCCTTCTTTAGGGTTTAAACGACTGCCTCGCCAGCTGCTCTGCGCCAAGGCTCCTCCCCTCGCTGGCACCACGCCAGTGCCGTCATGGCTCTTTTGGCCTTCTTTGGGGTTTACCTGCAGGTAGTTCGCCCTTCGGACTTCGCCAGAGAAGAGCTGTCGCAGCGCATCTGTGCTCTGCTCGGGGCTGAGGTGACTCGGCAGGCCCCGCACGAGAATACTGCGCGCGACGCCGTTCTTCTCTTTCCCTTCCCAGTTGGATAGTAAAGGACTTTCAAAACTAAGAGAGAGCCGCTCCTCCATCTTCGCCTCCTCTCCGAAGACACACACCTGGAACTGTGCGTCCTCTGCTGGATTGGTCCAACGGCCCACAAAGACACAGACCGCTGGAGCGTGTTGGTTTGACAAGCAGAAGCAGATGACAACAACGACGGCGTGCCCACAATACGACAATTCAATTGGTAAATTATGTTATGCGCAGCCCCTAATAATGCGCTTTTGAATGGAAGAGGCATAAGGCATGGAAAGAGTTGAACTCCGACGTGGATGCGCCTGTACCACAAGCGAGGTGCCGACGCCGGCAGCCACTTAAGCGGGGCTTGAACCACGGCACACAATATTTCCGATACAAAAGTTAAATCTAAAAATAAATTTCAGAGTTGAAATGGTGCTCATACATGGTATTTTTGCTAACTTTGGCGAATTAGTGCTCAAAATGCAACAGAGTCTGCCAAACCGCTCACCCAGGGAGGTGACCCCCATCCAAGCCGTCGTAAATATTCCACAAGAAGCCCTCAACTGTACAGAAACCTTCCGTACATTGACTACCAAGGCTGTCGTCAGTAAAAACCCGGAAACTCGAGCAGGAGACTGCAGCGAAATTGTCCCCCGAGCCCGGACGAAAACAGGCTACTGACTGAGCCTCCAATTGCCGTTTGGCTCTCATTCTCTCCCCTGTTTCTCTTTCTGTTTCCCCCTCTCCCTGTAACACAGTATCTCTTCCTCCATCTCGCCATACGCATATATATGTATACATATATATGCATATATGCACCTGTATATATGCATTTGCATTTTGGTGCACATTCATGTAGTGTACAGCAGCTCTAGGCCTCCACAAAGCTTCGGCTAGCGTGTATTTTGATGGAGAAAAGAAGCTGCCAAGCGTCGCTGTCCAGTTCTTGGGTGGAAACCCCAAGCCTAAACCCTAGTACCCAAGAGAGGCTAGTGAGTGTTGTGCAGGTCGTCTGCCGGGCCTCACAGACGCCATACACCCTGTTCCTCAAACTCTGAACACCGAAGTTGCCAAACGGGGAAGCAACCTGAGACAGTACAGGCACCTCCTGAGCTGTGCCCTCGGGTGTACAGCCCCACCTTTGGCGGCAGTGTCTGTCCGCATTTATGGAGACCACCTCTGCATCCTCACTGTTCTGTTGTAAGAGAATACAGCTAGTACTCTCGTAGAAACTCATAGAAGTCTTCCTCTTTAAGCTCGAACCATGCATGCAGCCTCATGCAGGAGTCCGTGCTACTGGCCGTTGGTCAGCAACGCAACTGCCCCTCTTCGGTGCCGTCCAGCTGCATACATCTACAGCGAAGCGGGCCGTCGCTTGCAGCTGAGGGGCCCTGACCCCGCCAGCAGCGCCCCTTGAGAAGCACCATTACTGTGTTACTGTACTATGGTATTGCTTGGGTGCAAGGAACTCGAGGGAAGGTAGCGAGCAGGTGGGTGGACGAAGGGCTTATGCGAATGCTAGTTCGTTTGCCACGTCAGCTAGTTAACAGCTAGCTAGCTAGCTAGCCATTGGCTAGCTGAGCTGCCAGCGATAAACTGTGCGAGTTAGCCAAGAAGGGCGGAATGCATGCACTGAAAGCCGGATCGGTCTCGGCCCTTCAGCGTTCCCCGGTACAAATAAGTGTGGTGAGTGCATTTCTGCACCGATATGCAGGCAACAAAGATTAAAATAACATGAACTTCCGCACAACATTACGATTTAAACAGCAACTGCCACCATGTGGCCAATGGTCAGCGTGAAACAACAGACAGGTACAGAACCCCCTCTGACGATCGGATCCCCGCCTCTGACAGCGTAAGGTGGTCCTGCGAAGGGAACACGCAAGCACACGACGACAGCCATCCAACACCCGTGGCGCCTGCCACCATCAACCCTGAAAACCTAAATTGTGAAACCGAAAACCCCGAAACGCTAAAATCTAAGCAGCTGCAGCTGGGGGCCAATGCCTCCTGTGGGCACAGCACAAGGCGGTGGGCTTGTGCGTGAGAAATCAGCAACTGCAGCAGCAGCTCCTGCTGCTACTGTAGTAGTATGTCTGCCGCCTCACCAGCATCGCGGGTCCATTGAGGGTAGTGGAGAGCTGCAGGTCGCGGGCCCTGAGGGTTTCCGCGCCGATACCCGCATCCAGCAGGGACTGCTTCAGCTGTGCGCCCGTCAACGACCTGTCCACCTCCACCTGCGCCTCCTGGGCCTCCAGACCTTCTCCCTCTCGGCAGACAACTGTCAGCAGGAGCAGAGATTGGGCCCCTCCTGCTGCTGCTGCTGAAGGGGCCGCGTCCACACGCTGCCTCTTCGCCTCGGGGGCAGTACCCCCGACTCCTTCCCGCGTTCCCGCTGCAACTGTTGCTTCCGCACGCAAAGGGTCTACTTCTGCCTCAGCCTCAAGCCTCTGCGCAAACAAGACAGAAGCACTTGTAAAACAAGTAGAAAGAAAAGCAGTAAAGGACTGAAACTGACAGAAAGACACCTGATGACGAGCGTTTCAGAGACCGAGAGAAACAAATACAGAAACACTGCGAATAGAAGCACAACGGAGAAGAACAAGAAAATGCCTCACAGCGTGATCATCGACAGATCCGAAGAGGTCAGGCCGCTTGGCAACAAACTGCGCCAAATACCCCTCCACGTCTTCTAATGGGGCAAAGGCGGACTCCGCCTGGGCCTTCTCCAGGAACCGGTCCTTCTGCTCCCTGCACACGCAGACAACACAGAGAACACGCAAGCCTTTGCAGCAGCACCAGAAACGGCAGCAACGGCAACAGCTGCTGCTGCATAGAGGCGCAGCGCCTCCCGTTCGCAGAGCGGCAGATCTCCGCCTGTGCAACTGTTACGTGTGCCTCATAGCCCGGTGTCGGTATGCAGGCTCAGAGCGCCACACTGACTCCCGTATAATCACTTGCTGTAATGATTTAAATCAAAGATATAAAGGGAAATGAACAGAAACAAAAGGATGAATTTAAACTCGATTGAAACTACAGCCTCACTTCCACTTGGGGTCGAGAAGCAGAATACGCAGATGCTGACTCATCTGCTCCGCTGGGATCAACTGGCCAGTGATGGGGCACCGCTGGAAACCGCTCGTAACCCCAGCAGCCGCCTGCCTCTTCCTTGTACGCACGTAGCCCTTCACTACACGCAGAGCAGCTGGGGGCGCCGGGGCCTGGGCAGACACAGCAGCGGGTGCAGCAGCAGGCAGAGCACAGAAACACTTGAAGACACATGAAAGGAGTGAATTGAGGAGGCTACCAAGGTGCTGCAAAACCGAGTGAGGAAGGGAAGCCGACAAAAACAAACAAACGAGCAGGAAAAGACAGGAGAAACGAGCAGAGATACACAGCACAGCAATAAAACACACATGCACCCGAACGAAGTAGAGGCAAGAAAACGTACGCCAGGGGAAGCAAAACAGCTTGCGGGCGATGAACAACACAACCAAAGAAAAATGAGCGACGGAACAACAACGCAACATAAAACGAATCCTCAGAAACCGCACAAGAAACGAACAACTCCAACAAAGCATGAATGCAGCGCAAGACCCATCCATAGAGACAATCCTGCGGCCACAGGGCATGTGAAAACGAGGCGTAGGTGCACCGCGTAGGGACCGACGCAAGCGGCTAACGGCGTGAGGCGCCTAGGGGGAGGGGGGGGAGAGGTGGGGTTCTGTTCAGTTCCCCTGCGCAGAGTCAGCGGGCCCGGTGTGCCTCTCAAGAGACCCCGAAGCCCTCAGAACAAAATACCGCCTGTAAAGGCGTCTTCTCATCATAACAAACACCCAGCCCCCCTACGCCCCGTAGCCGCTGCGCCCCAGCGGGTCCCACCAACGACTCGCATACCTCCATGCATGCATGGATGCATGCATACAAGCGTGTTTCCCTGATCCAAGGGAAGGCGTAGAAGTGCAAACATAGCAGCATAGAATGAAAAACAGGAATGCGGAGGGACCCCACTGCCGCTGGGCTTGGGGTTGGCTTACGACTTCTTGCTGCTGTTGGCCTGCAGCAGCCGCTTCTGCAGCAGCTCCCGCGGGTCCTTGTTGTTGCAGCTTTTCTGCTTCTGCTTGCTCTCGTGTTTCTTCTTCGTCTTCGGTTTCCATGGCTTCATCGTCTGCGTCTGGATCTGCACCCTCTATAAGTTTAGCGATGGACTCTGCCTGTTCTGCTGTTGTTGCTACTCCATCACCATCTGCTGCTGTTGGATCATCTGCTAGCAGCGCCTTAGGCAGCTCCTTCGGTATGGAGCGGAAGTCAATAGGAGCAGCAAGAGGAAGGCGTTCATCTTCTTCTGTGAATTCGATTGTCTCCACAATATGAAAGGACTCCCAGTCCAGAGACATCATCAGTCTTCTTTCCTCTTGTGTTTTGTTTTCTTTCTCTTGTCGCTGCCGCATCTGCTGTCGCTCGTATTGCATGCGCCGCCGCACCCGCGCCAGCAGAGCCTGCCGGTCTGCTACAGTCTCGCTCAGAGCGTCAAGGGTTTCTTTCTCAGGCAGTAGACACTTGGTGTAGGCGTCTACGAGAGAAGCAAAATAAGAAAATAAATGATGAGAAGGCTTAAGAAAAGCAAACTGAGGATTCTGCTGCTCCCGCTGCGCCAGACCCGCAAGGAACTTCTGCCCGTTGCGAGCGACAAACTGCGCGCAGCAACGAATTATGTCCAAGTCCACAGGGGCAATCCACGGGTGCTGCAGCACGAACTGGTTGGGTGGGGGGGGCTCTATAAGCTGCTTTGCTTCGTCCTTCTCACTTTCCCCTATCTGCGTCAGCATCAGCAGCTGCTGCTGTTTCTGCTGTTGCTGCTGCTGCTTCTGCTGCATGTCACGAATCGCCTGAGGCACCTGCGGGGTAGGCGCAGCCTCCCCCGTGGTGAACTCCCTCACCTTCAGCTTATAGAATGCATGATAAGGATTGTTCGGCAACAGAAACCCGAACTTTGCTGCACTCTGCTCCCTCAATACACGCGATTCAAACTCTGCCCCGTTCTTAGCTACGAACTGCGCAGTCTTCTCTATCACACCCCTCATATCCGCAGGCGGGAAGATCAAGTCAGGAGGAGGGGCCCCAGAGGATGGGGGTGCCCCAGCGCCTGCCCCAGGTGGTACTGCAGCCGCGCCGCCACCCGAGGGCGCAGGTGGCCGCTGCGGCGGCTCCACTGCAGCGCTCATCGTTGCACAGGCAGCAGACAGAAGAGATTCTTAAAAAAAAAGGGAGAACAAATGCAGCCACGCCCTTCCCTGCTGCTGCTGCTGCCGTTCCTGCTGCTGCTCCTGCTGCTACTGCTGGCGCGGGCAAGCAAGCAAGGGAGAGAGGCCTAGGGGAACGTAACGGACCCAAGATAAGGGAACGTTGTAAAGCGCTGAGCGCCTCACAGAATGGTGTGCAAACCCTGCGAGAAATCCGCAGCAAGGCCCCCAGTCCTGCAGTAACCGCCGCCGCCGCTGCAGCAGCAGCAGCAGCAGCAGCAACGCGGGGGAGAAGACCGGTAGCCGAGTGCCTCGCGAAGTGGGGATGCGGACAGTGCTCCAAATAAGGAGGAAAATTCCTCAAAACAAAACAATAAACAAAAGCAGGGGCGCGTTCACGAGGGCGGCCTTAGATCGCAACGCAGAGCAGCAGCTGCAGCAGCAGCAGCACTGCAGAGGCTGCTGCAGCCGCTGCTGTTGCTGCATGCGGCCCCAGCTAGACGCGAGACAACTATGGTTCCAGCTTATACGCATTGAAGGCTTTAAAGCTGTCTAATAGATTAAGACATTACTTTATTTATTGTTTTAATGAGGTGTGCAGCCACATACCAAGCAACAGAAGCCCGAGACTAAGTCGGTAGTCGCTCTCCGTGGAGCAGCGGATCCGTTCTGTGTCTCTTCTCTGTTCCTTCTAACCAAAACAATACGTACTGCAGCTAACACACAGGAGAATTAAACAAGCTGGAATCAAGGCGTTCCGCCGCTGTTGTTTATACACCGCAGACAATTAATTAATTAACCAGACAGACACCAGGGGATCACTCTAGCGCGAAAATGCCTCAGAGGAGGCGCCACGGCAAACACAATCACCAGCAACAGCAGCAGAAACAAGAGGGCCAACAGCAGCAACCGCAGCAGCAGCAACCGCAGCAGCAGCAACCACAACAGCAGCAACCGCAGCAGCAGCAACCGCAACAGGAGCAACCGCAGCAGCAGCAACCGCAACAGGAGCAACCACAGCAGCAGCAACCGCAACAGGAGCAACCGCAACAGCAGCAACCGCAAGAGCAACAAGGACAGCAGCAACACCGGCAGCAGCAGCAAGCGCAGCAGCAGCAACCGCAACAGCAGCAGCCGCAACAGCAGCAGTCGCAGCAGCAGCAACCGCAGCAACAGCAACCGCAGCAACAGCAAACGCAGAAGCAGCAATCGCAACAGCAGCAACCGCACCAGCAGGAACCGCAGCAGCAGCAACCGCAGCAGCAGCAACCGCAGCATCAGCAACAACAGCAGCAGCAACCGCAGCATCAGAAACATCAGCAGCAGCAAACGCAACAGAAGCAGAAGCCGCATCGAAAGCACAAGCAGCACAAGGAGCAGGATCGGGAGCAGCCGCAACATAGGGGCCAGCAGCAGGAGCAGCAGGACTTGCAGCAGCAACAAAAGCAGCTGCAACAACCTGAGCAACATGAGAAGCCGCAGCAGCAGCAGCAGCTGCAGCAGCAGCAAGGGCCACAGCAGGTGCAGCAACAAGGTGAACGGCAGCAGGATTTGCCAATAGCTGCAGGTCCAGCGACTGCTGCTGGCGGCCTTGAAGTGAGCTACTGCTTCGGCTGTTTGTCTATTTGCTGCAGCCTCTGGGCTACTGCAGTAGCTCCTTTGCTTGGCTGCGCGCTGCTGGGTTGCTTAGCGCGAGCTTGGGGCGTTCGGGTGTACTTAGCCGTAGGGTGTAATGTTTGGGTTTAGAGTTTGGCGTTTAGGGGTTTCGGGTATGAGATATACGGTTTAGGGTTTGGCATTCAGTGTTTAAATTCCCACATGTAGGGCTTTAGGGTTTAGACTGTGGCGCTTATAGTTTAGGGTTTAGGGGTGAGGGTTTGGCGTTTAGGGTTTAGGGTTTAGGGTTTGGCGTGATGTGTTAAGGAAGAGGTGCAGCGGCGGCTGCAGGCCTGCAACGCCAACGTGGTGGATGTATCTGCGGCCCAAATGTTTGCTGACAGCCCCGATGGCGTCCCCTCTCTCATTCGCTGCAGCGGATCCCAGGTCCGAGCCCGCAGTGTACAGAGACAGAAGCTGTAGTGACTGCTGCTGGTGGTGTTGCTGCTGGGGTGCGTGCTGCTGCTGGGTTGCTGCTGCTGTAGCGTTGCTGCAGTGGTAGAGCTGCTGATGCTGCTGCTGTTGCTGCTGGCGCATCTGTTTGAGCTGCTGCTTTTGCTGTTGCAGCTGACACAGCTGCACTGCTGGCGTAGGGAGAGCTGCTTTTCCTGTTGCTGCTGCAGCCCTGCCGCTGCTGCTGCAGCTGCTGTGCGCGCCTGTGTGTGTTGAGGTGTCTGTACAGCGCATGCTCGATAAGAAGAAGAAAATTCTAATATCCTTCTTCCCCTTCGCAGGACTGCCGCCAACTGCAGTGCCTGTTGAGGCCCATCCGGCCCTTGAGTTCCACTCTCCCTCAGGCGAGCTAAACACTAAATCCTAAACCCTAAACGTAACAGAAAGAGGGAACGTATTCTGCTAGAGAGGGTTTTAAGGGGCCTTCTTTGGAGCTTCTGCAGCGTGCATTTCTTTTGCGTGTACCTTCGGCTTCTGGAGCTGGGGTGTGCGGCCTAGGGTTTAGGGTTTAGGGTTTGCGGGTGTTGGTGTGCTTTGGTGCAGGTCGTCTGGTGGCTCAGCTTACATCAGTCCCTCCGGATACGAAGAGCAACTGCAGCGCATCAGCAGCAGGGGCCCCCATGCACCGGCTTGAGGTGTGGGGCGCAGCAGGCAGCGCCCATCTCGGTTGCGCGCTGTCTCTGCTGGCCCCTCACGGCATCCCCTGGCTTAGCCCCTATGGAGGCGGCTCCTTCTGCCCTCAAGATGAAAACCTGTAGGGAGGATGAGGCTCTGATTATGCACTGCTGCTGCTCTGCTGCTGCTTTGTTGCTGCTCTGCCGCTGCCTGCTAGGCTGGGGCCTCCAAGCGTTGGCTGCAGCGGCTCGATCGGCCTGCCGCGCATGCTGCTGGGGTACCCGGTTGTTGCTGCTGCTTTTCAGGCTCCTCTATATTGCGGAGACGCAGCAGAAGGAGGCATCTTCTCCCTTCGACAACTTCTGCTATAAAGACACCTGGGGCGAGCAGCTGCTGCAGCACTCAAGAGGAGTGGTGGTTGTCGGCAGCATCTCACCGCCGGCGCTGGTTCCTCTGCAGCACAGACAGCGCGGAGTCAGCTGCGCGCAGGTATGACTTCTAGGGTTGAGGACTTCTTGGGTTTAGGGTCAAAGCTGCGTCGCTTAGGAGGTTGTTGGGGGCCTCAAGGGGGCCGAGGAAGGCTTTCTGCTCACAGCTTGAATGGATACCTCCGGGTCTAGGGTTTGTAGTGCCGAGGCATTGCGGGGGTTTAGGGTTTAGGGTTTAGCGTTTTTGTCTATTGCTGTCTATGCTGCGTAGGCGTGCTTTATCCCGGATGGATCCGGCATCGTCTGCACGGAGATGCCTCCTGAGCCCTACAGGTGTGGCCCTGCTGCCACTTTCTAAATATAGTATATTATAGCCTGGGTCGGCATGGAGCTGTGGGGTTTAGGGTTCAAGCGGTTGCTGTAGGGTTTAAGCTGTTGGTTTAGGGTTTACAGGAGTGATTTAGGGCGTATAGGAGGGGTTTGTTGTTTATAGAGGAGTGTATGGCTTGTAGGCGGGGTGTGGGGTTTAGCGTAGAGACGACGGCATCGGGAAGAAAGGGTTTAGGGTTTAGGGTTTGTTGGACTAGGGGCTTATTCTCTGTTGTGTTGGGGTTCTGTTGCTAGTGTGTATTATATGTTTATCTGTTGTTTATATTACTTGATCATTATTAGTATGTATTAGTTGTTCATTGTTAGTTGTAATAGTAATCGTTTGTTGTTACACTAGTTCTATGTTGTTAGTTTGTATGGTTTATTTATTTTTATATATTTTGTCGATTTCTAGGTTCTTTTATTTGCTTATTGTTATATTGGCTTCTATCATTAGTTTATATGATTTGTTTATGTTTACATTATATGTTCATTGCGCTTTATATGATTTGTTTATTGTGTGTATGCACTGTCTCATCAGGCTAGGTTTACGTTTTTGTATAAACCGTCGTTCTACTGTCTTCTTGGCTTCTTTCTCTTCTGGCGTCGGGGGGGCCCTCCGTGCTCTGGACCCGCAGGAGAGGGGGCCCCAAAGGGCCCTCAAGGCGCTCTGGCTGCCACTCTCAGGGGAGGATGATTGGGCTGCCTGGGACCCTAGGATATGTGAGAGGCCCCAGGAAGGGAAGAGCCAGGGGCCCCTCAACGAGTTCTGTGTTGCCTACTTAGCCCTAGAGAATAAACCCAGTGTAAACAAATCCTACATAGTAACAAATAATATACTATAACACTGATGCCTAATACTGATAACTAAGAACTAATTAATACATAAATTAATACTAGAAACCAATAACTAATTAATACACAGATTAAATATTTATTACATAGATTAATACTAATAACGAATGTGCATAGAACCAATTGCTTAATACTAAGAACTAATAATATTAGTATAAATATAAAATGCTACTAACTAGTAGCTAAAAAGGAAATAATACAAACTACAAACGACTAACAACTATTAATTGCTGCTCTAGCTGCTGTCTCCCCCCTGTCTTATGCCTTGCTGCATCCAAGCGCTGCAGCTCGGACAGGCTGCAGCCTCCCGGCTATTAAAGAGCAAGCACAGACTCTACTATGTGTGTCTGTCGGGTGTCTATACACTGTACAGGAGAAGCGGCCGCACTTCGGTAACGCCCGCCTTCGTGTTGCAACGGTGGTGAGGGAGGGCCCCGGGGGCGCCTGGGTGGTGAAGTCCCGGCGAACAGTTCTCAGCACCAACCCCTCTCCCCGTGGGGGCCCTTCCCTGCAGCACCCAGACAGCGGCAAGCCCCACTCTACAGAGCATGGGGGAGCCGAGCTCTCGTGCGTCTGCGTGGCAGGGCCCCAGCGGGAGTCCGCGACCCGCAATGGGGGCCCACCGCTGCGCCCCTTTCAGGGCCTCGCCTGTCACCAGTTGCCCCCGTGGCGGAGCCGGGGATATCTGTTGGCGACGACTTTCATCGGCTGTCGCCAGACAGTCATCGCTGTCTCTACAGACACTGCAGGTAACACCACTACAGCAGAACCTTCGGCTGCCGCCGCTGTGCAGCTGTTTACCCCCTATAGCAAGCGAGCGACAAGTAACGAATTGTAGGGGACCGTGCAATGCAAAGTGGCCACTAGCAGTGTGGTGGGGGGGCTTTAATAACGAAGAAATGGGCCCCTAACAGCGATGAGGGGGCCGCCTAGCGGTGAACATGGGGGGCTCTTGTGAGGCGTGGGAGTCGGAGTTGCGGGGCGCTGTGCTGCAGCAAGCGGCGTGGTGGTGCGGCGGGTGCAGGTGGAGTGCGGGACGTGCCCGAATGGTTCTGCAGACTTGAAGGCAACAGTAGCAGCAGTAGGAGCAGCAGGGGACGTGCTGCTGCGAGATACCCGGGGGCCCTGGCTGCTCCTCCAGCTCAGCAGCCCTGTGCACCCACCTGTGCTGGTCGTCGCAAAGATAAAGGACGAGGCGGTGCTGAAGCAGCCGCCGGACGAGAAGGACCCCTTGGGGCCGCCCCTTGTAGCCGAGGTGGTCGATGCCTTCTCCCTAAGGGGGGCGCCAGACGGGGCTTTCGATGGAGTCAGCTACTGTTGCTGGCGCTGCTGCTATTGCTGCTGTTGCTGCTGCTCTCGCTGCTGCTGCTGCTGGCCACCTCGTAGGGTTTAGATTTTGGAGTCCTTCTGATTGGGGGTGCTGTGCGGCACTTTTTCTGTTTGCCTTCCTTCTTAGGGCGCTGTACTCAGCAGCAGCAGCGGCAGCGGGAGCAGAACAGATGCAGCAATATCTCATACCGGACGGTTGAGCTTAGCTGCGTCCTTAGCCTCCTGAGTCTGTCCGTGCGTGTTTGTGTTTGTACGTGACTGCGAGGTGGGGTTGCTGTTATTCTGCAGGCGGTGAAGAAGCTGCAATTGCATATGCTGACTCTGTCTCTCTATCACTTAGATGCACAACGCCACTGGCTCGTTCGCGCCGGGGGCCCCCCCAGGGGACCCACGGAACCCCGACTGGCGGTGCTGATCCACGGGGGTCCCCACTCTTGCGCGAGCTGTACGTACAACCGAGATGTCGTCTTCCTCACCACCTTGGGCTTCGATGTGCTGGCGGTTAACTACAGAGGCTCTGCAGGTTTCGGACAAGAGGAATTGGTCTCCGTGCACGGTCTGTCGCGGTGTCTGTACACCTCACGTCTGCCTTATAAACTCTGCTTCTTCACATACACCACTCCGAAACCCTAAACCCTTGCTGTTGTCGCTTCACGGCTCCCATCCAGGGCCCCAAGGGCTCGCGGCTGTTGGGTCCCCCGTAGACTTCATGCAGTTGCGTGGTGGCCGCTTCCCGGGTGTCTCTCCAGCTGACGCACACAATGAATTCCGAATCGCTAGGGAATGATGCTTGCTGCTGCTGCTGCTTCATGTGGTCCCACTGGTGCTGCTGCTGCTGCTGCTGCTTCTGCAGGCCGTGCAGGTCGCCAGGACGTGGACGACGTGGCTCAGATAGTGCAGCAAGTTGTCAGCAGGTACAGCAGCCAACGGTTACCTGACTTCACCCCAGAAGAGTTTGTGTTTGAGGAGAGGAGTCTGTTGCATGCATTGGGAGGCTTGTCTATATAAACAGTATACCGCCTTTTGTTCGTTTGCCTGTCTTCTGTCGTTCGTCTTTCTCTCTTCTTTTGTTTCTCTGTCTGCTTTTGTTTGTTTGCGTGTATATTGTTTTTCGTTTGCCTGTATTTGTTTGTCTGTCTGTGGCGCTCCTGTTGTTTGCTTTTTGTGTGCGCGGACCTGCGGCCGAGAGAGCCTCGACAGGTATCACCGGCATAGGAGAAACGACACAAAGTTAAATAGGAGTGCATATAAACAATTAAATACTGCTGCAGCTTTCTCTTTTCTTATGGGTTTAGGTTCGGCTATGACCCCTCACTCTGCGTTGCTGTCGGCGGCTCTCACGGGGGTTTCCTTTGCTGCCACCTCATTGGGCAGGTGAGAAGGGCAAAATGCATGCACTGCATGCATCTGGATGCAGGTGCATGCAGCTGTTTCTTTAGGATTCTTTGGGGCCCGTCTGGGGATAAGAAGGCAATGGAGGGGGCGCGGGTTGGGTTGGGGGTACATGTGCAGCTGGGCAGTCGGCGGAGAACAGCAGAACTTTTGGTTGTTGCTGTTGTATTTGTTTGTCCTTTCATTTCTGGATTGTTTTTTCGCATGCTACTTGGTTTTTACTCCTTTTTGTGTTTGCTTGCTTCTTGTTGTTTGCGCTTCTTCTCCCCCCGAGTATTTCTGCTGCTCTTCCCGTGGTTTTTCTTGTACAGTCTGCTGCTGCTGCTGCTGTTGCTGTTGCTGCCGCTGCAGTTCCCGTCCCTCTTTTCCGCCGCCTCCACCCGCAATCCCGTGACGTATATCCCGGGGATGTACGCAGCATCAGACATTCCCGGTATGTTTGAAGGCCCCAGCAGCAGCAGCAGCGACAGGGGCAGCAGCAGCAGCAGAAGAAGCAGCAGAAGCAGTATCAACAGCAGTTCTCCTCTATGGCTCTGTCTGTTGGGCTTTTTTGGTGTTTCGTCTCCTATCACCATTGCGTGTTATTTGTGCCTCTCTCCTCTCCCTTGTCTCTCTCTGCATCCATCCTCTGCCTGTCTGTCTCGATAGGGGCAGTCGTTGCTGCTGCTACTGCTGCTGCTTTTTTTGTGTTGTCTGCTGCTACAGACTTTGTATTCCCCGTGTCCTGTGGCGAGGACTTCACCTTTTCTAAGACGCCGTCAGAGGCGGCTCTGCAGCAGATGCAGCGGCTGTCTCCAACCCAATTTGTCAACAACATCCAGACGCCGCTTCTCCTCGCTCTTGGCGCGAAAGACCTGCGGGTGAGATACGATATCTCCTGCTGCGGCAGCAGCAGCCTCTGCTGCTGCTGCTGCTGCAGTAGACTCTGCTACTGCTGCAGCAACAGCTTCTACTGCTGCTACAGCGGTGGGCTCTGCTGCTGCTGCTGCATTGGGCTCCGCCGCTGCTGCTACTGCAATAGGCTGTGCAGCTGCTGCAGCAACAGCCCCTGTAGCTGCAACAACATAATGCTCTATTGCATGCTGCCTCAGCAGCAGCAGCTACTCTGTTGCAGCAGCAGCAACAGACTAACGGCCTTCTCTGTTGCAGCAGCGCGGTTGTGTACAGTTGCTGCAACAGGGGACCCCACGGGCTTCTCTGCCCCTCCCCTCGTCTCCGTTGGGTCTGGGTGGTTGCTTCTTTGTATTTTGTTTATTTCTTTCGCTGTTTTACGAGTTGTTGTGCGTATGCTGTCTGCTGACACCTCTGCAGGTCCCCCCCTCGCAGGGCCTTCTCTTCTGGCGGCTGCTTAATGCCCATGGTACACCTGCTGCATGGGATGCTGCTATGCATGCTGCTGCTGCTGCAGCAACAGCCTCTACTGCTGCTGCTGCAGCGCCTGCTGATCAATACCGCTGCTGCTCCTCGGCCGGCTGTTGCTTTCGCTGCTGCTGCTCAACTGTCTGCCGCTGTTGTTGCTGCTTAAAGGGCTGCTGCTGCCCAGTTGACTGCTGGTTTTTCTCTTTCTGCTGCGCAACTACCTGCTGCTGTTGCAGCTGCTGCTCAACTACCTGGTGTGCTGCTGCTGTTGTTATTGCTGCTATTGCTCAACTGGCTGTTGCTGCTGGCGTTGCCGCTGCTGCTGCAGGGAAAAGGAACAAGTTGCTTTGGTACCCTGAGGACAACCACAGTCTGGACGGGCCAGTGGCGGATGCAGACTACTGGATCAACACGGGCCTCTGGTTTTTGCAGCATTTGCCTAGAGTTTCTCTTCCTCCTCTATAGAGGCAGAAGAAAGAGTCAGCTGAGGGAGAAGCTGCACCTCAGCACTTGCTTTTTTTTGGTTGCTGCTGCACCGGCAACTCATGCTGCAGCACAATGGGCGCCTTATTATGTCCTTGCAGCAGCTGCTTCTGCTCCTTGCGGCCTTTGGAACGCCGCGTCGCCCCGGACCACCCCTTCCTCACCGCATTCTAGGGTTTAGGGTGTAGGGTTTAGGATGTAGGGTTTAGGGTTTAGGGTTCAGGGCCAAGGCATCTCTGCTGAGCCCTTTATAAGGCGGCTTAGGCTGCAGGGGTCCGCAGCCAACTGCTGCAGGGGCCCCTGACCGGCCCGGAAGTCGTCTACATCTGCTGAGCGCTGCAGCTGGCATTATTTGCCGGTGCAGCAGACGGGTCATTGGAGACAGATAAATCCTCCTCCCTGGAGGGGAGGCTGGGGCCCCCCTGGGTGCACTCAGGGGTTACGAGGAAAACGGCAGGCAGCAGCAGCAGCAGCTGCTGCTGCTGCTGCTGCTGTGAGTTGCGTTTGCTGCTGTAGCTCCAGACGGAGCAGCACAGGGAGCCTTTAGCTTAGTGCTACATTGAGGCGCTGCAGTGGAGGGGCTACTGATGCACTGCGGCACCTGTGTACCTGCTAGCGGCGGACCCCTTGGGCCCAGGGGCTGCCTGACAGTGTACAGCGCTGCGTCCCTGTTGCTGCAGCTGCACAGAGTGGTGCTGCTGCTTCAGAGGCTGCTGCGTGACGATGGCGAAACGTCTCCGTTGCAGCGAACCTCGTCGGTCCTCACCAGACGTTCTCTCTGAGGTTTCCTTTGGCTACAGCTTCACAGTGCCCCTGCCCATAGAGGCGGTATGCGCACTAAGCAGCAAAGAGGAGATATACAGGGTGGTACAGAGGAAACAGATAGGACACACATACAGGATACAGACGAAGAAGAGACAGGTAAAGAGGAGACAGGGAAAGAGAAGACAGACAAAGAAGAGAGGGAGAGAGAGGAGACAGAAAAAGAGGCAACCGACAGAAGCTAGCTAGGGGCTGCCTATACGTTCAAGCGTTTTCACCCGCATCAGAGCAGAGGGGGCTGTGCTGACCCCAACGATACCAATATACGCATACAGAGAGGGCCCAGATGCTCCCAAATGGCCTTATCAATGCAAACGGGCCCCCAGTTTACAACAACGGGGCCATAGCTGAGTGCAAGTGATCTCTAGCTAGGGGCAAATGACCACTAGTTAGGAGCGAACGGTCCATAGTTAAGAGCAGGTACCCATACTTAAGAGCAGCTGATCTCTAGATAAGAGCAGCTAAGCTCTAGTTGAGAGCAACTGAGCTCTAGTTGAGAGCAACTGAGCCCTATCGAAGTTCAAATGAACCACAGTTAAGAACAATTTGCCCATAGTAAAGAGCAGCTGCCCCTGGTTGAGGCCCCTAGCTGAGGCCAAATGGCGGCAGCTTAGGAGCAACTGCCTTATAGTTAAGAGCACTGCACCATACTTAAGAGCAAATGGCCATAGTTAAGAGACGTTACCTTTAGTTAAGAGCCAACAGCCCATAGTTAAAAGCAGCTGGCCCCATAGGTAAGGGCCGGCGGCCCAGATGTATCGTACTGAGGGGCCGAGGCGCTGCGTTTAATATGTGTTGTGCCTGTGCCGTACGTGCTGTTTGCTGCTGAGGGGCTGCTGTTGCTGCTTTTGCTGCTGCAGAGGTGCTGCAGAGGGGCAGGCACGGCGTTAAGGGGATATCTTTAGGGTTTAGGGTCTACGGGGTTGCTGTTGAGGCCCAAAGTGGCGGAGACGTCAGCCGCTTCGTCTGCTGAGGCAACGCCTCTGAAGGCTATGAACTGAGGAGGGGAAGAGGGGGCAGACAGCCGGAATAAAGAATAGTGAAGGCCGAGGTGAGATGGCCTGAGATAAAGATAAAAAACAAACAGCAGCAAAAAAAGAGATGATGTTGTATTCTCTTTGTCTCTCGCATAGAATTCCAATGCAAAAGAGAAAAAACGCCGCACAGAAAGAACAGGAACAACAGAAAAGGGAAAAAGGGGAGATGAGCAGAAACCAACGGACAACGAAGAGAAATAAGATAAATAAATAAAGGTAACGACAACATATGAAATACAAACAAGAAATAAAACACAATAGAACAAAAACGATACAAAGGAGAAATGAAACACAAGAAAACCAAAAGAACAAGAAAGAAGAAGAAATGAAACACGAGGGAGCGAACATGAGAGAAGAGAGGAAGAAGGAAAAGGGTCAGCAGCCTCAGCAGGCAGAACAGCGCAGTAGACGCTAAACCCAAAAGCAGAGACAAAGAAAGAACACAACATCGCAGGAGACGTCGCTTGCTGCACTGCAACAGCAAGAATATTGCTGCTGCGCTGCAACAGCAAGAATATTGCTGCTGCACTGCAACAGCAAGAATATTGCTGCTGCACTGCAGCAGCAATCGTTAGTGTCCCTTGCGGACTTGAAATATATGCAAATGACGGCGCTGCTGTTGCTGCTGCTTCTGCTGCCGCTGCTGCTGTTCGTTTCTTCCGCGTTGATGCCGGGCAGAGAGCCAGCAGAAGGAACCAGCATGAATGCCTCCTCTTCTCCTTTCGTCTCTTCCTCAGCCGACACAAAACCCTGAAACACCCCAAAGCGTCAACCAAGGCGTTATTCCATAGGGTTTAGGACTGAGGGTTTAGCGCTAGGGTTTAGGGTTCAGGTCTAGGGTTTAGGGTTTAGGGTTTAGAGGGAAGGGCACAATGATATGTGAATCGGCCAACGCTTTCTTTAGTGGGCACACTTACAGCTTCGAACTCCTCGCGTCTGCTGCCGCTGCTGCTGCTGCTGCTACTTCTGCTCCTGCTGCTGCTACTGCTGCTTCTGCTTCTGCTGCTGCTGCTGCCGCTTCTGCTTCTGCTGCCGGTGCTGCTGCATAGGCTGAACTGCCAATGAACAGTTGCTGTGGCTACGGCGCGTAGCTGCAGCAGTCTGCTGGGCCGCCTGCGGGCATCGATGTGAGTAGTGCCGAAGTCAATCAGCAGGGGGGCGTTGGGGTCGCAGTAGGTAGCCCAAGCTCCTCTAGGTGCTGCTGCTGTTGCTGCTGCTGCTGCTGTGCACGGATGCGGCGGAGCCCATAGCAGCAGCACTGCTTTCCTGCAGAGGCCTATTAAAGACACCACCTGCGTCGTCTCCGGCCCTGTTGCACCCGCAGTAGCAGCAGGGGCTACTGCTGCTGCAGCTGCTGTTGCGTTGCTGTTGCTGCTGCTGCTACTGCAGCAACGAAGAGCTGTGGAGGGGGCGGAGGCCCCTCGAGCTGCAAGGCCAGCAGCTGCTGCTTCTGAAGCAACGGACCACAGCGCGTCGAGGCGCTGCAGCAGTTGTTCGCACTGCTGCAGTGGCAGCAACTGCTTATTGGGCTCTTCTTTCTGCTGTTCCTGCTGCTCTTGCTGCTCCTGCAGGTCTTGTTGTTGTTGCTGCTGCTGCTGTTGCCGAAGGGCAGCAAGGCCCAAAGACAAGAAAGCCCGGGGATCTTCTTGGGGTCGCAAGAGCCGAAGGATGCCGCTAAGGAGAGCCGTGCAAAGGGGATCCTCGCTGTCTGCTGCTTGCTGCTCTTGTTGTTGCTGTTGCTTCTGCTGCTGCTCCGGCCGAAGTTGCTGCTGCTGCTTTGTTTGCTGTGTCAGCGACAGCAGAAGACGAGCTAATCTTGCGTCTTCGGTATCGCAGCAAGGAGGCGCTGCTGCTGGATAGGTAATACTCAACTCACCATTGCAGCAGCAACAGCTGCTGCTGCTATTGCAGCTGCTGCAGCTGCTCCTACACCAGCTGCTGCTATCACCTCCCTGCTGCCCTGCATCCTCTGAGGGGGGAGAAAACTCCACCACCAACCGTAGCTGTTGCTGCCGCTGGATAGTCAGCGCCTGCAGCAGCAGTAGCAACAGCACCAGCAACAGCACATCATTGCAGCAGCAGCAGCATAAACAGCAGCAGCAGCAGCAAAGTTGAGTCCTGAATAGGTACATGCGTATACAGCAAACAGGGATCTCCGAAGGTGTAAAAGTAAGGAGGGCTACGAGGCCCCTCGTCGATTGAGCAACCCACCAACTGTTTTGTGAGAGGCAGTTCTAGCTGCTGCTGTTGCTGCTGTTGCTGTTGCTGCTGCTGCTGCTGCTTCTGTCTGTGCGGCTGCACGGACAGAAGCTCAGCCTTGACAAGTTTGAAGGCCTTTCCTGTTAGGGAAATAGCGCAGCGGACGGAAGCGCAGTGTCTGGCGGGCTGCAGCAGCAGCTCCTTATGGAGCCGGGCAGCAGCAACGGGAGCAGCAGCAGCTGGAGCAGCAGCAGCTGGAGCAGCAGCAGCGGTATCTTCTGGGGTGTTGCTGTCGTTTGTGTCTGCTGCTGTTTCCGCCGCAGCGAACCAAAGCGTGCCCAAGTCATCCGTTTCAGTTGCTTCTTCGGCTGCAGCTTCGGTTGCTGCTGCTGCTGTTGTTTCTGCTGTTGGTGCTGCTCCTGCTGCAGTGGGCGTTGTTGCTGCTGACGAGACATCCCCCCCACAAGCCACACGCAAACTAGGAGGCCGCGTGCAGACGCTGAGGTCAATGACTAGCGGCGCAGCAGCACAAACACTCGGCCCCGCCATAACACCTGCTTGAGCAGAAGCAGCAGCAGAGGCAACAGCAGCGGCAGCTTCAGCAGCAACAGCTGGAGCAACAGTAGCAGAAGCAGAAGGAGCAGGAGCAGGAGAAGCAGGGGCAGCAGGTGCCGTTCGCGTTGCTGCTGCTGCTGCTGCTGTTGCTTTTGCTGCTGCTTCCTGTCTTGCTATCTCAGCAGGGATGGGCTGCGCGAGCGCCACTGCCCTCAGCCTGTATATGCCGGGGGTATGCTGCAGAGCCCCGCACCGCAGCGACACCTCCACTATGCCGTAGGGGGCGATAAGACAAGGAGAAGGGTCTATGCAAGGAACAACTAAACCAGAAGAGGCAGCAGCAGCAGCAGCAACAGCTTCTGCTGCTGCCGCTGATTCACGTGCTTCTGCAGTGGGTGCAGTAACTGCTGCTGCAGCTGCTGCTGCAGTTGCTGCTGCAGCTCCTGCCACATCTGTTTCTGCTTGTTGTAATATGGCCTCAAAGGTCGGTTCAGCAGCGGCTTCAAGGGCGCTGACGACAGCAGCAGCAGCAGCAACAAGCCGCGTCTCGTGGGCAGCAAGAGTTGCTGCACTAACTAAACAATGCTCAGGCGGCACCAGCGCAGAGCCATTCTCCTCAGACACTGCTGCTACATGCCGTGCTGCTGCTGCAACACTCGCGTCGCCTTCTCCTGCTGCTGCTGCTGCTGCTTGCAGCCTTCCTTGTAAAGCCGTTGCTGCTGGTGCTGCTGGTGCTGCTGCTCCTGGTGCTGCTTCTGCTGCTGCTCTGTCTCCCACGTCTGCTGCGCCTCTGCAACCCTGACCTTCAGCAGGAACCCCCAGCGGTGAAGGTGCTACTACTGCAGCATCTCTCAGATTGCCTGTTTCTGTTCCTGCTGCTGCTCCAGCTGCTGCTTCTGCTGCTTCTGCTGCTTCTGCTGTTTTTGCTTCTGGTGCGTTTGCTGCTGCCAATGCCCGCCACCCGTTGCTGGCTTCTTGTATGCCAGCAGAAGCAGCGGCTGCCGAAGCTTCTGTTGCTTTGAACGAGGCCTCCTCAGCAGCGACAGCAGCAGCAGCTGCTGCTGCTGCTGCCAGAGCAGCCATGTCAGGGGCTTTTGCTTGCTGCGACCTCACTGGTTTTCGCGTACCACCAGCGGGCGGCACGGGGGGGGCAGCAGCAGCTGCTGCTGCTGCTGCTTCTGCGGCTGCTGCTGCTGCTTCTGCTGCTGCAGCCTCTCGGGCCGTGTCAACTGCGCGCCGACGCAGTGCCTCAACTGCTAACCCCTTCAGAGCTGCTGTCTGCTGCAGCTGCTGCTGCAGCTGCTGCTGCATTTCCCAAAGGCCAACGTCATATAGCAGCCACTGAACACGCAGCCACTGGTTGGTGTTATTCTCCACTTTAAAGCTTACGCGCTGCTCTTCATCCTCTTGCTGTTGTTGCTGCTGCTGCTGCTGCACGTCTGTTGCTGCTGATGCTGTGTGGGGAAAATGCTTGCTGTAGAAGGCAGTCTTCAGGGGGATGAGTCTCTCTCGTTTTCTATACGAAGTGAGGCATGCAAGCTGCTGAAGTTGCTGCTGCTGCTGCAGGTGCTGCTGCTGCTGCTTTGTTGCTTCCAAGGGTTGCTGCTGCAGCACCACCTGAGCGGTGATCAGAGGCGGCAGCCCGCTGCGAAGGCGGAGGCGCTGCTGCAGGGGGGGCAGCAGCAGCAGCGGACCTCGCACTGGCACCTTGAGATGAATATTTACCATTTGCTGCTGATACTGGCCCTGCAGCAGCTGCTGCAGATGTTGCTGCAGATGCTGCTGCAGTTGCTGCTGCAGTTGGTCCTGCAGATGCTGCTGCAGTTGCTGCTGCAGGTGCTGCTGAGAAGGCTCTAGACAGAGCTGCAGGCTAGCAGCAAAGTTTGCAGGGACAGCAGCAAACATCTCGACTGCCAGCAGCACAGCTTGCTGCTGCTGCAGCAGCAAACTGCTTTCGGGGTGTGGAATTAGTACTAAGCCCCCTTGGGTTACGCGGTGCAGCTTCTGCCGCCGTTGCCGCGCTGCTGCTGCCTGCAGTGTACGTACACCCGAAGCCGCCTTAAAGAAGGGCCGCTCTCTACCCAGTCCACCAGGCAGCAGTTGTCGCAGCTCAGGGGGAGCAGCACAAGAAGCCGCCTGGAGCAGCAAGGCCTCAGCAGTTGGTGAAGAGGAAATCAACGCTCTGGCGTTGTTGCTGCTGTTACTACGGCTGCTGTTGCATCTGCTGCTGCTGTTCGTGCTGCTGCTACTGCTGCTGCTCGTGGTGCTGCAGCTGCTTTTGTTGCTGCTGTCCGTGCGCGCTGTCGAGCACGGTTCCATTAGGGATGCCCAGGGGGATATGATTCCCCTGCTGCTGCTGCTGCTGCAGCCCCTCTCGTCGCAGAATGCGTTGCTGCTGCTGCTGCTGCAGTCGGGGCAGTTGAAGGCACCAGCTGGTCTGCCTTCGTCCCAGTGTATAGGATGCTTCAGCTGGTGCTGCTGCTGCTGCTGCTGTTGTTGTTGCTGCTGTTGCTGCTGCTGATATGTGTGTGTGCGGGCCTGGAGCTTAAGGAATGCAGGTATGGGCGAGGTATTGACTACGAGGAGATAAAGAAAGGCGCTGTCTCCTCCTGCTGCAACTGTCTCCGTTATCACTTCTTCTGCGGTCTCTCTCTCTGTCTCTGTCTGCTGCTTCCCCTCGTCTCCCTGCTGCTGCAGCGAGCCCCAGCGACCGATGCCCGCACCCTTGAGCGCAGCAACAGCGCTTCTTACTCCTCTTCTTTTACCCTCTACATGAGCTTGGTGCTGCTCTTGTTGATGCTCCTGCTGTTCCTCCTGCTGTTGATTCCCCTGAAGTCGGCTGCGGTGGTGGTGGTGGTGCTGCTGCTTCTGCTGCTGCTCCCGGGTTTGCTGCAGCAGCTGTGCAGCAGCGTTAAGTTGCTGCTGCGAGAAGAGGGCGTATGTAACGGAGGCGCCGCTGCATGCAGCAGCAAAGGAGACCTGCAGCGGCAGCAGCAGCCCGTCCCCGCTGCAGTAGGCCCTCGCCTCGAGATGAGGAGACACCGCAAGGCCGAGGCAGCAGATGTCCGCCGTCTTGCTGCTGCGCGGGCCCAAGATAAAATCAGCAGGAGACAGAGACAGCAACAAGCCGCAATTCCTATTGCGAGCTACCACCGGCGCAAACGACCCCCACACCTGCTGCTGCTGCTGTTGCTGCTGCTGCTGCTGCTGCTGCTGTTCCTGGGTTTGTTGATCTATAAGAGATGACGGGGAGGTCCAGCGGACTCGAACGGGGATGTCTCCGTCGTTGTACAGCGTCAGCTTCTGCTGCAGCAGCCGCTGCTGCAGCAGGAAGAGAGGCGGCAGCAGTAGGTGGTGGCTGCTGAGGCGGAGCATCGGCAGAGCCACGCGAGCCTCCACTGCAACCGGGACTAACGCGCTGCCCTCCAGCGTCTCCAGCTGCCCATAGAACGCAATATGCATCTCCTAACTCCTAAACCCTAAACCCTAAACCCTAAACCCTAAAACCCTAGTCCTTGAGCCACAGACATCCACTGCACGGAAGAGTAGGCCAAGGAAACATGCAGTGCAGACGGCAGGAAAGTCAGCACAAATATACTGAGCAGGATGCATCGCGGGTGTACGTACACTGCAGTAGATAGATCTCAGGTGTACATGCACTGAAAAAGCTGACAGGTTCAGGTGTACATACACTGCAGACTTACAAACAAAACAGAGTGAAGCGACTGGGGATGGGCGGCCCTCAACGTCACCAGGAAGACAGCAGAGCCGCCAGGAGGCAGCAGCACATAAGACGGGTACACCATCAGCTGCCCAGATAGACCTATCACTACGTGCGGCTCCAGCATCTCCTGCTGCAGCTGCTGCTGCTCTTGCTGCTGCTGCTGCGTGGTCTGTTGCTGTATCTGCCACTCCAACAAATGCTGCTGCAGGGCCAGCTGCTGCTGCTTCACTGCAGAAACTTCGCCTGGTTCAACTGCCGGTTCTGCTTCTGTTGCTGTCTCTGCTGTTGTTGCTGCTGCTGCAGCTGCTGCAGCATCAGCTGCTGCCTTTCGTGGGTGGCGTAAGAAAGGCTCAGCAGAACGCAACGACTTGTCTATGCACAGACACTTCATGCAAGAGGGTAAACGTTGAACCGGCTCTTCTGCCGCACCCACTGAGGCAGCAGCAACCCCTGCTCGTTCAGCTGCTGCTGCTGGAGACGTATCCCCAGTGCGGCTCGCAGCAGCAGCGGCTTTTGCTGAATGGCCTGATGCCGTTGCTGCCGCAGATGACGGTGCTAACGGGGGTACTGTTGGTGCTGAAAGTGTACCTGCTGCTGCCGTTGCTGCTGCTGCTGCTGCTGCTGCTGCTGCTGCTGAGTGTGCTGCCAGCTCTACAGGGGTGCGCACAAGCGAAGAAGCGAAGTGGCAAGGGAAGTGACCTGCGGCGCTCGCCCTCACTGCCTGCAGCAGGGCGGAGTCGGTGACTGCACTACAGAAGGGGTTTGCTGCTTCTGCTGCTGTTGCTTCTGCTGCTGTATCTGCTGCTGTGTCTGCTGCTGTGTCTGCTGCTGTGTCTGCTGATGCTGGTATTCGAATGCGTACGACAGCAGGACTCTGAGAATTGTTGCGGACGAGGAGGCCGCGGCTGCTGCGCGTGTGCGCCCGGACCTGCAGCATATGAAAGCAAAGACAGCAGCAAGGTGCACCATGAGCCTCAAGCGCTGCTCTTCTACAGCCACACCAGGTCTACTGCTGCTGCTGCTGTTGCTGCTGCCGCTGAAGCCGGTGCCTTACAGTGCCGAAGCTGAGCTGCGGAGGCCACGGCGACGCCACGAGGGGAACCGCCACCTCCACACAAACCGGAACGGTCACAGTCTGCTGCTCCTCAGCTGCTGCTGCTGCTGCTGCTGTTTTCGTTGCTGCTGTCTGACTGCCTAATGCTGCAGCATCAGCACCCCCGTCTGCTGCTGCTGCTGCTTCTGGTGTTTGCGGCTCCAGAGCAGCAGCCCTTGGGTGGCTGTTTGTGGGGTGAGGGGGAAAGACAGAGAGAGGAAGATGCAGGGATATGGAGCCGCAGCAAAGGGGCAGCAGCTGCAGCAACAGCTGGCCTTCGGTGTGCGGGGCGACGAGGCCTCCGCCATCAGAGGAAACACAAAAATAACCGAAGGGCTGTGGGCCCACAGCAAAGGCCTGCAGCAGCAAATACAAAAAAAGCTCAACGATGTACGACAACAGAAGAGAAAGGGTATAGGGTTTAGGGTTTAGGGTTTAGGGTTGTGAGTTGCTTGCCGCATCTTTTTGTTTTTGGAGTTCTTCCATTTCGCTGTCATCAACGTGGAGGAGCCACCCCGTCTTCTCTTCCTCACCAGCCATTGCATCACTGGTACCATAGCTGCTGCAGCATATACTGCAGCTGCTACAGCAGCAGCAGCAGGCGCTGCTGCTGCTGCTGCTGCTGCTGCTGCTGCTGCAGCCTTGTGGGGGACGCCAGCTGACTTTGAGTGCGCGTCCGTCAGGGTGTACAGCCAGCCGGACGGAGGACCCCCCCTCGTTGCAGAGCCTCAAGGGGATGGACTGCACTGCAGCAGGCCGTAGCCTGAAGGCAGCGGCGCGGCCCCGCAGCTGCGGCAGAGGGTAGATGCGCACCTTTGAACGCTCTAGGGAGACGCATTGCTGCAGCTGCAACAGCTGCCAGTCCTTGATGTCTCCACCTGCAGCGGTTGCTGCTGCTGCTGCTCCTGCTGCTGCTGCTGCCTCCGGTCCATCGTTCTCAGAGTCCACAGCAGCAGGAGTCGCCGACTCGGGAGGCAGCAGCAGCGGCAGCCAACGCAGCGGCAGCTCGTCGTTGTTCTGTTGCTGCTGCTGCTGCTGCTGCTGCTGCTGTGAGGAGATGAAAGGAGGACCCTCAAAATGCCTCAGCAGCGCCGGAGGGGAAAGAAGAGCCCAGCGCGAGACACCGAGAATCTGCACAAACAAAGCCAAAGACAAGCAAAAATAAAGATTAAGATAGAATAAAAAATAAGAACAAAGACAAGGATAAAGAGAAAGATAAATACAAACAAAGAAACACACAAAGAGACAGACAAGGGATAACGATGAGAAACAGAAACAGAGAGGGAGGAAACGCAGGCGGTACGTCGAGGCAAACAGAGAGAGACAGGAACAAAGCGAATGGCGGATATCTCTGCAGCAGAGACAGAGACAGATGAAGCAGTGGAGGTGATGCTGCAGTGCACGCAATCCCCACACACCCAAAGAGAAACTCCACATGAAAATGAGATGCTGTCGCGGTCCTTGTTGCTGCTGCTGTTGCTGCTGTCTGGGGGGCTGGCTGGCAGCAGCCGCGGGTCGACGGTGAAGGAGAAAGGGACGGAGCTGAGGGCTGGGATGACAGCCTCAGCGGGAGACACAGAAAACGCTTCGCATGTTGCTGCTGCACTTTGTGCTGCTGCTGCAGTGTCTGCTGCTGCTGCACCGTCTGCTGCTGCTGCAGTGTCTGCTGCTGCTGCACCGTCTGCTGCTGCTGCACCGTCCGCTGCTGCTCCGCTGTCTGCTGCTGCTGAACTGTCTGCTGCTGCTGAACTGTCTGCTGCTGCAGCACCATCTGCTGCTGCTGCTGCTGAGGGGCGCCACTGGACGCGTATAGGCAGTCTGCCTTCGTTACAAAGGGTGACAGTACGGGATATGGGCGGCCCCTGGCGCTGCAGGTCAGCAGAGAAGACAGAGAAGAGAAGGCAATCAAACGACGGTCAAACCGCGTATGTCTCCAGAGCCACACGCAACCAAACAAAACTTAGGGAAAGCAATCCCCCCGTGCTGTTCCTACTGCTGTTTCTGGTCGTGTTGCTCGTTCTACTGCTGGTACTGCTGCTGGCGCAGCTGCTGGCGCTGCCGGTGCTGCTGTGGTTGTTGTTTCTGGTGCTGATGCTGCTGCTGCTGGTGATGCTGCTGCTGCTGGTGATGCTACAGCTACAAGTATAAATGTACCAGAGTGCATCCGAAGTCGATTATCCGTGGCATGCATTTTGCGATTGTTTGTATGGTGGTGGCCTCAAGAGGGCAGGGGGTCTCAGCCTGGCACTCTCTGCTGCTGATTTCGTTTGCTGCTGTTACTGCTGCATCGTTTGCGGATGCAGCGTTTGCTACTGCAGCGTCTGCTGCTGCTGCATCTGCATTGATCATCTTCTTTATAGTGCGTGCGTCTGCAGCGTCTTGCGGTGCAGCAGCGAGCGAGGAGGAGAGAGCCGCGCAGAGCCGCAAGAGGCGGCCTGAGGCCCAGGGGGCCCCACAGAAGTCTCTAAGGGTCAGCGCAGCAGCCTCTGCTTCTCCCCTCAGTTCGACTACGCCGAGGCAGGGGGCCCCCTCCTCTGAAGAGCCAACCGACTGCAGCAGAAGAGCAGCAGCAAAACGACCGGGACGACGCGGAAGGAAACGCAACAGAAGAGAAGACGTTTGGGAGCCCCGAGGCAACAACACCTCAGCAGCAGACACAGCAAAGGCATCTGCATCCTCCGTGTATGACATCCTAGAGAGAACCAAATCCTCAGCAGCAGCTGCAGAAGAAGCTGAAGCAACAGCAGCAGCGGCGGCTACGGGGGGTGTTCCAGGTCGTCCGCAAGCAGGTGCAGCGGAGGTAGGTTGTGTGTGCTCGGGCACAACAGCAGCAGCAGCTGCAGCATTCGAAGCAGCAGCAGCTGCCACCACCACCGGCCTGAGGACAGCTTCGCCGCCCCCATTCTTCAAGGGCAGCCTGCGGGCCACAAATACAGCAGCACCTGCAATCGCGGCGTGAATTACCTGCTGCTTGCTGCAGAGAACTGCAGCTGCGACGGGGGCCCGTGCTTGCAGAGCAGCAGCTGCTGCAACTGTTGGGGCCCGTTTACCAGGCAGCAAGACATCAGAGAGCACCAGAGAGAAGCAGCCAGCAGCAAAGAGCAGAAGAGGGATGCAGAAAGGGAAGGAGGGAACCCGCAGAACGGGCGGCAGACAGCAGGGAAAGCGAATAGCCAGAGATCGCTGGGCCCTCTAGAAGTGCAATCGGAGCGGAAGGATGCATGTGCAGCAACTGCTGCTGCTGCAGCTGGTGCTGTTGTTGCTGATGTTCCTGCAGTTGCTGTTTCTGCTGCTACTATTCCTGCGGCTACCGGCTGTGATGAAGGTATGAGGCTCTGCTGTCGTTCTTAGGGTTAAGGGCGCCTCACTCAAGGACAGCCGCCTCGCCGGGCCGCACTGCAGCGAATGTCAATTGGCGGGGCAACGACAAAAGCAGCGGCTGCTCTTTCCTCGCCACCACCTGCAGCAACGGGGCACAAATGTACTGAAAGCAACTGCTGCAGCAACCGCTGCTGCAACCGCTGCTGCTCTGGCTTCTCGGTGCGTATTCTAGCTATGGTATGCTGCAAGGTACGCCACAAGGGGGTCGGTCTACAGTTTCTCTCTAGGACTGCGGCCCCTCCACCCGCACAACGGTGCTGCAGCAACTGCAGCATTGGCGATGATATGAACTGCGGGAGCCGCAGGCCTTTGAAATTGGTGTTTCGCTTTCATGAGGTGTGGGCGAAGAATCAATGAGAGGTTAAGAAGCAAAAGAGTAAGAAATGCAGCAGAAGGGAGGGGATGTTCAAGAGGTAGAGCATGAGTAAGAAATGCCACAGAGAGAAGGGAGTGGGAGTGTGTACAGCGTCGGTTCTTTTGTGTTTGTGTTGAGGCGGTGATTAAAACTGCAGGGACAGAGGTGTTTACAGGCACAGCGAAGGAGCCCAACTCCGTGTGCAGCTCCAGCACACCCCGGGCTTCAGGCGCCTCAGGCGTAGCTGTGAACGAAACCCAAACCTGAAGAGCTCAGACAGCAGTGGGCGCAGCTTCAGCAGCAACCTTGTCAAAGGACAACAAGCAGCAAGGATTTATCTATATTCTTCCAGTCGTATGTTTTTAACTGACACCGTGGCGATCGAAACGAACAGGTAACGATAGAGACGCTACGGCGTTACCCCGGAGTGTTGAACTAGACGGAGGAGGATGGCGCGGCACAGCTCTGGACCCACCTGAACGCACATTCCCGTTGCTACAATGCCTGAGACGCGCGAGGCGCCTTGGGGGTCTCCGCTGCTGGCGCCTGCGGGGTGTATGGAGACATCATCGACGGGATATTTCAGTGGGGAAAGACGAAAAGGACTCTGAGGGTCTACTTCAAGCCGCAGACGCCTCCCAATCTTCTCGCGGTTTCTTAGAGTAACTTTTTTGGTGTACGTGACTCCTTGAAGGACCTTCTCAAACACCTGCACTAGACACCCCCCATGTACACTTCTTGGGGATGAAACGAGCGATGATGCAGCTCTTTCGTGCTAGAGAGAAAAGTCCATTCAGGCTCCTTCGATACGCGCACACCTCTGGGGGACTCACAATGCAATCCGGGGTGACTGAGAAAGGGCAATCAAATGATGAGTCTGAAACGTCACTGCGATTCCTCTGAAGATGCTGGCTACTTGACGTACGCACGCTGTGGCCCCCCGTCCTTTCAGTTTGACGGCTCATGGGGGCCTCCTTTTGCATCTGAAAGAAACACAAGTGGGGAAAAGGGGCAATCGGAGAAGCGCATCAGCTTTATTCTTGAAGGAGGTCGGGAACAGGCAGGATCTTGTGCCCCCAACTGCTGTATGCACAAACCTCTCCTTTTTTCTTCGCGGATGCATGCTCGCTGTAGAGTTGATTGCACCTGGAAGGACCTACACCCGCATTGTGACACAGCTGAGCTGAGGCACACTTCATAACACGAGTTACTTTGCAGAAAACCCAACCTTGAGGTGGGTCCAACAAGTACTGACCAACTGGTAAAGAAACCCGGTGGATGCAGCGCAGCTCCCTTCACTGCGACGCAGTAATGTAGAAGTTGCTTATTAATTCAAGAAAATCTGTGCAAAAGCTTGGTAAAGTGCTGTGGCAGATGGCGTTTGCATTGCTTGGTGTGGCGGTGTTCATGGAGACGAATGACATTCTGCTCTACAAACTGTTCTTATTTTTACTCAAACTAACAAATGCAGGTGTTTGCAGCACCCTGGAACTGGGCTCGTAGAACAGCAAACCTCCAACTCTGTTGGCAGATTCAGTGCAGAAATAGGTAACTGTGCGAACCTTCAAGTTTCCTCGTTAGCCCAGCCGATTGAGTTGGACCAGGCTCGAAGCTGAAGGCTCTCTCACTGGCATTTGAACCCTGCTTCGTGTTAATCGTCACTTTTCGCAGTTCCGCCTTTCCCGGAGAAGCCATTTTAAAACGTTTGACGCATCAAGTTTCAGACCCAACAACTACAGCAATTCTCACGGTTTCACTAATGCCAATGAAAGCGTAATTCCGCTGGAAGAGCGTGCAAAGCGACTGCAGCGCGCACACCAACACTGGGACGTTCCATTGTGGGCGCATGCAATATGCGATGCGTCCAATATACGTGGAACGTTGTCGCAAAATACTAGGTTCAGAAACTGTTTGCCAATTGATGGAGGCAGCCGAAGCTCTCGGGAATTCGGGAATGCGCGTTGCTGCTTGATCTCTGTCTGGAGAAGACGCAAATAAATTGGAATGTAATGCTTGCTAGATGAAGCATGTGGTAGGCGAAGTGCCGACGATGAGTTGGTCTCCTTGTGAGCTGCTTTCGGCTCCGGCTGATTACGGGCAGCGGCAGCTGACTTCCGCTCGGTGCAATTTGACACAGGATTTACATTCAACCCTGTGATCATGATAAACTCCTACTGTATCTAATGGGGATCGAACTAATCTAGGCCGTTTGGCGTGTTTTTCATGAGGAATGGGGCTGTCGCATAGATTTCCCATTTGAAGGACTGCAGCTCGTGGGGGAGTGACCCGAGGAGTCGAGTAGAAATGCCGGGCGCAATGTTACGACGGAATCTGGCAGAAATTGACAGAAGTTTAGCTCTTAATGACAAAATATAATCCAAATAGCCCGCGTTTGGTAGGAAGAAATGAACTAGTACACCGGATGATGGCCCTCGCGGAACCGGTGGCTTGAGTGTACAGACAGCTACTGCCGGCTGCATGAGCATTGGTGGTGTCCTGTCCACAAGTTTAGCTTTGCCAACCCATTTGGTCAGATTTTGATGCATCCTTAAGACCGTGTCATTAAGGATCCCCCACTATTTACACATCACACCCTCTCCAAGATGTTTGTGGGCGGCCCCGAAGATATCCCCATTGAGGGTGACGAGTTCGAGAAGTCGAAGCCAAGAGTCCTCTCCATTGCGGGATACAGCTTTCTTTCGCTGATCGCCCACTTTTTCGTCCAAGATGTAAGAATATTTGCTTGAATTCATCATCGTGCGACTCCCTAAGTTCTTTTTCAGGTTGGGGGAGCATTGGCCATGGCCATCCTTGGCGGGTTGCTGTACTACTACTGCAAGAAGCCTACTCATCTTAGTATCACGCTGGCACTAGGCATGAGTAAGCGTTAATTACATGTATGTAACATTTATTGGGACGTGTCCTCACGCCTTCCACTTCAGGCCTGGCGATCTTGTTCATGAGCGGCTTCATCTGGTTCAGCATCTTATTGTCTACGCACCTTGTAAGTTCCCAATGACTACGCTCATATGGTTCCGTATCCATGTACTTCCTTCACCTTGAAGCAACTATGGGCCGCCGACATTGTGACACAACTCGAGTAAGCCGAATGCAAACCACTCTGAATCACAACGGTGGATTACCGCGAAATTACAGGTTCATCCTGTATGTGCTTGACTTCGGTGCCTCCTGCCTCGCATTGTTCCAACTTCAATATGTTTTCGACTCGCCAACCTACCGTATGACGACAACTCATGATTAAGTGACTGGACTGCTTCCTCAATAACTACAAAACTACAGGTGGACCGCGGTCCTTCCTTCCCCGCTGGGCCGAATCTGCTGCTCGCGCTGAGGGATGGAAAGGATGGTCTCCATTCCAGGTATGTTCTACCATTCAATTACTCACCATGAATACGAATAATAAGTAACGTCATGAACAGGGTGAAGGACAACGCCTCGGAGGATGGCAGTAAAAGAAGTGCCAACCAAAAGGCGCGCCAGTACCAAACTAACCGGCACGCTTTTGTGAATTCAAGTCAAGCCGCAACTTTTCCCGCGCAAACGCATTTCAAAGAGATACATGACCGTAAAATAATGGTTGTGTGCAGTTTGTTTCGAGACCAAAGGGTTAGCTGTTGATTGGAACGAAAACGTAGGCGCTGCAGGATGGCTAGTTGCAAGTAGAGCTAGCTGATTTCCTACTTGCTGGTGCTTCAGTGTGGAACGTTGAAGCCACCTGGCATGCCTCCACCAAATTTGCGAGTTAGCTTAGAAATGGCTTCTGCGACATCCGGATCATCCTTGTACTTTGCCATGTTACCAGGGTTTGTCAAAATGTCCTGAAACGCCGCCATCATCTGCAACAATTCCAGCAAAACGCAGCACAGCAAGGCGGAAATATCTTCCTATTACTTAGCCCGTCCAACCAGTTCGAGTACTTGCCTTAGGGTTTGAAAACAATTGCTGGACTTCAGGGTCATTCATGGATCCGAGTAGTCCTCCTGCAGAAACAGATCAAAGAAGCCCCAAGCGAGCCCTGTTGTAAACCGTGTAACAGCTTCTAAAGTTAAGAAGCTGCGTTTGCACCGGCAAAAAGCATAAGCATACCTAGACCTCCCAATCCTCCCGGCATTCCGCCTCCCATTCCTCCCGGCATTCCACCTGGCATGCCTCCTGGCATCCCACCTGGCATGCCTCCTGGCATTCCACCGGGCATGCCTCCAGGCATTCCACCTGGCATTCCCCCAGGCATTCCACCTGGCATTCCCCCCGGCATTCCGCCAGGCATTCCACCTGAACCGAATCAAAATACACCGCTATCCAAAACGCCTAATAAAAAGCTTCTATGACTACCCTATACACATATATATATATATATATATATATATATATATATATATATATATATCTGAAACGTTATACGACTTGAACTGCTGAAATTGCCGTACTCGCTTCGCGCTTCTTCTGCTCTTCGTACGCCCTCTGCGCGTTGGCGCGCTGTTCTCTTGCCCGCCGCTCCCGCTCCTTTCTTTCCCTCTGCAGAGTACGAAAAATGCACCCTCACAAGAGTCCGCACATGGGGAGAGGAAACCGCGCAGAGGCTTAAGACGACAATGCCAAGTTCATTAAGAAGTTGTGCTGCCATACTTCTTCTTTCTTTCGCTGAGAAGATCTTTCATGCTCTTCTATTATCTTGTACTTTTGCTCTACGAGTTTCTGAATATCCCAGATGTTCTCGTCGTAGTCAATCTGCAGCCACACAGCTCAGTGCAAGCCTGAAGTTGTGACTTAACAAGCCCTAAATGCGGTTGTTTATATATATATATATATATATATATATATATATATATATATATATATATATATATATATATATATATATACACTTATAAACAGTTTCTGGAATGCGCCTACCTTTTGTCCCATCTCTATATCACTGTGTGCTTGCTTCCAATTGCCAAGGTACCTGAAGTAATACAACCCAAAACCTGGATCGCCACAACTGAACCACCCGGTGCAAGCGGCAAAATGCGTTTCTGCGTCGTGCAATGTGTGGAGCAACTCCTTGCCTGTTGGCAGTGCCACGGATTCGGTAGGCCCTTGCATTGTCAGGATTCAACTTCAGCGCTTCGTCACAATCCCTAGCTGCGGCAGCATATCTTTTCTGTTTTAGCAGTATGTCCGCTCTGCGTGTGTATAGCAATGCAGTGGGGTTGCCAATAAGCAGTGCTTCTGTGTAGGACTCAACTGCCTTGTTGAGATCGCCTGCCTGTAGGCCCACGCAGCATAACGGCAGTCCTGGCAAATTTGCATACGAATGAATAGGGGAGCTAGGGAGCCCCTGATCTGCACAGTAGTCCTCACTTCAGCTGCTTCTGTTGCTGCTTCCTTAGCTTTGGCAAGTTTTTCGTAGTCTTCGTCAGTTAGCTCCTTCTCCCCGGTAGGCGCTAGCGGTGGAGCAGGTGTAGACTCGGGTGCGACGACTTCCTCATCGTTCAGCGACTCTGGCTCAAACGGCTCTTCCTCAGACTGCATGGGACAACGCGGTACACCCACACCACACGCACAGCAGAAGGCCGTCATCTTTCTTGTATATATTGCAAACAAGGCCCCCTTTTGAGCAGGAAAACGGCTAAGGGTAACATGTCATGGTGTAAAAGGTCTGTTCTGTATCACAGCGCCCAACGGACTTCCGGTGCCTCCGGCTCCTCTGCTGGCGGATCCGGTAGTTTGGCGCCAAGAGAAATCAAATAGTCCTTGAAAAAAGCCAACTCCGGCCTGTGCAGTATGCTGGGGTCGTTGCGCGCGAGTGTGACGAACGCCTGCAACTCGGTGACTGCGCACACCCCACAAGCAATTCAGGCGTATGCTGCCGCCTCTCCTTCCCTTTGCACACCACCACTCCTCCACCATACATTACGAAAACAACCAAAGGCGGGCTTGTAGGGGTGGAGACGCCCCTATGAGCCCGTCTGTTAACCTGAATGCAACCCCTACAGAGGCACTCTTAAGGAAGCTGTCTGGGGGCTACCTGGCTTATACTCCTTATTGGAGGATTCTGGTGGGCCTTTGGCTTACTTTTATCCTCCCCAAACAACGCCATTATCGCGAAGGCAAAGAAAAGAAGGCAGTGCCCAGGGGAGTTCCAGTGCAGGAGAAGCAACAGCACACAGCACCGGCACACGTCGTGTTCTCGGCCTCGTATTCACAGATATTTTTCCAGGAATAACACAAGAAAGTTACAGAATAATAACAATAAGTCATAGAAGAACTCGTCGAAGAGTTCATGCGCATAGCTTTGGGGCTTGGCTGTTGCTGCACTGACTGCCTAGGGGGCCTCCCCGTGCCCATCGGTAGTCACGGCCTCTGCTACCTGGGGTCTTTCCTATGAAACTGCGAATATCTCAGTGCAAAATAGAGACAAATGGATGACAGTTTCTGCTGAATACAAGAAACGCACGAAGCAAAAAACACAAACGGGAACAACACCAGTGTTACAATGGACGAGGCAGCAACAGTGACTGGCTACTGCAGATGCCTTCTGTCTTCTTCTCTGTTTCCTACCAGTCTTATTGCAGAGTCCACTAAAGAAAGCAGAGTAATGTTACGTGTCAAACGAAAATTAAATCTATAAACAAACACAAACAAAAATCAAGTCCCTTACCCTACATTTGGGGGGGCCAGGCGGTGACGCCGTGTTTAGTTCAGAAACGAGACGAGTCTTATTGAGGGCTTTCGTGTTCATCTTTATATTGTTCAATACAGAAATAAGTGAATATTATCAATAACTTTTGTGTTCATATTTATATTGTTGAATACGAAGGTATGTGGTGATTCCTTGTGTTTATATTTATGCAGCAGTACACACACGAGTAAGTATGAGCATGAATATCGCACTCTTCATCTTTAGATTATTGAATACAGAGGTGAAGTGATATGATTAAGGATTCTTTTGTTTAGGTGTAAACAATAAGCCGGCTACGCCGGGAGCCTCTCTTTCTGTTGAGTAAGGGAAGCGGCAGTAATAAGTAGTTGAATAATACAGATAATATTATAATAAATTAATTACTAGCCGAATGTCTACACTTTTGGTTCTTCAGTAAACAAACAACAAGCATTAAAGGGAAGCGTTGTATAGTGAACGCACAGCAACAAGAGCAGACGGTGGGGGAGGGTGGGCTCTGTGTTCAGTGTTTTGTTTTTCTTTATTGCTTATGTTATCACAAAAGAGAAATAAGACTGTAGCGAGCGAATGAAAGCAGAAAGCAACAAAATACAAAAAACCAAAGAAGTGAACAAACCGCCATCCACCTTGATGCGTTGTTCTGTTTCCTAATCTGCGCTTTGCTCGGCGCTGTTTGTTTATTTATTGTTATTATTTATTTATTTATTGTAATTCTGTTTTAGAGATATTGTGGGCGTTGTCGTCCTCTTTCAGCACACATAACATAATCTGTATTTCATACATACAAGTGAGGCGCCGCTCTGTGCGTCTTAGTTAAACAGAAACCAGACGATATTCACAAACTCAGTATACATGCATCGTAATGCATCAGAAGATAGATACAGAAATAAAAACAAATAAAGAAGAAAGGAAGCAGAGATCAAATGAATGAAAACTGCAACAAAAAGAAATACGTTTGCCGGTTTCCTCCCCCCAGGGATTCATCGCCTGGCCTCTAAGCAACGAACGGCTCTCAGAGCCCAATCTTATTTCTATATATATATATATATATATATATATATATATATATATATATATATATATATATATATATATATATATGAAAACAGAGCTCTAAATACTACTCATCTCCCCTCTGTATTCATCTTGGTGACGATGCACTCAAAGGGGGAGGGCAAATGCCGATGAAAGCGCAGAAAGAAAAAGAAAATAAGGGAAACAATAAATAAAGAAATGAAATCAAAAATTTTTCTGATTAAATGCACTAAGTTTTGGGTTTGCTGAGCAAACAAAAACTGCAAATTGTTTATCGGCTCCACCATCATCTTTTTTTCTTTTATTGTTTGGGTTTCGTCTGTGTATTGTTTAAGCAGCTGCTGTATGTTGCTGCTGCTGCTGCTGCTGCTGCTGCTGGTGTTGCTTTTGTTGATGCTGCTTCTGTTGTTGTTGCAGCTGTTGCTGTTGCTGCTGTTGCTGCTGTTGCTGCTGTTGCTGCTGTTGCTGCTGCTGCTTCGCATGCTGACTGATGCGTTTCTCCCTTGCTGCCAGCAGCAGCCGCTGCAGTCTATTTGCATGTCTCTTTGCTGCTGTGATTTGTTCTATTAAAGGGGTCGACAGCGCCTTCGTTGCCGCCCCAGTAAATCCCCCAGAGACGTCCTGTATATATATAAAAAAAAAAAACACACACACACGGGGTGTATGAGAACTCAAATACAACAGAAACAAACAGAAACAAATGCATAATGTTATTTATTTTATTTTATTTTATTTTATTTTATTTTATTTTATTTTATTTTATTTTATTTTATTTTATTTTTATTTTATTTGACCTGCGAATTTTCCAGTTCCGCCTTGAGCAAATCCAAAGCTGAAATCAAACGCGAACGCTTCTTGTCCTACACCCCACACAATAAACCCTAAACCCTAAACCCTAAACCCTAAACCCTAAATAAAAAGCCAAATAGAAAGACAGAGACAAAGATAAAGACAAGACAAAGCCAAATGCAGGGACGATGAGAAAACGACAAACAAAACTACAACAACAGATACAGAAACAAAGACAAACAAAGCAGACAAAGAAAAAGCCGAATACAAATAAAAATATAAAGACAAAGGAACTGACAAAGACAAGGCAAGTAATACATGCAAAGACAGACGAAGACGAATACAAAGAAAAAGCAAAAGACAGCACCAGAGCCACTAGTAGATGCAGCGATACAGACGAGGACAAGAGCAAAGACAAACAAAAATACAAAGACAAAGACAAAAAGAAAAAAAAAAAAAGTTTTTTTGTTTACCTCTGGCAGCGTGGTGGAGTAGAAATGCCGCAGCAGTTCTCCTACCCTCGCTTGCTGCGCCCGCACTGCGTTTACTGTCGCCGTCTCATAGTCAACTGAACAAACACATATTTTTATGTATAGATATATATAATATAATACAATATAATTTATATATATATATATATATATATATATATATATATATATATATATATATATATATATAT